TCAGCTCAATGTCTCTATTTGCTCGCTGCACGAGCATTGTGCTTGTACTCATTGCACGAGCGGCGATGTGCATGTTCGTAGTGGAAAGATGTTCTCACACTTAGAAGTGCTGATCCATCAACTAGTGCTCTCCATAGCCATGCTAAGTACTCTTTTCTAATCATGATCCTCTGATGCCATGGTGTGAGCTCTTTTCCGATGCTACTCAGCATGTAATCGTGCAAAAGGACCGGCCAACGATTCTAGACCGACTACACAGGCACCGACCAAGTGTTTCTTTGACTCTCTCTACGTCAACTTCTCCTATCTCTCACTCTCTCAGCTCCCCCTGCTCTTTGGCATGTGTCTCCTCCTCCTGCTCTGCTCCTCGGTGCGGTCCTCCTTGCGAGAGAGAAGAAACTAGCTCGTCCCCTTCAAGAGAGCCAGGGTCCGTGAATAGTCCATCCAAGAGACACAGTCCCCTTGATTTTCAGAGATTTCTATTTTTCCTCAACTTCCACCAAAAAATGCATCCTGTGTGTGAACGCATTCACCACAGTGTCACAAAAGCGTCTCCTAAAAAGGCAAAAGCGTGTCCTCCTGATCAAGATACTGCTTCACGATGACCCAGATTGTGCATCTGCGTAGAAATCGATTTATTGACTGGTGTGCCTGGCATGAGGTCGATGCTCTTCTAATTGTTTGCAAATCAGTAGACATATCATCATCACCAGTGCGTCATAGATGGTCATTCTTCTGAGAGCATCCTGAGAGAGAGAAGAAAATCAGTTTACAGCAAAAACGGACCTTTCGAGTAGACATCAGGGACCCAGAAAACGGATTATTCTCGCAAAGAGGCTCTTCGGCTCTTGGTTGCAATCGAGCGAATTATACAAGAAAGTTAGAGGCGAAGTATAGCTATGGTTCGGTCCTTGGTCCATTCCAAATCGATTATCATACATTATAGTCATCATGCTTATACCTCTCTTACCATCGACTTGTTGATAGGGTAGAATAGGATAGAACAGGATAGGAGGTGATCCATCTAAAGTAGGAAATGGACGATTGCTGTTGATTATCGTCCTTATTCTCTACTAACTATGATCACCAGCCTAGTAGAAGCCTACTCCTGTACTATTTTCGAAGCGTTCCTAACGTGCAATCCTACTTACCGCACAAGGCCACCGATGGGGACAAGGCGGCATGTTGGAGAGGCGGCTTAAACCATCCTAAACCTGGGCCACCAACTCCTCACACCCCACCCGACGCTGCCACGGCGGCCCGGAGAACCCAGCAAAGCAGATGAATCCGGGCGCCCTACGAAGAGGATGGGTGGCCCAAAAGAAGGTCGCCAAGCCTCGAAAGAAGTCGCCATTCCTATATTAATCAATAGTGGATCCTCCTTAACCACGGCTCCACCTCAGCGTCTATCCATATGGCGGAGACTAGACCGAAAGACAGGAGTAACACAGCTCCGACGCAGCCTAAAATCTGTATCCAGTCGTAGAGCCAGGACGTTTTATCACAGTTCTCCTCGTCAAAAGCGAAGTCCTGTTTAGAGGGGAAGTAGAAGGGAGGACTGTAGCGCAGAGGGGAAGTAGAAGGAAAGACTTTTGCTTCTACACTATTGTTGAGAAGTAGAAAAGCAATGAATTCAAATTCGACAAGTGTGCTACTAATTGATAGCAATACTTACACAGAGAGGGACTATATGAAGAGGAATGATTCCTAAAAGTGCTCAAACAGCATTAATTCAAGTGCTGAAACAGGAATCTTTCTGCAGCCCCAAAAATTCTAATCTTAGAGAAGGCTACATTCTTCAAGAACGGCTGCTTAGCACTCAAATTTTCGGTGACTTTGACGCAGGATGTTCTTCGATCAAATTAAGTCTCCTTCCTTATGTTGTATCCTTTGGAAATATGAACTCCTATATAATAGGCGAGCTCGAGTACAAGTAGATACCCCGACATAATTTGCATGTCATCCGAAGAACCCCAAGAACATGCGGTGGCTTCCACCTCAACATTGTACCCTTGTTGCAAAATCCTCGTCTGTCCTATTGAAGAGGGCTGCGACTGTCCCATTGAAGAGGGCTGCGACTGTCCCATTGAAGAGGGCGGATTCTGCTTCAAGACCTCCTCCATTGATGGCTGGTGTGCCTTCTTCAAGACCTCCTCCATTGATGGCTGGGTCGTCCTGTCTTCCTGGAACTCCTTAGAAGTCGTCTCTTTCTGGGTCAAATCCCAAGTGGTTTTGGTCGTGCTTCCTTCCTGCCTCAGAGGTGTCTGCATCGTGTTTTCTTCCTGCGTCAGGCCTCGCCTCAGATGTGATTAGAGATGAGGCGAGAACTTGTACGTCAGCTGGAGTGAAGTCTTCTACAACTGTGAAGACTTCAACAACTGAGTTCGCCTAGATATCATACGAGTACCCATGCTCTACATGTAGTCCTATGTAGATTGAGGAGTGCTCCCTTGTCGTCTTTGACCTGTACACATATAGTCCTATTACATTCTTGTTGGAGTCCTATTTTGACATCCAATAATCACACATTTACATTGTCCTATCTTGACACCCGTGATTGATTATTGATAATCACACATAGACAAAAATTAAGAAAGAGCCACCGCTCAAAAATCAAATTGACGATAATATAATAGAAGACGCCCAGTGACTTTAGGAATGTTGCCATATTTACACTGTGTCAACAAGTTTCCCAAAAGCGTTGCATCTAATATGCCTCTGAGCTGGTCCGGACAGGCACATACGACGGCTCCCCAGTCCGCTGAAAACGGACACGAATTACTCGTAACGGGACACGCCCATCGACCGGAACTGCTATCGTTAGAGATGACGACCTGCGCTGGCGCGCCAGCTTTTCGACCTCAAGCTGAACGACTAGAATACCACATGATCAATTTACATCCGGAACAAAGCTACTTCTTCACCGAAATGTCCTAGAAGTTTTACGACATAACATCGCGGTCATCAGCCAAACTTAGGACGTCGAAGTCGTTCATATTCGCCGCACGACGAACGTCTACGGTCAGAAAAGCTTCCTTTGGTTAGAAGTGCGAGTATTTCTTTCCTTTGCTGAAGAATTGGGGATCAAAGACGATACTTCTTGATGACACGAATCTCTTCGGCTGAATGCCTAAGATTTCCCTGACGATTTCTACCCGGTAAGATGCTTCTTATTTAATGAGAATAAATAGAAGATCCTTCTCCTTTTTAAGATCAGGAATTATACTGTGAGCCATAATTTAAGCAGCGTTGCTCGGTCAGAAAGCGGACATCTGCCAGTCCCGAGAAAGGAGAATAGATACTCTGATCGTAGCAATCCGGGAACTCCTCACGCGCCGGTCCGTTGGCACTCTGCACTAAAGCGTAGAAATATCTGCAGTTGTTAGAACTAGAAGGATGCGACTTCTAGAGACGAAACTCATCTCTGTCACAGAGACAGGGAGAGAGAGGACCCACTTCTTGGAGAGCGCATCTTTCTTGGCGCCCGTTTTGTTCGCTCGCGAAGCTCTGGGAGGATCAAGAAGATCCTGAAGACGAGGATGCATGAACATTCACTGTAGCCTTAAAATTCGCGATCCGATACATCGCACATCCCATGTCTCCTTCGAGACACTCTCGCGTGTACCGCAGGTCCCCCCTGCACATGCTCGTACCCCAACCCACTGCTAGTAACGCGAAGAAAAGCACCTCCAGGGCAGAAAAAAGGCGGTGAAGCAAAGGACCTTGCTTAGCCAGGAAACCATACAAGCCATCCCAGATCCACGCTGTCCAGGTACGACGTCGCGCGTTGCCAGCCATTATCAACTCCCTAGGCATCCTAGAAAAATAACGGAAAGCACGCTGCAACATCGTAGCACTCACGACTTTAAACCAGAAAGGAATGAAGATGAGGATGCGTTTTGGCAGTAGGGTAGAAGAATGAAACAAGTTCCGTAGAAGAATGAAGCACAGTCGTCGTTCATCTCGGGGCACGTCGAAGAGGAAAAACTTTGAACCGCTGATAAGTAAACAGGCCAACGCCTAAACCTCTAAGCCAACTGCTTCACTTGTGCTTGTCACTTGTGCTTCTCAAGATGCCAATCTTCATAACCGCGACGCACAAACCGGTGACAGCTGCCTGGAGAAAGCGATAATCTGCGGCAGGACAGGCTTGGTGGACATTCCAATCGCTGTCGCAAGCCAGAGCTTGTCCGGTCCATTCAGTGGCTTCTTAGAACTACGACCTACTTACCAGTATAGTACACAAAACAAAAAACAACAGAAATAGCAGTTGTCGAAGCAGTTACCTAATTATTAGTAGTAGTATTAGTAGTCGTACTTGTAGTTAACTCCGTCTAAGAAGAACGATATGCAAGAGGAAGATCTCCTTGATGATTACTTGGGATTTGGCCCACAAATTTCATCCACATCCAGGTACCACGAACCTAGAAAACCTCCAGAATGATGGAAATGTGGATGAAATTGCTCCAAATTTCGAATTTTGAAGTTGAATTCTCGAAAAAGTGGTTTTTTATCGCCTAATAAATGAATTCAATTCCTGAGGATCCAGCAAAAAGATGGTGTAGATCTTGAAACTTGAGTAGCTAAGGCATGCTGGACATGATAACTATGAGAGATTTCAACAAATCGAGACCTACATCCCACAGAATAGGTGATGAAAATCGTCATCATTATTGTCATAGGATAGGATAGGAGTGGGCTCACTTGTGACGGAGTGAGCGTGTCATCGTTATCATCATCACTATCACAATTAAAGCGTACTTCACCTACACTTCGATGATGTGGTACCACAACCAGATGTAACTCCTGCAGTTACTATATACAAGAAGCGGGCCGACACGACACGAACAAATACGCTAGTAAGTACGACTACCAGGAGCTAAATCCATGCTTCCAGTGTGCGAGTTCATGGAAATATGCACGCCTACCAGGACTAGAATCCATGCTTCCAGCGTGCTAGTTGATGATGGTAAGCACGACTACCAGGAGCAAAAAAATCCATGATATCATAGCACAATCTCCACGACCTAGTCAGTTTGGTTTTTCGTAAAACTGCGTAAGCCCTTCCCGGGTCCGCGTCCAATACGAAGAGTGAAATTGGCCACTTACTCTGTCCTTCAACTTAGACACGTCATGACAAGTTGAAAAATATGAAGTTACAATGCTACCAAAGCCCCCCCGGCTGAAGTCCCAGCTAGATCAAGCAAAAGGGCGTCTTGTTATTTCTTCTATTTCTAAACTAAGCTATCACAAAACCAACTCCTTGACCACTCTTCGTGTCACTCGCACTGTAGTTACAGTCTTCAGAATTTCAATGCACGAGGCCAGAGATACTAGGCACAACCACAATATGCTTCCTTAACCTTACGAACTCGAACGTCCATAATATGCTACCTTAACTTATTCTACATCATCTATCATACTGCATCCCAAACGACCATACTACGCCATCGGCGGGATGCCTTAACCTCTCTTTCTAGTCTTCCATAATAATTGCTTCCAACGCATCGGAGACCTCGCAATCCTCGGTGATATCCGTTGCATTCCTATAGCCCACAAAAACGAGCAACAATACGCCATATAAGAAGTACGCGTATCCTAGCGTTAGAGCGTGCCGGTATTCAGCAGGTTGGATCTCACCATGACGCTGCAAGAGGAGAACCTACCGAAGAAGATGACGCAAGTGCGTCTTGAACGGTTTTCCCCTTGCGAGCATATCAAAGCTGCCTCTAGCTACCTCTTAAGCAAGGTGAATATTAATACGAGTAATGAAAATAAGCCTTAATAGAAACCGGTAGAACTGATAAACCGACCAGCTCCGCCGTCGCTGCTGAGGCAGCAAGCAAATGTATGAAGATAAAACATAAAAATAAAACGGAACTGTTTGATGTGCAAGTACCCAGTGATTCACTTTGATTGAATATGTGCCCTAGAATGCCACCTCTTCTTCTACCAGTTCTATGCAATATGCCAGTTCTACTCTACCACTTGTACGCAATATGCCACTTCTACTCCACCACAAGATGCCTAGTACAAACAGTAACAGCACCACAGACACCAGTGGTGATTCCTCCATAAGAGAAAGACTCCGCTTCGTGTGTAGCAACAGGATGCGAAGAATGGTGGCTTAGACGTATCGTTCACGCTATTAGCCATGTTTCAGAAATATCTTCGCAGCGAGTACTACTGTTAATAAATAAAGAGGAACGATAACGAACTATTAAAAGAGGATCATGACAAAGGCTCATCAAGTGCTACACTTGATAAAAGAGTTATACCAGTTGTCTTCATTTTCATCTGCACGTTTGGTCCGTCAAATTCTTCATCTTATTCCAACGTTTGGTCCGCCAGGTGTCCGTTTATCTAGCCAATCACGACTGTCACTGACTCATGCATTGACCCACTCGCACGCTGCTCGAGTCCGATTAATCGTCGTCATGCCTTCACTCACTGCCTTCTATAAATCACTCGGCGACCACCGCAGCTCATATATCATTTACTTCGTAATGACTCATCATGTACTCTCCTGAACTTCCCTTTTTTACTGTCACTGTACTTAAAGAAACTCCATGTTGCTATACCGGTCTCGGCATGCACGCAGTTTTGCACTGTAGCCAGTCTACATGGATCAGCAAGACGCCAGCACGTCCACGTGGAGGTCTTCTCAAGCACTCCTTTGTCTTGGAGACGATCACGGCGTTGGTTTGTAGTGGTTGTTTGCCTTCATCTGACATTACTTATTCGTTATAGTCCCATGCTGGTACTTCTTGCAATACGACAGCTATAGCACCACATCATGTCGAGAATTGTTGCGAAAACTGACCCAAGTCAGCACCAGCCTGAAAAATCTAGCTGGTTCTAGTTGTTGTGGATGGATGTGTAAGTGCGTAGTGTAACGTCTTTCGAAGAGTACTTAGTCCTCGTCGAAGTTTTAGATGCTACAAACATGTAAAACTCTCAACAAGCAGGACGAGTCAGCTAGTAGTGTCATGACTAGTCGTGTTAGAGATGAACAAGCATTATGAAATTATCTCTGATACCATTTCTAAGACCTTAGTCAAGTCTCCTTAGTCAGGTCTCTTTCCATCAACATTTCAGACAGAAAGTCCTAAGAGTCCTCTAAATTCTGACTAAAGATTGCATTCCTAATGTTTTCAGGCTCTGAAAAGGATTTACATTCCAATTCTGACACTCAGTTTCTTCACAGTAAACATGTGACTCACATTCTCTACATGCTGGACACTGTCAACACACTGTCTAAGTTTTTCTTTGAAAAACAAAAGATTTGCAAAGCTCTCATCAGAAAATGAATTCAATTTTTGGGCGATAAAAATTCAATTTCTTGGATAGTGGTACTTAATCCGCATTGAATTCTGAATTTTCTAATTGTTGGTAACGAAATTGACATTCCAGTTGCAAATTTGCCCAACCCAAGTTGTAGCCTCGTCTTCTCACTTGGTGTGCTACTAGTACGTGGTGCTGCAGCAGTACTATAGCATGCTGGTACTCTAATAGGAAGATGAAGTAGAAAAGCATGCATAGAGAGGGGATGGGAAATGTCGGCATAAATAGGGGAGACAGACACGACACAAGCTGCGGGACCTGATGGTGGCTTGTTCGACAACACTGGCGGGACAACAGACAAACTTTCAACTGAAAACTAGAAGATCTATTTACTACTTTAAGGAGAGTCTCTAAGTATCAAGCCTTTCCCGCGCTGACAAAGTTGTAACAAACATTCCTACACACACGCAACAAATATGGCTACAGACTAGCCCCGAGACCCCGAAATTCTATTTAGCTCTTCAATATAGTGGACTGGGACTGCCCTGGGGATATTCGCAACGAATACGGTTACATTGGAATAGGGTTACATATTCGGAAGATGGTTAGTGATCATACCACTGCAAGCCAACAACGAACGAACTGAAAATAGCTCCACAAGAAAGAAAAATAACTGCCTCGATTACATACAAGCAAGAACCAAGAACTTTTCTTTGCGTACCTTAGAAAGTGTCCCTTTGAATGAAATCCCTTTGAAAAAATTATGCTGACTGTGAAGGTGATTATCACCCTGCGTAATAATGTAGGAAGGAATAGGCAGTACTCGGAAGATTCTAGCAAAGCCTGAGGTCTTCGTGCTGTAATACTAGCCCCCAGACCCTACCGTCATAGAAATACTTTCCTATTCATGTGGTACCAGCCCAAGACAAGTATACTCTGCCGTCATAGAAATACTTTCTTATTCATGTGGAACCAGCCCAAGACAAGATATGATACTAGCCGTCATAGAAATACCTTCTTCGTGATATAATACTGCCCTGTCCAGGCAACGCACAGTGCGCAGTGGAGGACTACATTGCAGGTGCCTAATTGCAGCTCCGCTGCTAGCATACATGGGTAGATCGTCATGTATGGGAACATAAACAGGTAAAACACGATGAAGAAACACAAATTTGACAGTCCATGCTGCTGCATGCGTGCTGAAGAGTGTTGCAAATGCATTCTTCGCCGTGAAGATGAGGCACAGCAGCACTGCTGTGCTATTATTGAAGATGAGGCCCGTTGTTGTGCTATCATTGATGAGGCACCGTCCTCTCCCTCTTGAGAGGCACTGTCCTCTCCATGAGAGGCACCGTCCTCTCCCTGTTGAGAGGCACTGTCCTCTCCATGAAGTTGCTCTTCTAGTTGTGGGGTCGTGTGTCTCCACTGGCAGTTTAGACGCTCTGGCCCTCCCGGTAATTCAGTTCTGCTCGTTGGGACTCCCAGACTTTCGATGCTAGAGAGTGTCCTCGGCGTGCTCCCATTGTTCGACTCTACTGATGTAGCATTAGAGCTACCGCGTTGGCATCTGCCCTGAGAGTCGTGTCCTTGGATTCCTCCTTTTCAAGTAACAATCATAAGTGCTTCCCCAGATGTATGAGCAGTAGTAAATGTATGCTTTCAAGTAGAAACGGGCCAAGGATGATGCTGAGGATGGTTGAGCGGCAGCCTCAATGATATTCTTCTTGCCGACGTTGCTCATGTTGGAGCTTCTGCTGTTATTAAACCTTACTCATATTCATCTGGAAGAGCACCAGCATCTTTGACGCATTTTCTTTTCCTTAGTAAAGCTATTAAAGAGGTCATCAAAGAAAAAAAAAGCTAAAGCAAGAGGTCAGAGAGAAAAATGCCTCATGATCTTAGGATAAATTACCGTAAAAAGCCTTAATGGGATCTTCAATAGTCCTCGTGGAGTGTGTTACACTGGTCCTCGTGTTATCAATAGCGACCGCGATGGTTACCAGAATAAGATACAGCTGCGGCATGGACACCGTGACGCCCACAAGGAAAATGTCAGCGGCAGGTCTCGAGCAACTGTATTCGCCGTAAGCAGCTGCAGAAGCCCCTATCAGCGTGCATCTTAGATGAACTTCTACGGAAGTTTGTTACATCATGATCATTCAGCATCCCCTGAAAAAGAACCTTGTTGCGCTTTTTTTTTCATCGATCCCCTGAAACAGAAGATAGGATAGGATAGGATAGGATAGGATAGGATAGGATAGGATAGGATAGGATGCCGCCGCTTCGCCTCCACACTTGGTGGGACCGCAAGCTTTAGCAGATCGCCCCAAGGAGGACGCGTGGGTGAAAAGGGGGTTGACCACCCGCGTAGGGCGTCTCTACACAATTCTTGTAGCAGTCAAAAAGTAAGTGGGGTGCTACAAGTTCTCGGTCGCATCTATCTAGCATTCCTTCGTCGCCCCTTCAAAACACGTCAACTGTCCTCGATCTTACTGGGGCTTCATGAGGGTACGGAAGTACGGAAAAGAACCTTGCATGGAACCTAATACTAGAAAAATATATAATTAACTTGAAAAAGTACCTATAATTGAAAAAGAACCTTACGTCAACATGCATCCCTTGAAAAATAAAGAATGAACCTCCTTCTAATAGGCTTTTGATCCTTCTAATAGAAAAATTAATTGCTGCTCTCCAGCTGCCCTATGCGTCGCAAGAAGCAATTTCCTTGCGTGCGTCTTCTAAAGAAAAGGAAATCACAAGAGTCACGAAGTGAGTGTTCATGTAAACCTCTACTTCTGTTTGCACCTTCTTCTTCTCCAGTCACCTCATAAGTACCACAACCAGCATCCCGGCGAAAACGCTCCAAACATTTTCGCAAGCAGTGGGCGACGATTTGCGAAGGAGACAAAAGCCTTAGACCTTCCGGAAATCTCCCATTTTGAGATGCATCTTGGACCTCCATCTTGAAGGTCATCCTGGATCCGTTTGTTTCCCCCTTACCACAATACACGGGAGGTCGAGGGGACACGCTTCCCCCTTACACGGGGGGTGCAGGATGCTTCTCAAGGACATGGGAGATTTCCGGGACTCCTAACAGCCACTTCATACCCGATAACCGCTGATGTCCATCCAGAAAACGCAACAGATGACAAGCAGATCGTCCACAGGAACCGAAACACAAGTGGAGGGCCGTCTACCAGGTCTTCTGGTGTGAAGTGTTGGTGAGCTAGGGCGCCAGAGAGCGTTGCCATACCGTTTAGGAAAACGGTTGAAGCGAGGAGAAGCCGGACGGAAGGATAGCGGTCGGCGTAGTTAATGGGCTTAGAGTGATAGTGGATAGTCTGTACATGCAAAATCTAAAAGACAGTCTAAAAGACCCAAGTCTACATCTGCGACGGGGGCCAGCACAGGTACTAAAAGGACTTAAAATTTACGCCCAAACTTTCCTCGAACATCTGCCAACCACAATTATTGAATGCTATTTGTACAACTCCAGTGATGTTTTTGAACCGAGGAAGGCCGAAGACTCCAACGAATCTAAAATAGCCGCAAACAAAGCCTTAGCCAGCGTGTCACCAGAACCTCCAGAAGATGGCCAGATCCACTTTATTCTCCATGAATCTTCCGCACTCTTCGTGATCAAACGAATCCCACAATACCACGTGATTACTGTAAGCAGGTAGTCGCTGCCCCATGTCCAAATGGTGTTGTCGAAAAAGGTTTTTCCATGTGTGTATTAGCGCTTGCCCTAACCCATCGCGGGATTCATCTACATCTTAGACCTATGCATTTTCCGCTTATGTGGCGACCGGTCCAAGATGCTGCAGAAAGACAGATTAGAGTGCGCCTTAAGTATAATGCCAACGCGCTCGTTCGCTTTGGTCGTAAACTCCGAAACCAGGTCCAAAACTGTGGTCTGTCCACTCAGCGTAGCTAGTGGCAAAAAAGATCGAAAACCAAACGGAAAATGATGTCCAGAGTAGGACAAAACAGCCGTTATGAACCACTTGGGTAGCACTAGTCCTACATTGGTGATGGGCCTTCGTCTCTTTGAAAGGCCTCTTAGAATGGAGTTGTTGCTGTATGTCATGCCCTGTCGCCTCTTATGTAGCTATTGACGTCTACTTGTGAGGCCATCCAATCCTGTACCTGTTCATGTAAAAAGAATCTACGTAGACGAAAAACCTCATCCGTCCCCACTGCGTGATCCATAATAGTTGCTTCTTTTATCGAACCTGCATTAAATAGTCCTGGTGAATCTTTCACGACGCTGTTGACGCTTCCTCTTCCCCGCACCCTATTGGGTGAAGGGCAATCCCCATCGTCACCATCTTGTTCGACTCCTGCTTCTAAGCCATGATCAGCACTCTTCAGGCCTGTACTTGACGAGGTAGAAGACGTTCCTTCTGGCAGGAACAGGGGACCGTTTGAAGGCTGTGCAAGGAGAGTCATGATTTTGGAACTCACTAAATGAATGGGGCAAGAGGTATTAAGACTACATGCTCCAAGAAGAAAGAAAGATATCAGTGCACGTTCATGCAATCAATAGGTAGCAACACGAAAAATTTAGCTCTCTTCAACAAACAATATCAGTCACAGCTTAAACAATCTGCACGAAATGATCTAAACTATCGACGTCTTTCTTCGACTGGTAACTTCTACATGGGCAAAGAAAGCTGCACTATCACGATAAGGTAGTCCTCTCAAAGTGGTGAACTTTTTGGTACCAGATCAGAAGACTTTGATAGCTCTCGATAAGAAACGAATTCCATTTTTGGGCGATAAAAAACCATTTTTTCGAGAATTCAAGAGTTGAAAGTTAAACTATTCCAAATTTGAGAAACTTTTAGACTCAAACTTTCAGAATTTCATGAAGTTTCAGGTCACTTGGGTTGAATAGAGAAAGTTTTAGACTCAAACATTCCAAATTTCATGAAGTTGTAGGTTTCTTGAGTGGAATAGAGAAAGTTTTAGACTCAAACATTCAGAATTTCATGAAGTTGTACGTTTCTTGAGTGGAATAGAGAAAGTTTTAGACTCAAACATTCAGAATTTCATGAAGTTGTACGTTTCTTGAGTGGAATAGAGAAAGTTTTAGACTCAAACATTCAGAATTTCATGAAGTTGTAGGCTTCTTGAGTGGAATAGAGAAAGTTTTAGACTCAAACAATCAGAATTTCATGAAGTTTTAGGTTTCTTGAGTTGCATATCAGAGCAATGAGGTTTCTCTTATCGACAGTGATTCATTCTAACAACAGAAATTGCCACAGTAAACAACCTAGCAATACTATGCTACATGATTCAGAAACTTCGAGAACAACAGAGTCTACAACAGCTATATAGGTAAGCACTTCACGTACACCCCATTGCACTGCACTCATACCAGATGATGTCTGCTTGTTGCCACCTATCTTCATCACTTCGCTAGCATAGTTTGCTCCACACTCAGATAGTAGCTCTCATCACTCTTGTCCACATCACTCCTGGCGTACTGCGATTTGCAGTTGCTGACTCATCGCCATGGATTTACAGTTAATGACTCGTCGCCATAGACACTGCTCTTTCTCTCATGTATTCCACCCCAACCAGCAGTAGGTTCAAGCCTACATTCTCTGATCTTTTCGTCGACAAGGGCGCAGTCTCTGGCAGGTATATGCTCCACCAAGCAGGGGACGTCCAAATGTCTCTATGTTCACCATCAATCGCTGAACTAAAAGATGTCGAAAGAAGCTCCGTCATGTCAAATGGTATCAGTCTTGTTATCATGCACACTGCCATCTTCTGACACATCCTGAGATTCAATTGACATGGCATGAGTCTCTGGTATGCCATGTCATCGTCCCTCTTTCATACCATTTCGCGTCTATGATATGTGAAGCCATTCAGTGAGGTGGTGCCTCCAATGAAGGGCCCCACGACACCGACCATTAAGTCTCTTTCTCAAAAAGAAACTAAGACTCGAAGGGGTCGAAGTCTTCGTCACTCCTAGTACTTTCAGCCCTAGTACTTCTTTGTTGGACTCCTACTTGCTGATCTTCTTTCTCCGCGTCTCTAGTGGCGTTACCTCTTCCCCCAGGCGTCGACGAGGCTGCACTACTGGCACTACTACCCATAGTACGCACTCTGCTTGCAGGATTATAGGTGTTGTTACTATCTGGATTTTGCTTCCTGCTCATGCCTGCAGAGGCTGATGTCGATGACGTAAAGACTGACGCAGATCCACTATGGCTACTGTTTTTAGCAGCATTTTGAGATGGTACGGTACTAGTTGTGCCGTTGGCTGTAGGATGCTCTTCAGAATTGTAGTGATTACCGTTTTTGTCGTCTTCTTTGTGCTTTTTACCGTGATCGTTGCTGGCATATCCACCAGTCTGAAGTTTTGGGTTCACCCGCTCTACGACGCCAGATGAGGCACTAGAATTTCCAGTATAGCCAACTGTCCGAAGCCCTGGACTCACCCGGTCGACGACTCCTTTCGTCCTACTATGACCGCTGTTTGTCGTCTGGCTGCTCTTAGAGAGGAAGAACTTGTAGTAGGGCTTCGAACTACGTCTTAGAGGACGTCAGAAGTCGAAGCAAAATGTGAGGCAAAAAACTCGCTCCTTTTGCTGTCTCAGGAATAAAAACTACACTTGTAAATCGGGAAACGCTTGTTCTACAATACCAAAAATGTTGATCGGAAACAAGACACTAACCTAATAGAACAAGGACTTTTTCTTTTCTACGCGACAAATACTTGTGAATCCGCAAATCTGTACCAAAAATGCGCCAAGACTATGAATATCAAGAAGCTCCCTAATCTTAGTCCCAACAACACTCGTCCTGATGCTAGCACTGCTTCTGCTCGAGGCCGCTGCCTCTTCAGATCGCGACGTCTTTGAGTTGGAGCTTCCCCTAGTTCATCCCTGTAGGGATCCCGCAAAGATGATATGCCTTACTATTCCACTGGTATTGCGGTGCATACTGTTGAGGGATGTCGACAGAGATGGACTAGGGGAAGCCTTAATAATTGAGGGAGGTGGAGGCGGTGTGGCCCTGCTCCTAGATCCGTCTTTTTCCTTGAGGACTGTGTCACTTTTCACTGCGCCATCGCTTTTGACTGCGCCATCAGCATTATAGCCTTCTTCTCTACTATTTGTCTTCAAGTCAACAGACACAGGCACAAAGACGGTGGTGCCACGCTCAGCTTGCACTATGAGGATGTCGTACAATTGCTCCAAATCCAGTTTCCCGTTGGCACGCAGTCGCACCTCTTGACTGCCAAAGCCACGCCAAAGAAGCTTGTGGCCGCTGTTGTTAGATGAACAATCTCATTGGTCTTAGAATTCAAGAAACTATTTTACTCAAGAGAGTGAAACTAAATGCTTCCGCGCAGAGGAGTACTCCGCCACTGTCTGCTTCTGGGAGGCCATTTTTTGATGCTTTATTCTTTCATTTTCCTTGAGCCAAAATGGCTACAGCTGCAGATATCATCACGAAAGATGGCAGATGAGTATGCTCTTACTACTTTTTCACTGCACAAATTCACTTACGCCTTAAGAAGAATTTCTTGTAGAAAAAGAACGTGTAAAAACATCATGTCAGTGTAAAAATAGCATGTGAAGAAGACATCTACGACCAACATAATACAAGGAAGATTAAATGCTGTTAAAAGAGTGTATGCTGCTATTAGGTTAGGTGTGGGTCCACTAGGTAAACCAGCAGACTTCAGTGGCTGCTGAAGAGCCAAAAGAGCAAGAGTAAGTTTTCTTAGTACGCCTGTAAAAAGAACCAGTGTCGCCTTAATCCTCTCACCACCTGCTTCACGACTGCCTTCGTCCGGAAGGGAATAGGTCAACACCCGAAAAGGAACGCAGTCGTCCTTGCTATCCTTGGTTGGCTGCTGTCCCACATTCGAAGATGACGTGCTGTATATTCTCACATGAGCGTCACGAGGCGTGCACTGTACTGACAACTCAAAGTCATCGTAGAGATCTCGTACAATCACCTCTGTCGGCCACACGACTACACGGACAGGCTCATCTGCTGGGTTGCTCTGTTTGGCTTTAGAAGGATTCCACTGCACACCTACGTACAATATTTCACCAAGCATACAGCCTGAGCAATCCTCTACATCAACTGTCCTAGACTAAATGGTCTTGCTTCGATTGCCATCTCTAATTTGATCACTACATGGCAAAGAAAGCTGTACCACAGCAAGATACAACAAGGCACTCATTTCAGGGTTGTATTGAAGATTTTGGCACCAGATCAGAAAGCTGTGATATCTCTCGATAAGAAACGAATTCCATTTTTGGGCGATAAAAAACCATTTTTTCGAGAAATCAAGATTTGAAAGTTGAATTATTCCAAATCTCAAGAACGTTTTAGATTGAAACATTCCAAGTTTCAGGAAGTTTTAGACTTCTTCAGTTTAGTATAGCTATGAAGTTTCTCATATCAACACTGAATCTTCATAGCTACAGCAACCATAGATACCAAAGCAACCAGCATAAGTATAAGACTTCTACAGATTACTAGGGCAACCCTTAAGCATAAACCCTCTCATACTAGCACTATGCTGCTCTGCTTGTGCTGCACTTATTCGACTCGAACTGGCTGAAGACGACCGCTGTTGTTCTGACTGCTCCACTGTTGTTGCTCCTAATTGCAAGTCAAAGGCGCAATGGAGTGGCAAATGGTCCGAACCACATCCGAAGGCACCGCAGGTTAGCGGTGGGTAGTAGTAAGTCACTTACTTATAGTTCTTTTGGGGGATTATAAGTTCTTTTGGGGAATAGTCACTTCGAAACTGTTGTCGAAGTGGGATTGGTTTTCGAAACTCATCTTGGGGCATTAGTAGTACTAGTAGTGAGTGGGATTAGAGGTGGGTAGTAAGTGGTCTTTTCTGTAGTTGTAGCCCCTTAATGTCAGAACACTGTAGTCCAGGGGTCGCACTGCAGCTATCTTCCTGTTCCGGCAGAAATATAGAACGCGATCGGTATAAGCAGGCGCAGATTTGCTCATATTCAGAGCTAATTTGGTGTTCGTACTATTAGCTTTTGTAGTTGCGCTGCCACGGCCGTTTCTGGAAATACTTCCAAGATCACTCTCTTGTGCGTTCCTCCCACTGCTATCCAGCAAAGTCGCCGCCTGTGAGTCGTCTTCCGGCTCTACTGTTATGGTATGCGTTTTGCTCGTAGTCCCGACTTTCGCGCTAGAATCTGACTCGCCACCATCGTCTGCAAGGTACTTGAAGGTCGGCGGGAAAACAACAGGAAACTCGCCGAAGAACTGCAAGGGCGTGGACATCCGGAAGTTAGAAGAGATCTCAGGATGATGAAGAATCGACGTTTTACGGCAGTCCCTGATCCTAATGCGATTTCATTTTAGCCCTATAGTCCACGACCCGGTGTATCTATAAGGACCTACCCATGCGAAGTCAACCTAGCGAACTTACAACTTCAGATAGTATGTAAGATCCTCATTTATTCATCGCGGAAGCTAACATCTTATACTAAGAATCAAAAGCAGTAGAAAACTACTCTCTGACCGCCTTAATCAACACCCTTGCCAAATCGTCCGCAGCAACTAGCTTGGTAACGTCCCCAGCGTCTAAGGCTCCAGCAATCTCTGCTTTGGAAAGGGCAGGAACAACACGACTGTTCAGATCTCCAAAAAACATGACGCAGTCGTACGATGGCATATGAAAGGGGAACAAGAGTAGATGACGCAGTCGTACGATGGCATATGAAAGGGGAACGAGAGTAGATGACGCAGTCGTAGGATGGAATATGAAAGGGGAACGAGAGTAGATGACGCAAGGGGAGTGGAAGAGGATTAGGGAGTAGGAGAGGGGATCTACAATGGGAAGGAAGAGCATCCACTGAAACGGGAGGAGGATCGGGAGGTGACATTATCGGTGAGGAATGAGGATTAGAAATCAACAGAATGCAGAGGAAGAAGAATCATCTAGCGATACGTAGCATGAAAAAGCCAGCTCGTGTAACCGCATCAATGCTTCATTCACCAACACAACAGGGAGAAGCCAGTGTGCAATGCGTACGGAGAACTAGAAACACGAAAGAGAGTTCTTACGAAATCTCAAGAATCTACATCGAATGCCCTAGACTATTTCCTCTGTGGATTGTTATCGCCAATTCCATGAATAGATGGGCAAAGAATGCTGTAGCAGCGCCATGCTGCAGCAATTTCAAAGCTTTGACGATTTTGGCATCGAATCTCAAAGTTTTGATATCTCTCGATAAGGAATGAATTCGATTTTTGGGCGATAAAAAACCACTTTTTCGAGAATTTAAGAATTGAAAGTTAACATATTTCAAGTTCTAGATTGAAACATTCTAAATTTCACGACGTTTGAGACTTCTAGAGTTGAATAGTTGATCTAGAAGCTTCTGATTGAATTCATTCAGGATTTACGGATCAAATACGCTCAGATACGAAAAAAATAGGTGGGAAGTTCAGCACTCCGGGCATGTAAATTCCAACCGCCCCGGTATGATGGACAGTAATTTCTCTCAGAGGATCGAACACGAAGTCTCAGGGTTTCTAGTGCAATTAGAGCCACGCACTGCCCTGATCATTGTCTTCTTGAACACAGAACCACGCTCGGACGTATGAAAAAAGCATCCCCATGCTCAAGGCAGCAGATCGACACCTCAGGCATCACTCTGGTCGCAGAGTCGGAAACGCAGGGCACACCACAAAGAGCCGTCATCTTGCAAGGAAATGAGCAAATAAGTTGTAAAATGAGCTATCGACTAACGCGAGCCCGTCCCGTCCCTCTGTCCTGTATGTTTCTATTTTTCAGCTGGGTACATCGAGAGAAGGAGCTGGATTCATGATGAGACCAACAGTCTATACACAATGTAAGTATTCTGGGACCAAAATGCAAGGAAATCGGTAATTAATTTGCAAAATGATTCTTAAGCATTGAGCAGGGATCACTAATTTGGTTTAATTCGTGGAATGAACGCAGACTCTTGAGCAGAGCCCAAGTATGCGGCACGCAAGAAGTGATCACTGTCAGGTCACTATCAAAAGGGAAGGAGCCAGTGATTTCATTTCAGATCGCATTTCACAAAGAAACAGCTGATTACTTTGCAACATGATCACTACAAGAAGATCAGGGAAAGCATTACAAGAGTCAAGAAAGTATGATCACGGAGACGAGAGAAGAACGGAGAAGCTGGCCCATATTGAAAAGAAGCGACCTGAAGCTGATCCACAGGAAAGCTGATCTTAAAAAACGAGAAGAGTCATCAAATCGCAAAGAAGTGATCGATTAAGTTGCAAAATGAGAATCACCACACAAAAAACAAGTCACAACAGAAGAAGCCACATGGTGTCGAGAGTGGAGCTGAGCTTCAGAAGCACCCGGGTCGAGAAGAGTATGGGTTTGCCCTGAATAAACAAACAAGAGCCATTTTGCAAAGAAGTCACTAATTACTTTGCTACTTGAAAGCTGTAGGGTGACCATTACAGATCTCGAATCTCTGTGAGGGGCGTAGGAGGACTCATGAAGGACTTTCGTCTTCGTCTCCCGTCTGCAACATCTTCCATACTTCTCTTCACATTTTCCCACGCTCAACCTTTGCTCTCATTTCCAAGCTCTTGTCTCATCTTGCAAAGAAATACCCGAAAAGCTTGCAACTTGCTTGTCCGTAGCTCTGACAGAGCGGACATCTCGACAGACGCAGCGCGTGGACAGATCATCAGGAGAGTCTACATATTCTCGTATATACCAGCAGAACACGGCGACAAGCTTACAGAAAAGTAGTAGCGTATAGAAAGTGCGTCTGTCTTCTTTCGTCACTCAACATCGCGCTTTTTCTTGTGTTGTGCTGTGTGTACTCTACTGGCACGATCGCCAAAGTCTTTCGGGACGACATCAAAAGTTTCTACGGATGACGAACCCTCCACTGTCTAGTCAGCTTTGTGAAGATCTACTTTTCTCCATCGCGAAGTGCAGTGGTGTTCTGAATGCAGCAGGAGCAATTCCATTCAATCAAACCAAACCCATCTTGTAAAAGAATGATGTGAGACGAAATGAATGATATAACAGATGCTGTGGCGTCGGCATACTACTAGCGAATGAAGTGAGTGACATGCGAAAGGTATGGATATCTTTGGGATATCTTCACTGGCTGCACCTATGGAAACCCACGTCCTACTCGACTGTGGAAATGTCAGTGGGCATTTATTTACTTATGAAGAAAATGGGCCTGAAATGTAAAAAAAATTCACATAGATGAAGCGAACAAAACTAGCCCTGCTCGTATGTAGAATCGCGCGTAGTTGTAGAGTAAGAGTAAGTATATGTATACTGCAGAAAGTGGAGACGTCCTGTGTATAATTCACGAGAAAGAATGTACTAGATTACATGCCTACTCGACTATGAAGAGAAAACAACAAGGAATTCGCCTCGAATATCATGGAAATGCCTTCGCAGCTCATGTAGAAGATTTCTCATCATAATGCATCATGTTGTAAACAAAAAGATTATCGATAATCATGAATTCATACCGTGATGTAGATAGTCATAAACTACACCTATCGCAACATCGACCGCAGGCGCTGTATACGATAGGTGTATAAGAAAATTACCCCCATGAACCCCCCTGAACTCCCATTTTCGTAAGGTTGTGGCCAATATGTGTAAACGGTGAAACAGTCGACGCGATTGCCCTCGCTCGTCCCCCCACTCATGAGATGCATGCACCATTAATTACATTAAATGCAAAATTCTCTTGGAGAAATAAGAAGCGAAACCATGACAGCGTAGGTCTACAGTCGTGTCGTCCGGAGTAATTACATCCCTCTTGGACAAAAAAGGCGACAGATTACGACCTACACATCAGGAGAAAAGACGCGACTCCGGAAAATCTAAGAAGATTACTGCACGCATTCAAACACGTCACCCGAAGTGAGAGACTGCGAATGGCCCAGTTGTGCACTCCATCGAACGATACAGCAATCCCCATCCATCCTCCCGCCTCTAAATGCTGTCACAAAGATAGAGCTAGAAATACTGCCCCAGGCTGTGAAAGCCTAGCACTCCTTCTTTCTCGGTTTCTTCGAAAGTCTTCACGCAATATAACTAGCGCGAATCTTGGATTTAGATACCTTCTCATAGTTCCAGTGTTTATCGTGCATACACAACGAAGCTGCACAAACAAAATCAAACGACTCGAACTTCTCGAGTTTCCTTATCTACAAATGCCGTAGGTCAGTCTCCGACATAAGTAAACAAACGTGGAATCGAGGCTGAGTTAAGTCAAGTGATGTTGTCACGCGGAACATGCTCGCGACTTAAAGCAGTCCGTGGAACACAAGGAAAAGAAATATCTGATGCGCAGACGGAATTAATTAAGTTTTTCTAATTGTGCGCCCAGGTGCTCAATTAACTCCTCAAGTGAAGAAAATGCTAAAGATTCCTTGGGAATTCGGCGGTAACTATATCAGTCGCACGTCGTGGACTGGCGACTACCCCTACGGCCGTCACACCTGCCCGCTCAAGAAATCATCCCCAGGATTTGCAGAAGACTTCTAGAGCAATCAGCTAATTGCTGACACTAGTAATGCTACAACCCCGGCAGGGGACACCGTAGGGAAGCCTACCTAGATCGCTACTCATGTCGATAAGCAAATCACTCAGCACAAAATACAAACATCCACATATAGTAACATCTATAGAAAGTGCAAAGAAAAATACTCAATCTGCGGAACGACCTCCGCCTTCGCGGAGGAGTTCGATAAGTCCTCACAAGTTGCTACTTGCTCATTACTCCACCGTAGCACGGACTAAATACCGCTTGGCCAGACGATGGCGACACAAGCTCTAGGAGACTCATACACATTATTACGAATCTTCTTGGAAGTAGACTAACCGCCGCGATAAAGTGTCCACGAGTTTCTAGGAAAAGAACTAAAATACTCATCGAGTGTGGGAGTGCTACCTAAATGTATCCCGAGCTCTCACAGCTTCACTTTATCCTTTAGTACCCCAAGGTTTACCGACTGTTTCCCACCCGTCAACCCGCTCCCGTCCCAGAGAGTCTACCATCAACCCGACTCTCTGTCTTACCCCTTCACCACCTCACTTTCCTCCCCCGACTACAGGAGTCCAACATCAGACCAATCGGACCCCTTAGTCGTTCTTCTTCGTCTTGCGCAATCCCAACACCACGCCGCCTTTGGATGGGTTAGCTCCATCGGGGACCATCGTTCTGCCCTCGAGATTGGCCGCGCTCGCTTTAGCCTTCGCCTTGGATGCGGCCGCCTTGGCCTTCGCCTTGGATGCGGCCTTGCTTTTCGCTTTGCCCTTGCCCTTAGTGGTGGTGGTGGTGCTCGGGGCGTCGTCGCCATCATCGTCATCGGAGCTGCTGGATTCGGGGCCACCTTATGAAGATGATAAGGAGTCTCAAGATAACTTGGAAAACGTCGATGCTGATTCTATCATGTAGCATGATTATAATCTATACCCCTTCACTCTTGAGAACAGTACAGCTTTCCACTTTGCGAGAAGAAAGAACCAAACTCGAGCAAGCGACTTACTAAACGATCAGATAAAAGTAAAGCCTTACCTTCCGAATCTTCGATAGCGTTGCTCTCATCCTTCGCGTTCATGACCTCCTCCACAGCCTTGACCTCCTCAATGAACTCCTCCTCATCAAACGGCTCCTGCTCGCCAACACTGAGACGCTTCTTCGGTGGCGACTGATGCTCACCCACCGAGACGCGACGCTCTGAAATAATATGAGAAAAAGCTATCAACTTAAGGTAAGTGATAGCGATGGTTGAATTTGAAGCAGTAAAGTGCTAAAGTTTTTCTTTGTGTAAGCAGACACTGGGTATTATAATACATAGCACACAACTGGATAACCGATAATGACAATGAGTGTAGTACTTTGGTTGACGACAGCATCCGCATCGCCGAGAAGAAAGTGGGACTCATCATCTTTGCCGACCTTCATCTTGGGCACAGCCTTGGCGTGAAGAGGCGAAGCTTCGACTTCGTTCTCCTCGTCAGAATCGCGCGCTTCTTCCTTGACGGACACAGTGTTGGCCTTCCGCTCCGGCTCCTTCTTGTTCTTGTCCTTGCTGTCCACAAAAGCCGCGTCGCGTTCTTGAAAGAAATCAAGCGCCTCTCCCGCGATCATGCTCGAGAAGTCGAAGTGGTGCTCGTCTGCATCTGTAAAGTTATAAATATAAAATGTTTCGTAAATAATGAAGAGCAAGATGGGTGTCGATTCTCTGACATTCTAGAAATCAACGCCCTCGCCTCACTTCGATACACATTCCAACGCACACGCGCTGCACTTGCGCTTGCCTCGCAAACTAAGACTAAGAGGCAGTAGAAGATCTAGTATAGTACCCTCGTCACCGCTGGGAATATAGGATTGACTGCGAGGCTCAGCAGCCGGCGGGGAGTTGTACATGGTGAGGCCATCTTCCACCGGAAGGAAGCTGCTTGGCTGTTTGCGCATCTCCATTTGAACACGAGCAGCCTGCTCGCCAGCAGTCTGCTTTCGCATGCGGGAGGTAGCAATCTGTCCGGGACTCGTGCGAGTGATTCCTCTCTTGGCTTTGAAATCTGCGAGAATCTTGAGGCTCTGTTTCACTTCGTTGCCATCCTCGTCATATTCTTCGAGGCGCTCCTTCGAGTGGGAGTAAATCGCTTCGTTGGCGGCGCTCGAGATTAGAGGCACTGCTTACAAGACACAATGTATGTGGAATTTGAAAACGGATAGGAAGTTCATCGGTAATTGATTAAGTGTAAGATAAGACCACTCATCATGTGAAGAATTACACCACGGCATATAAAGATTTTCATCATAAGCAAAAAGTCGCAAATTCTGGGCAGATGACGGAAAGCTCATCAAGCGCACGGCACACGGGACTGTCTTGCATGAGGGTGCGAAGGTGATCAACAGCAGCTTTGGTGGGTGCGGCGTTGGTGGTGGTGGTGCAGCGATCCAACGCTTTCACTTGGTATTCGAAAATGCGCTGAACCTTGTACGGGATCTGAGCGCAGACCGACGTGATCAAGTCATCCAAGTCCTTCGGCAAACTGCAATTCTCCAGAAGCTCTTCAAACTTGCACCATGGAGCCGACAAACTTTGCGCCAGGTGAGGAAGCTTGTTACCCGTTCCAATAGTGAAGTCACCGCTGCTCATCACGTTGCTGATATTGCGAAGGACTCCCATCATTTCTGCGATAAGCGAAAGCGCCTGGAGTTGTGGAGAGAGTAGACCATTATGATGGTACGGCATCGCAGTAACGATCATGGAAAGCAAAAGTCTACTTCTTGGTGGGGCTAAGACATGTTGAATCTTGCCCGTCAGTTCGAGTATTAGTCTGTACCTGTCCTTCTGGGCGAAGAGCATTGTAAACGGCGTCACTCACTTTCATATCGCCCATGGATTCCCAGTGCTCCATAGACAGCGCTCGCGCAAAGCTTGCAAGCGTGTGAGAACGCTGCCAATCCGCCCACTCCTGCCATCCGTCGACCTCGCCCTTCAGTTTCAGCTTCTGTCCCATGCACAAGCGAGCCGCTTTCTCGCTTTTCTGAACGACTTCAGTCTGCAAGTTCATGATCTTGTGAACGATATCCATGCAATCCGCCAAGGCTTCCAAGGTCAGACCGTTGTCATCAAAGTACACTTGCAGCACACGAATTCGCTCCGTAACGCGAGTACACTGGAAAAGAAGTGGTTTGGAAGATCGGAGAACAATACGGGAAATGGATAGACTTTGCATATGAGACATCGCTGAAGGAAGTTGAAGATTGTACAAACATGGATCATCCCCCCATATTACCTAAACGCAACTACTAGCCAAACACGTACACTAACAGCAAGAGCGCACTTATAAATTATAGAAGCGCCATCTCTCGAGTGCGCGGCTTGTTGTTCACCTTCACGAGACCTTCATGGACGCTATCGGCCTCCCGCTGTTCGCTCAAGATCATGAACAGGCCAAACGTGTTCTCTTCATTCAGCATCTCCCCAATTTGCTGCGGTGTGTTATTCTGAAACGCAGGCTCACTATCCGCAAGGAGAACCATGCTTTTGATCTTACGTGCATCGTCGTAGGACTTTGTTGCGCGATTATCGCAGAACTGTTTGAAAGTTTTATTGTGAAGAATGAGAAACAACGAGAACGAAAAACACCTCAACAAACAGTCTGCTTCTTATCATAGAAAAAACAAGCTTGAAGCAACGAAACACGCCTCGACTCACTTCGGAGGTCAGTGAAGACATGACAAAAAAGCAAGGATACGTCCAGCAGGGCAGAATAAACGCGCATCTCGATATCGTCCAGGAGCTCTGTCTGCATGTCCTTCAAAGCCATCACGTTCCACTCCTTCTTCTTCAGTGGTTCGTACCCAAGAATCTCAAACAGATAAGAGAATCGCAGGCGCGTGCGCACGGCGGCGTCGAGCCTGAATAGTGAGAAGCGATCGATATCAACTTCATAAAGCAGAGCTCTCAAGTCGACGTGAGAGAAAAGTAAAATAGTGGAAGAATAGACATGGAGAACATCGCCCACAAATTTCAACAACCGAAAGAAAGTAAGTTTACTACATTTAAAAAGTCATCCGTCCTAATACACGAAAGAGGACACTACAAATCTCTACAACTCGCAGCAAGATATAAAGTGAAACAAAAACCTCCCGAAAGTTGAAAAACACGTAGGAACAAGCACACCCTAGATGATAGCTATAAACTGAGGAGCGAACACATACACAAAAGGAAGAGATAGCGCCACTTCTTCAAGGCAGCGAACGAGTGGCACTTTTGGATAATTCCTTCTGCCGCGAATCCTGCTTCCAGTTCGAAGCATTCTTCTTTTTCCTCGGCGAAGGGATCTTTGCGCTTGTCTGCCATTTCCCGCGATCTATGAAAGCGAAGGAGGGGGACTTGAATCAATTGAGCACTACGCTACAGCGGCTCGCGTTCCTTGTCCATCAGTCAGTCTTCTACTAGAACCCACACCCATCAGTAGCTTTTTCACTTTGTACTTATGCAATTGATTCCACTACCATAAAACCTCTCGACAGCAGTCGCCATGGCGTCGTAGATGATGGGGCCGTTGTATTGGTGCTTGCCTTCGAGGGATTCCTGCAATTTTCATCAGAAGGTAAAAAGGATGAAGATCCATTTCTCAACTGATTGATGAAAAACGAGGAAAGACTGACTCACAGACTGGCTGTCACGAATAGCTACAATGAACTCGATAAACAAGAACGACGATCGACAACAACATACCACAAGCGAATGAGAAGCCCATGAACACTTCACAATCAACCTGCTACACTGTAGTAGTACCGAAACGACAACCAGCAAGCGCTCGATCGGGATGACGGTCAAGTCCAAGCTGCCACGGATCACCGAGTGACATTGATTGTCGACACGTCCCGCAAGTTTCCATGCTTCCTCCTCTTTGGTGACGTTGATCTTGAGCCCGACGACCTTCTTATCGTTGCCAACGCGTTTGATGACTTCGCTGAGCTTCAGTGTCGGGCACTCACGCACGGTCTTGAGGATATGATTGCGCGCGGACACAATACCGGCGCCGTCCGTGTTCAGACCAAGGCGTTGGATAACAGCGCGGGTCTTCCCATGAGTATTAGAAATTAAAGAAGAGAAGGCTTCACTTATATGCTCGGAGGGTGGATGAAGCATAAAGTGCGTGGCCTCATCCACTGGGATAGATAAAGTAAAGACACTACTAGAACTCTCTGTCATATGAAAAGATGCGAAGTACTACACTAAACCTGAACTATAGGTGTACCATCGTAATGGGCGTCATGCGAGTGAACGGCTGAGCCCGCACAGGCGCCGGAACATATTGGCTCAGGTTCCTGTTGCGGGTACCTTTCTGATGCGTTTTCGGCGCCATTGTGTGGGAAATGCAAGAAAGATTACTGTGGGGACGAAAAAGCGCTAGCTTTCTCTTGAGCAATAATCTCGTGGCTAAGCGTTGTTTTGAATGAGGACGAAGATGGTTTTGACATGGAGAGAATACATAACGAGCGTGGAGTACAAAGATGCACACTGAAAAGAAAGTAGCAAGAAAACAGAAAAAGCGTTTCTCTGGGACAATACAAATACATAAGAGAAAAAAAAACACTATGACACATGACGTAGGACATTCATCAGAAAACGCATATCCATGATCGAAAGAAAAGCAACACAACGGGGAACAACGACACAAGACAACCGCTCGCACTCTCGCTGCTTGTAATGGATCTAGGCCTTTCCTCATTTGCTACAGTTTTCTGCATGGCAGAGCCTTCCAGAACAGTCCCTGACTTCAAGGCGTCGCGCTTGTCTTTTGTAGGTGTGAGTCTGACTGCCTAGTCTACTAGAGACGTTAACAGTTCAAGTTTTCTAGACAGTAGCAACGTCCTGAATCTTGACAACGCCCACAGTTCTGGCAAATCTGTAGCGTACATGCAGGCCGAACTGATCAAATTTCTCTGAAAACCTGAGATCTATGAGATACTTCAAACAGGTGAAGAAGGAGAACACTCCGAGACAACCAAGGGTCCAAATATACGTTGAAAATACGGAAAAATACGACGCTGAAATCAGCGATTTCTGAAAAGCCAAACACCACTAGAAAGAGGTGGCTAGAGCGACCTATTTTCCAACGTATTTCCCAACGTATCTACTCGTATCTTTCACCTATCATCTCCGTATTTTTTCCAAAGGCAAAAGTTCAAACTATCCGACTTTCTTCAAGAGAGTGACCCACTTGCGAAGTGCCTTTTCCTTTCAGATCGGTTCTTCATGTTTCATATTCTTGAATTGCTTATAAATTACTACCTTGCGTTGATACTCTAGTACTACTAGCGACTTGCGGGAGAATGCTTCACCTATATCGTTACTGCCAAGTACTCAACTACTTTACTACTAAAAACTAGCACTGATTTCTTGAGAAGCCACGAGGATCATGAGGGCACACGTTCACTAAACTGCTTGTATATGCTATCAGCTTCTTCTACTCCTCTGCTCTAGCCTGCTGCTTTGCTTTCGCCTTCGCTTTCGTCTTTGGCTGCACCTGCTTGCGAAAAGTTCGACTTTTCACCGCCTTGATTGTGTTAGCGTCGATTGCCAGCACTTTCATCGCAAACTCCCGATTCTCTGCATCCATCGAGGCCGCCAAGGTTGTGAATTGTTCGGCGTTAATCTTGTCGGCCTTTTCTCTCCATGCGCGCAAAACAGGCGTGTGGTCCTTCTTCACCTGCTTCGCTATTGTGATGATGCAGTGCATTCTCAAACACCAACAAGTTAGCCACGCCGTTGCAAAAAGGTTATCCTCAGCTGTGTTATCTCCCAACGATAACCGCTTCGTACCGCCGACGCCTGTTGTTAGTAGATCGCAGCCGGCTGCTACCAATTTCGGCAAAGTCCACACTTCCCCGCTAGGAATTGCTCCACGCATGCGCTCTCCTTGATTATCCCCTGCGACGATGTAACCTGGTGGAAGCACACTTTTATCGACCAACTGCGTCAACTTCTTTCGATTCACTTGGAATCGAGTCCGTTCACCTGAGGTGCGTACAGTGCGATGGTATGCGCGATTCTCATTCTGGAACTCTGTTTCTACATTCGCGGAGCTTGGTGCGGCGGCCAAGTGATTTGAGTTCAAGGTGAGAGCAGGACGCGAATCGTCCATCATTCGTCTCCAAATTTCATCCCACTGCTTCTCATCGTGTGCGTGCGCTTGCTGCTCTTTAATACCTGGCCGAGGTGATTGTTAATAAAGTATCAATACAAGACAAACTACTTACTATAGTGATAAACTAAAGTGCTATAATTGAATATCTTTCCTAGTAAACTTCACAATGGAGCAGGTGATGAACCACGAAACAAATTACACTACTTAAAACACAACAAGTCTTACCAGAGTAGAAAATAATAGCACTACCATTACGAGTCTCCATTTGATAGAAACTGAATAGAGCTTACGCTTCAAAGCCGCCTCCCTCGATCGTGGTGCCCAAGGTTCGGCTTGAACTTTTTTCAGACCACTCTCACTCGCGCCACCGGTAGCGATTGCCTCAGGCTTAGCTCGCGCCTCAATTCTTGCTTTCGCTGCTGCTGCAGAGGCGGATCCACTGTTATCTGCGGACGAAGAGGTAGGCTCAAATATATTGGTGCTCGCGCTGACGAGTGTCCTGGCTGCTGTTTTCTGCTTTGCGATTGCTGGCGCTGCACGCTTGTCGGGTTGATTGTTTTCTCGTCTTGGTGAACCGACAAGGCCTACAGGCAGCTCAAGAAGACTGCTCTCCATCATTCGTTCGCGGCTCCTTGTGATCTTTCCCGGGGAGATAGCATCTGGAACAGCTTGAAGCTTTGCGTTTCCACTTGCAGGGCCTGCCTTCGGCTTAAGCTTGGCTGCCTGCTTCACTTTCGGAACAGTCGCGCCTACATCAGCGCTGGCTGGCTTATTTGGTGTGCGGGACTTCAGCTCTCTAAATAACTGCACACCGATCCCTTGACGCAGTTCTACGAGTCCTCCCTCGAAGATCTTGTATTCTGGCCATTCATCCATTGTAGTTGAAAAGAAAGACTGTTTCTGCCGGATTGAAAAAGTGCGCGACTCTTCCTGTTGTCGCTGCATGTGTGAGCTGTTGCGTGAACCACTACTACTGCTACTACTGGAAGAAGCCGCTACTACAGCGCGCCCATCTGCGCGGGTCGAAGCTTCCTCAGGTGCAGCTGCAACGGCCGGCTGTTGTAAATCAAGCGGCTGCTCACGTTGCGCGATTGAAGATGAGGCGCCAAGGCCTGTTGTGATGTTCGCCCGGGTCCTACTATTCTTTTGGTTGGTTGCGCTTGGATTCATAGCATCCGGCTGATGTTGCTGGAATGCGTCTGGAACTCCTCGCCCGATGAACATCTCACCCACTTCAGGCAAGTGCTGCTCCTCACGCCCGCCCAGCTGCACGCCGAGATATACAAAGGGAGCCTTGAAGATCTTCGTAATGCAGACTGCAACACGCTTTTGCGCATCAACTCGAAAAAGAACAACTAGAAGCTGAGGTAGGGGCTGGCCTTTTTGGAGTACTATGCTCTCCTTCTGTAGAGCTTGTCTTACTCCTCGCTTCTTCTTCTTCTTCTTCTTCGCATCAATTTCTTCACTTAAACCCATTTGCTCGTCTCCAGATGATTTCTCCTCCTGTTCTATTTGCACTACTGCCGCTTCTTCTTCATCACCAAACGCATCGCCAAGATCATCCACGAAGAAATTCGTCAAAGTTTCACGAGCATCATCTTCATCCTCGCTCTCGTCAGAATCAGTATCAATATCCTCTCTGACTACTTCCAGATCCCCAGGCATACCGCGGTCGGGTCGCGTCTCTTTCCTTCGATGAAAGTACGCATATCGGCTTAGAATCGCAGCTAGTGAGCTTCCTGCTTTCCGCTTATTGTAGTTGCGCTTTGGCTGTAGTGAGTCGAAGAATAGGCGCCGCAAGTCATGATCGACAGCTTTTCTCCATACTTTCGGCCGATGTGCTCTTTCGTTAAATTGCGTACCTGTGACCCGCAGAATTCTTTCAACTGTCGGAGTAGGGCGAAGATTTGGAGCACGATGGTACAAATTCAGGGCAGCTTCTTCAACGGCACGATAAAACTTCTCTTGAACTTTGATCTTCTCCAACGATCGCAGCACGTCCTGGTCATCTTCTGCAATTGTAAAAGGCTGCGTAGAACGAGTCCGCAAGTACTGAAGATCTTGCTCATAGTGGTCCCATTGTTCTTGCAGTTCTTGACTCGCATACTGCTGCTTCCTTTCCGGGGGCAAGTCGCGCCACATGATGAAACTGCCATCGTTATGATGCTGCGGTGGTACTGCAGCTACTGCCTCAGCCATGCTCGCAGATGAAGACGAAGAAAGAGACTCCGCACTACTAGAGCTTGAAGCTATTAAATCCGAATCCAAAAGAGGAAGCGCAGCAGATGTGTTCTGAAGCGTAAGGATATTGCTCAGAAGGGCACTTGGATCAACGTTGTCTTGCAACATCTCACGAGTTGAATGCAACATCTTGACAGCTCCTCCATCTTGTAAAAAGTTGTAGTAGCCCGCACTAGTTTTTTGCCTTTTCAGACGAGGAGCTCGAACAAGTTCTTCGTAGTAAGCATCTAGTTCCATCTTCAGTCGCTCTGCAATCTCATCATAAACTTCGCGGGGATTGTCTCTACCAGTAATAAGGTCTCGCATTCCTTGCTCAGTATCCAAACGCTGTAATGACTTCGGATGTCGGCTGCTCTGTCGACCTTTCCATCTTCCGATGAGCCTCTCAACCTGTTCAGTAGATGCCTGTAGTTTTGCACTGCACATCAGATGGAGTAACCGTCGGCATTCACTTAACGGTAGTGGCAGCATGACGCGGTGTAAACCAACAAAAAAAGCGCTGCCCGTCTCATGCTTAACGCGTTTAAACTTGGCAGGGTCCTGATTCCTGAACGCCTCGATGAAAACGTCTCGTCGGTCATCTGTAGCGAGCAAAGAGTACTCGCGCAACCACTCACGATGAGTATTTTGTCCCCCATGTTGTTCACTATCGGAGAAGCTGCATCGATATCCAATGATGCTGCGACTGCATATGACTGCCCATAGAGCTGCTATCCTGCACCGTCGAACTAGATTGAGCATGTTGCTGGCGTGCTTCGACAAAGGTACTCCCCAAAAATCTAAACCGGTGCAAGTGAAGACTTCTTCCAGTACCCTTTCAGAGTCTGCTAGTACCCGCATGGTCCATGCGTGCTCAGCTTCGAAGAATTCGCGTAGCTCCTTGCCATTGTGAGGGTTGCTACTAAGTTGACCAGCATGCACTGCATCTAAAGGCCGAACAATTAATTGGACGAAATACTTGAGAACGCAAAACTCATCGAATGGCCGTCGTGTCGGACAGACAAACTCGGGTAAGTCTTCACAAATGCAAACTCCCTTACGGCTCTGCAACACGTCAAACAACCCAAGAGGGCACGCCAGAAGCTGTTGCCTTGCGCCTTCTCCGAACGTTCCATATCGATTCCAGCGCATTAAGCAGAATCCTCCATAATGCGCGCGAAGAAATGCGAGACTCAACTCGCCGCCATCTCCTTCGTCGTGTTCTGGCTTCGTTGTGACTGTAGTTGCACCGGACACACGCTCCAGATGACGGTAGTAAAAGTTTATACCACGCACCAGCTGCTTACTTCGTTTGTGCCTCTTCTGTCTTTGATGAGTCCGCTTATCTGCATTGACAGTCTCCACGAACGTCCGCGAACAAGATGCTCGATCTTGTGTTTGTGTCCGTGGAATTTTTCGTCGGACTTTCTGCAAAATATCCCCCAAATCGCTTAGAACTTGATGTCCTCGCACTTTAAGACACAGCGCCTGGGTTGTGATTGTGATATATTTGAGCTAAAGGCACAAGCCTCTGGAGTTATGATCTATATTCCATCATACCTTATACATGTATTTTGAAAACTGAACAACATTGATCTATGAGACGGAGAACTACTTGACTAATACCATGATATTGATACTGATAAACACAAACGAAATAAATAAACGCTGATACCTGCAGGTGCAAACGTTTCTCGAACTTTTTCTTGCTTAGATTGATTTGCGAGAAAAATTCTTCGACAACTTCTTCGAGAGCAGTCCCCACCTGGTGCACAAATTAGAAGATGCTCCCTCGTGAATGTGCAGTGTGCATTGAGTTAAGATGTAGACAAGTGCCTCGCAGGGACTTGGTGAAAGGAACGCCAAATATGCACCATCCACAAAGCTTTCCTCTATTTTGAGAATGGTACTGATTCCCTATTCAGTTTAGCGTAGGCCTTAAATGAAACAACGATCGCCAAAGGGTATTGTTCGTTCAAAGCGATCATCGTCGGCGATTGCTCCTACTGCATGGTTTATCTCCTTTAAGCCACCAGCGTCGGCCTTCGCGTGAAATATGCAGTAATCCCCCGTGTGCTTACACACCTTGTCCAACATTAAGAGCTCCTCTCGATCAATCGAACTAAAAAAGCGAGCGCCTTTTTTAGGCATCGCGTGAGTTGGAATGTTGAGCCGCACTGTATTGGCTGCAGCTTCACATCTACCAGCGCTTTCGGCTACGACCGTACAATCAGAAGTCGCAACTTCTTCTGGCCTTTGAATTGTAGAAGTAGAACTAGAACTCGAAGAAGAAGATGACGAGGTCGCCACATCCGGCTCCGCGACTCTTCGTCTTGCCACCCCGACGGTGTCGGTACTTGCATGCTTCGAAGGAAAACTGATGCAGCTTCGAATAAAGTACTGTCCTGCAGAGCGATTTACTTTCCCATCCTCTACTACCATTCTCGACGAAGCGTCCCCCTGCCTATCCCAGATTCTCAAACCGGGAGGAGCTTGCGCTGCTAACCTGACTGCCTCCACTGGTGCTACGGAACAAGCACAATGGTATAGGATCTGACCTGTTTCAATGTAGACACAGTCCTCCCTTTCATTATCCATAATCCCATCCTGGAAAAACTTGCGACTCCGATCGTCAATCTTTCTGGACGCTGCGTTTTCGTTGATTTTTCCACCTTCACGCTCCCAGACATATCGCTCGTAGGAGCTCATGCCCGTTCCTGCTCTATTGGATCGGGAAGAAGAAGATGGCACTTTTCACGCAGGGAAGATGATGAAGCACAATGAATAATGAGACAACAGTAACTACTTTGGTTAGTTACTTTTCACAAAGAAAAAGTCAGCCAGTAGATCATCAATCAAGAAACAAGACCTAAGTGAAAACTTCTACAGCTTGCAGGATACAGTGGTCCTGAATCTATGCTAGCACTACAAGTCGTGACTTAATTTCCCGCTTTGAAGCGCTTTCCTCGTCTCTTTTAATTAGCTCCTTTGCTGTTCAGCCGAATCTCGTTTACGAGTAAACACTTTTTTTCCCGTTCGCTTCTTTTCAATGCGCGCCAGTTTTCCTTTTCATTGCAGGTTGGGAGGAATGACGTTACTTAGCTAAAGCTATTGTCTCTCTCAGTCTAACCTCGCAAAAGTCTGCACCTTGGTGCGTCGCATGCTACAGCAATCACATAAACTAAAGTGAATACAGGCTCCATCTGCACCTCGGTAGCCACGCTCCACTCGAAGACACATCATAGACACGCAAACAGGATCAATCAATAGAATGAAAAAGTCCGACGCTAAGGAGATGAATTCTCTGATTGAAATTTTGTAGAAACGACGAGCAAAGCATATCCGTGCGCAGAGCAGTGTTCATGATGGGGCTTTTCATATGCCACGTTGTTCCTTATCTTGATATATGTACAACCAACCACGAAGTTCGCAAATATGAAATGCCCAAGAAGACGCATCCGCGCCGGTGACGACTTCGGGTCATGATGAAGCGGAGTCATTCAATCTAAGTCTTACTTCTCCGTTGGAAAAGTAACGCGCCGCTTTTTCTTATTGGTCACTGCTCCCTGTTTGCTAGTTGCTTGGGTAGAAGAAGAAGAGGAAGAAGAAGAAGAGGAAGAAGAAGAAGATCCCACCTTCTTGGCGTCATCGGCTCCGCCACTCTTCCCCATCTTTCGCATTTTTTTCTTCGGTCCATCGCAAGCTTCATCGTCAGAAGCATCATACTCGTCAAACAAATTCTCCTCGGTATTGTTCTGGAGATCAATTTGATCATCTTCATCTGCGTACTCTGCTTCATCGTATAAGCTATCATCGTCATCATCACTATCGCAGTCGAAAAATGCTGCGCGTTCCATCATCTGCGTAAAACTTTGTCTCTGCATGATGTGCTCGTAGGCTTTCTTGCGGGTATCCAGATCTTCACTAGTCAACTTCTGGAATGTATCTCGATCATGTTGGACAGCAAAGATATCGAGATGTTCTGGGCTTGGAAACAAGATGTGTCCATTATCCGACACGAACTTCAAGCTCCTTTCAGACCCAGAAACAATGCTTGCTGCAGAAGATGCGCTAGTAGCTGCAGAAGTGCTATTGCTCACCAGCGTGGTGCTCGAGGTATTACTCAAGTAAGGCATCGACGTAGGACTTGGAGAATTTTTCTGAAGCGTAGATGTGGAGCTCGAGGACGAACTAGAAGACGTCTGCTGAGACGGTAAGGCTGTCAGAACGTGAGAGCTCTCTTCCACAGGGAACAAAACTGGGGGTAGGTAGTGATATTCTGCTGATCGTTTTCCGGGGCGTACTGTCGATTGTTGTATTTTCTCCATGATGTAAAATATTTTGACGAATTCGCTTTCGAATGCACATCGCAACAAGTTGATAGCCCCTTTAGACCACTTCGGATTCGTATCAACCATAGTGCTAACGGCCTGATCCACTACTTTTTTAAATTGACGCATAGAAATGCATGGTCCTGCACGCTTAAAACGTGCACTCTCACCATAAGGAGCAGACTTCGCTTTGGCTTTTGCTTTCATCTTGCCGGCTTTAGCCAGACCACTAGAGGCCGTGGCTGTCAGTGGAGCAGTTTCTTGCTGTGTGCTGATAGCTGATGAACCAAGACCAGCGCCAGAAACAGTAGCTTGGTCTTCTTGTGACGAAAAAACTGGCGACTGCCCTAGTTTATTTGGAATAGACCCCGTTGTCGCGCGACGCTTCATGCTGCTGATTTTATGCTTCTCACCATTGTCTTGGTTGAAAATCAGTCTCGATGGTTGTAGAGGCATCGCTTTACTAAGTTGAGGAGTTGCAGTCTCCGAACGCAGTCCCGAAACGGCCTGAGCATGTTGTGGTGTTACAGTTTAATAGATGCCAAGTGAAGACTCAGTGTATGAGTGAATGCTGGTCCTTCTACTCAAGGAAAGGCTCTCGCGATATTACATAGCAACAAATATGCTCGCTGAGCCAATCATCTATAAGCAATGTTAGTAATTAATACTAAACTACATTTATACCGAAACTGAGCGGGCATCTTTTGCGTTTCCGTCTTCGTCTGGTGTTGAACCAAGATGATAAGCCCGGGCGCCGATCTTCCTGCGATCGCTAGTAGCAGCACTGTGAGACGTCGACATTATTTCAGACCGTTTATCTTCACTATCGTGATGGAGTATGAGAGATTTCCTAATAGTAAGCTTTTCTGTATCTATTCCTTAAAGAGCAAAACTTTTAGCTCCAGGAACAAAGCAATCACGGTTGTGCATAGATCTCACTACAACACGTTACTCGTCAACTTTCACCACGATGCTGATCTCTTTCCTGAATAATTTCGATCATGATCAATCTCAGCTGCTCCCCCAGCGTTCTGTTGGCCTTGAATTAGCGTACTTCTCTCATAGGCGCGCAGCGTCTGCCTTTCTTCTCAAAACCGAAACAGTAACGATCACACTCCTTTGGAACATCATATTTATAAATGTTCATCTTATATCCCAAGCAATAGAGGCCAGGCGCGTTTGTCGGTTTCGGTAGTTCCCACCCGAGTATGTATCTGAGGAAGATTCATTATATTATCATAACAAGGAAGAAAGGGAATCAAGTAAGAGTGACTTGGTCAGTTGTGGCTTGAATAGCAGAAAGTCCGTCACTTCTCTAGCAGCATGTTGATCGAGTTCAGAATGTACTATACAAAGACAAAAGTGTGACGAATAATAATAACTGTTTTCTCCATGCCGTTGCGCTCGAAGATTGCGTTTCATAATCTTCATCAGCCGACTCTCGGAAGCTTCCAGGAACAAGAGTTGAAAAATCCATGAGTTCCCAAATCGTAGAAAATCGCATCGAGAGCTCCGGGGTGATAGAATTTTAACACGACTACATTCTTGATTTGCAACGTGTTTTATTCCTATCTGAGCGTATCCGGAATCGTATATTCGCGTATTTTCAATCAGGTACTTGAGCATTAAGAATAGAGCTGTGAAGTTTCAATCTTTTACAACCAACATCGATTCATACAACGTAGAACAAAGGTTGACAGACTAAACAACATGAGACTATCAACTTGATCCAAAAACGAGCAAATGTGTACACTACTACTACTCTGTGAATGTGTACACTATTACTACTCTGTGAATGGGTACACTACGATTACTCTGTAAATGTGTACACGACTACGACTCTGTGAATGGGTACACTACGACTACTCTGTCGTGAATGGGTGTATTACAAGTACCCTACGAATCATGGGTACACTACTTACTACGACCAACTTAACCCTGTTAGTTCTTCAATCAAAGAAAAACATCCAATTCTTGTTCCATAAGGCACTCTCGCACCCAGTGATGCGAAAATTTGTGAGACAGCGTGCTTTCGTTCCTCTATGCACTCAGGGCCTTCTCCCGATGGTAAGTGCACGTTGATACCACACAATGTCAACGTCGTAGACAACTGACTCGCCATCGTCTTAGCCGCCGCTCTTGTATTAAAATGTTGGAGCAAGAAAAACACGAATCTACTCGAATCTACTCCTTGTTAAACTTTTTGCTGCACCTAAAGTTAAATATTAATATTCATCGATAAAAAGACAGTCAGAGGATTACCATCTGTCCTTGCTTGATGCCTTTACGAAATTCATGACTCTTCAACACGTGTGTAAGAACGATGAAACCTACTACTTCAGCGTCAGATCTATGCTACGTGAAGACCTGAAGACCCTCTTCACCAGCTACTATCGCCAGAACTTTCCTCTTCTTCTTTTCATGTGTGTGATTCCATCACGATTCCCCTTAATTCTTCTGACCAGCAAATTATTCTTAGATATCACAATCCGCCCACCTGTGCCCATACCTCCCTCTTGCCCACCGCTTGTCACGTTGATCCTCAGGGACGAAACTAAGGCTCCCTTTGTGCCTATCATCCCCATCGCAGCTGTCCGTATTTGCTCGATGTCACATGCTGTCACGCGTAAACCACTACTAGCTCGTCCGATTGCGTCACGTTGCTGTTGGTGACTTGTCGGTCTCACCAAGATCCACAGAGCTAGTCCAACCATTTGCTCTTTTCCGACTACGTGGAAGCCCAACCTCTGAACAAAGGGCTCCCACACGTCCAATCTTTGAGGGGCTTCGCGATTCTGGTATTAGAGCAAAAATAGAGATCGCGGCGATGATATCATGCTTGCGATTTTCGTCCACGGGTGGAATTACACCTTGTACTTAGAGTGCCTACCTTTCTGCGGCAACTGGAGCTACGCAAAGCTGATCCACACTAAAATGGACGAGAGGTCTTCTCTGGTCGCCAGCATCAGCCTTAAAGATAGTAGCTAGCCAGTGCGTTCGCTTTCAGCTCGACCACTTCCTGCAGGCCCAAAAAGACTAAGTTAGATCCTCAGGGACGAATCTCCCATTTTGAAACTCATCTTGGAGGTGGCTCATCGTCAACTAACAGGGTTAAGTTGGTAGTAAGTAGGTATTTAGTGTACCCTTGCTTGAACATCCACGGTCATCTTGGACCCATTTCCCCCTTACACGGGGGTCCAAGATGCTCCTCAAAGTTGGAAGATGAGTTTCCAAGATGCTCCTCAAAGTTGGAAGATTCGAGTTTCCGGAAGAAGTCTTAATTAAATCCGGCATTCTACTGGAATACAACATCCGTGCCCGCAGCTTGTCTGCACATTGACGGGATGGAACCGACCCAGCCACGTTCCAGGTTAACACAGACACGCGAAGGCTCTGCTGTGCTTGTGGTGCAGCGGAGGTAGAAGACTGCTGCTGTCCTACTGTAGACGTGGACGAAGGGGAGGGTCCTCCTCCTGCTGCGGCGGAAGAACCCGACATTCTTCGAGTAAATGATGTGGACGAGGAAGATGACATGACTTTCACTTCGCGAGTGAGAAGAATCCAGGTCTAGAGAAAGGCCCGTCGCTCGCGCGTGCAAAGATTCTATACTAGAGAGGTTGATATCTTTGTTTTTTGTTCTCACAAAACAAGTCAGTAGCAATTATCGGATGAGTCAGCGAATCATGTTTAACTTCTACAACACGGATCTTCTGGGACGAGCCTTTCTTATCGGTCTGCTTATCTTCTACCAACTAAAGATGCTGTCCACTCACATCTCTTATCTGCAATCTAAAACCTAACTTCACTCTGCTCTCTCTATGTTTCCTACGACGAAAATCTCTCTTCACCTCTCTGGCTCCTGTTTTCACCCTTCTCTCCCTCGCCACGCGCTATACCTGTTTTTCGTGCCACTCAACTCCTCTGGGACAACTACTGGGACAACATTCTATTTCTATCCCCTATGTATAATAACTTCTTCACCCATCTTGTCACTTCGAATTTCTATTGCATTCACCTCGCTGAATCCTTCACTAGAAGAGGGCCAAGCTGCCGTCATCATGCTTTTGGGTAGAGCAGGTCCAACATTATACTCGGGTTCCTGGCATATCCCGACAGTTACAACTCCGTCTTCATAGAGGTATCAGATCTTCATACGCGCTTCTTATTGATTTCAGAAAGAGAAGTACTCATCAAACAGCAGTCCTCATATTGATAGTTCTCTTCACAGGGTGGACATTAGTCGTGCAAACCACCTGCAAACCACCTTGCAAGATCTTTCTCAGCATTAATGCAATCCTTGCATCTTCGCGAAATCCCTTACTTTTTGTAGCACGTCAGCACGTAGAGAGTCTGGAACCGTTGCTCTGCCTCGTGGCGCGATTTCCGCCACTATGTCCTCAATGCTCGTCTTCTCTGAGCCCTTGGTCTTGATGCATATGAAAGTAGGACGACGGAGATGCAAGTAGATGCAAGTGCAGGAGATATTACACGAAAGGTACTAGAATTGCTTAGGATCATTGTTAAGATTCTTGTGCGTAGTACGTCAGAGGAGTTAATATATAGGAATGTCAACGACAAGGTCTCACCATAATATACTCAATTGCGTAGGACTTGAGGTCGTCTCGCCACCCAGATTGAACCAGCCTGTCTGCGATGTAAGCCTTCAACTTCTGATTTTCACCCGTCTGCTCCAAAGCCTTGGCCAGCGATGGCCTGGACTGTTGACCCGACTCTGCCATCTTCCTTTATTTCTAGTTCTAGAAATTGTATTGCCTACTTCGAATTTGCTTGTTGTCTAGTCGATGATAATTTACTTGATATAAAGAAGTAGAACCTACTCGTCTTCCGTGTCTTTCTGCCTACAACACGGCATATCGAAATCATTTAGCAGCTAAGACGACACGAACGACTTGATTAGGAAAACGGTGTGTGGAGTCGAAAACGATCGACAAAACTCTCCCATACTTTTCTGTAGAGACTTCTCACCTCTCTATACCACAGCGATCACGTGAATACGCTAGCCAAACACTAATTTCTTTTGTCGTCCTTCTTCAATGATGCACTCAAGCACCATTTGAGTGAGTATCTTTTTTGCAACTACTTCGTTGCACAGCTCAGCTTTGGCATCGTCTCTTTGCAGGAGTAAGTTTTTCAATGGTGCTTCGTCCTCTATTCACTTACTTCTAAAGAAATTCTTTGGAGGTGTCAGGCGGCTTTCTTCGAAATACGGACCCCTTTCTTCCTACCTTCTGCAGTCTTTCCTTCCTCTTTGGTGAAGCACTGTCAGCCTCTCCGTCGTTCCTTCTTTCCTCTGTGTTTATACCTTCAAGTGTGGGACTTTCCTTCCCTATCAAGCCTACTGCAGCCTCTTGTTGTCCTTCCTTATTGTGCTTTTCATCATCATCATCATCATCATCATCATCTTCTCCTGTCATATTTTCACTACGTTGCTTCTCTGCTACTACTTCTTCCTCCGACACGTCCACCTCTACTGGTTTCAACATCAACGAACCCACAAGCGACAATGCACAGCCCAGTGGTCCAACGTCCGCCGTTGCTGCAGCTACGGCAAACCCATTGTCCCTAGCGAAAGCCGCTGCTGCACTTGATTCGGCAGCTAAAGAGATTAGAGGCCCTAAGCAAGACTATAAATATCTTCAAACCTAGAGATCATTTTTATTCAATGATAGACGAGTAGGAGACTCCCTGTTCGTTCCTGCCTATTTACGCTTTCTTTCTTTTCTTTCTGTTACGTTCCTGCCTATGACGATCGAAAAATAGACTACCAACGCAAAAACCCGTAACTTTGCTTGCTCCGACTGTGCCATCGCTGCGGACATCCTTGCGATCACCGTCTCCACTCTGTTGCCATTACTCACTAGCTTATTGTGAGCCGCCTGCGCCGCTTCATAGTGCCCTTTCACACCGTTCGCCCACTTTTTAGAGACAGATAGGGTTCTAGTTGCGAGGAATCAAGTCATTGTCCACTTTCTCCACCAGAAATTGTATTGACGATGAACATTAAATACTCTAGTGATTGTAGTATCCAGTCTCGCTGAGCTCCACGAATATTGACGGACCACATCGACCTGAATAAAAGCCTAAGCCAAGCCATAAACATCATAGTTGCCGTCGCAGGTGGCAAGCTGCCTCCCCCACCAGGTATGGCGGCAGGAAAACTGTACTTGTATGGATCGAGTAGGTGTGACATCTTGTTTTTGGAGAACAACAGGTGCTAGAGAATGAGAGAATCAATACTCACTCACTCTAGTGAGTGAGTGAGTGAGTGAATCAATAGGACGCCTGGATAATCTTTAGTGTGTTCTCCCTACTAGAGAGTCAGTAGCACTATCAATCTAGATGACTAGCATGCCTTTTCACTTCCAGCAGACGATAGGTCCCTTACGATCATTTGACAGAGGCACCATCAAAGAGGACTTCATATGCTAAAATTCCTATTGCTAGGACTATTCTTGATGAAAACTATGAAGTTGTAGCTTCTCTCGACCTGCTACAGTGCCTATTTGGCACTAATGGAAGACATTGAGTCATGGCTCAAAGCATAATCTGAAGATTTGAGTCAATTTTGATTGTGGGTGAAAGCTCTTCGTCAGGAAATGAATTCAATTAAAATGGAATAAAACTGAAAATTCTTGGATATTCCCTTCAAATCGACAATTTGAATTGACAATCAACGAATATTTCACGAATGTTCACATTTAACAGTTCTTACAGAACCAACTTACTACGAGATCGAAGTTATTGTAATATGACTCCTGGTATATCCTATCATCTGTACAACATTTGACTAAATCGAAGAGCAGCAGTAGCGAAGGGCGAAGACGAAGAATATCGACAAGCAGCGACTCGGGTAAGCCGAAGACTTCCAGCTAAGCTGATGCGATCAAGTCAGGCACAATTCGGGAAACACATCATCGACTTCGAAACACCAGCAGGACCAAGTAACCCCCCCCCCCATTAGTCCAACTTATAGCGACTAGACGCCACACCGCACAAGGTCGCAACATCCATTCTTTACAATTGAAGACACCGTCGTCATGTGACACGACCCGTCCAGTGCCTCAGATAGTACAGTCATGGATAGTTGTACAGCATTCGCCTAATCGATCACAAATACGATCGCAACCACGTCAAAACTGCCCTGAACCCATTCTACTTCACGCCAGACTGCTACTCGTAGGTATCGCCGCAACACTCATGCCCAAGTCCTTGGCTACAGAGGCAGCAGCAGCTCTTTGCGCGGATTCCGCAGCTTGTTGCGCCGTTTGGTTCAGCGACTGGTTGTGTGTGAGGAAGCTAGCATGGGACGCAAAAAAAATTACATGACCATTAGTACCTACTATGCTTTCAAAAACGTCGAACTTTGTGTTGTGCATTCATAGAACTTCAGACTCTACAAGTTACCAGCAATTTGGCCAAATTCGATGAGCTCATTTGCTCTAGCATTGCTTGTTCACTCGCAATTTTCTGTGCCTGCTGTTGCGCATCGGCAGCGATGACGGCCCACTTGCGCGCAGCAGCTTCGGGAGGCATATTTGCTGCGGGATACGTCTCTGGAAATCGAAGAAACGAAGACGGTCTACGTCTACTAGGAAGAGAACTCTCCCCTGCTTCTAGGAAGCTTTTTGTTTCTTCTCCTAGGAAGCTACTCGTCCGCCTGCTAGAAGAACCACTCATGCTGCTCGAGGTACTCGTAGGATGGTACCCCATAGACGCCTCTTCCAGTTCGCCAACAGTTTGCGGCATAGAAGAGCCTTCTCCAAAGAAGAAATTCTGCAGGACAGACGACAAGGACATCGACATCTTCATTCTGGTCGTACAATATGTTCTCACAAAGGAATCAATCCGATACAGTGGAAGAAGTTAAGTACGCAAGTAAAAATAAATCAGTCACTCGAGGAGAATTCATGTCGCTCATAAAGAGTCCATAGCTACTGGACAGGAGAAGTCAGGACACCAAATGACGGAGAAGGAATCAGGTGGGAAGACATGTTGGCACATAAACCTAATCGGAGAAGGAAAATGAATCTCATTCAACGAATTATCAAGCAAAATTCGATGATCCGGTAAGGGTTCGGTGACGGGCCAGGGGCTTCGGGGAAAACCAACTTCTCCTCGCCAAAGACCGACACATAACCGAGACGAGTCGCTTGGTACGACTGTGAGGAGGACTTGACCGATCAACAAGCGAGACTCGATTACACTAACTGAATTCAATTGTAGACAGACGGAGTTTTTAATAAAGGTTCCATCAATCTACAACCTAGTATGTGTCTGGTCGATTCTACTCGAGGCCTCTGCTTCTAAATCTATGTGTAAAGATGGAACACGACAAAAAATCTCCAACAAATGATTCTAGTACTTACACAATTTTTTTGTTCACGCCACCCTTTCATTACAACATCTTGTATATCATCGCAATTGATCATGCAATTTCAGATTTCAGATTTCCACAACATGCCAAAACATGTTACTTCTCATCACCTGCTTCTCCCGAAATCCTACTTTTGGTACATCTAGCGTCATGTAGGACTATGTAATATTGCCACCGAAGTAGTTGGCCTCCACCACCATGAAAGACACAGTACCTTTCGACCCCCTTCGCTTAATGAGAACTAACGAAATCCGACCCCCTTCTTGGCCTAATGAGCCACTGTAATGTGTTCCGTGATCATGAGATGAGATACCCACCAGTGATCGACCACAAAATCGAAGTCGGTTTTTCTGACTCGATATTGTGGTTGATAGAGCTAGCAGCGGACTCGAGATGTCTACTAATAAGTAGCGTCACGAGCAGTCCTCCCGGAGTAGACACAGACTTTGACTCCAGCAAGTAAAGCCAGTCGCTTTCATCATCTAGACTGAGATATTGTGAATGAACCTCCAGTTTTCTAAAGCGTCGTATCTTTGGAGCCGACTTATTTCTTCGAGAAGTAACGCTCTATGTAGAGTTTTTTGGAGCTTCGTACTTTTGCGAATGACACTCACCGCGCTTAGTCACTTGTCGTCCGAACCCTAGTACTATAACTAGTAGCCTTCATAAAGTGACTCTAGAAATCGACTCAACGTCAACTGCCGCCAGTAGTCTCGTTCTTCATCGTCCATACGTCTTTGGTGGTCGTTCTCTACCACTGGCAAGACAAAATAGTAACGAACAGCGTCGTTCTCTTTGAATTATGCAAGCACTCTCTATTTGAAGTGGAGCACCACAATTTTTAAGTAGACTTGATATATTTGGTACAGTGCTTAGTACAGTGCACCATCATCTACACACAGGGCTAATATCTTAAAAGTGGCAAGAGGAGCAAGGCTAATATCTTCTAAGAGTGGAGACACATTGGAAAAGCTGTATAGGTGTTTGTCCTGCAAGGTACATGACAGTCCTCGCACATGTAGATGATGACGAATCGTCCGTGTCAAATGCCAGTCCTTAAATACATGTAGATGCAAGCCACCCTACTTGCAGCTCCTCGTAGGCGAATGGAAGCGCAATGGTGGTAGTCCTTGCAACAAGTGATGGTCCTTACAACAGCCTGCCATAGTTGTGTCCAGCATAGAAATTGAGGTCTAGAGTGATCAGAAAGTGATCATTGCGAGTAAACAAAGTAATCATTGGTCCTACACATTCGCGGCCCTAGTGTTAGGTCATCAGCGTGAGTGCTTAAAAGCCATAAAAAATCGAATCACAATCAGTCTTGATGCAAAGGTAAAATCAAAGCGTACAGGAATCATCCTTTTTTACATGATTAACGTCGTAAAATAATCAAAGCGCCTGTAGTAATAAAGCGCCCCCTTTTTGTTGAAGACTTTACATATAGCTCCTTCTTCCTCCGTGTGTAGTTTTCTATCCTTCAACCTTTTCTCGAACTACGACGTGCACGTAGTTCTTCGTTCATTTTCATATTGGTATTTATAGTGTTAGCACTACGAACTTATAACACTTAGAACTGTGGTCCAAAGCCTCCTCCCATATCGAATCCCTTGCCATATCCCATGTCCATGCCACATCCCTTGTTCATGTAGCCACCGCCGTTCTGCTCTCGGAAACCACCTGCTTTCATGTCAGCAAATTAGAGCAAGTCGATATAGTGCGAGGGTCATGGTGCGAGTAGTCCTTGTAGTTGGAATCTTCTCAGTAAACGTAGTCATTGACAGGAAACTGATGATGCCCATTCTTGACTAGTAAACGTAGTCATTGACAGGAAACTGATGGTGCCCATTCTTGACTGACTGATTGATTGATGTGCCTGACAAGAGGTATTGCTAATTGTTATGGTGCTAGTCCTCTTTCTTCTTCTCTCCCTTTTTTCCTTCTTGACTGACTGATTGGTTTAGATGCAGATTTGTTGCCTGTACACAGCTAACCTGAGTAAGCTGCTTGGAAAAAAATAATAACTGTACACAGCTAAGCTGAGTAAGCTGCTTGGAAAAAAATACTTGATAAGACAAGACTGTAAAAATCACAAATATTTTTGATACAAGAACTTCCAAGTCTTAATTGAATCCGCCCTTGTCGTGGAAGCCGCCTCGGTCGTTGAAACCCTTATCGAAGCCGCCTTTATCATGGAAGCCGCCCTTATCGAATCCTCTATCGTTGAAACCCTTATCGAAGCCGCCCTTGTCGTAGAAGTGGCCGCCTTTGTCGTGAAATCCCTTGTCAAATGATCCGCCTTTGCCGCCATCCTTGAAACCCTTACCAAAGCCCTTGCCGAAGCCGCCTTTCTTTCCACCTGAAAGTTGGTGAAGTCACTTGGATGAACATACTACATTGATTGATTGATTGATTGATTTACAGGAAAAAGCACACATGTCAACATGTGTACTTATCCCTAATGAAAATGATGCTGTTCGTCCTAGCACCCGCTCTCAAGGCATTGGTATACAAGTAAAGTCGAAGGAACACCCTGAGCTGCTTGACTATACCTAGTTATTCTACCTTTAAATCCACCGTCCTTTCCCTTAAAACCGCCTCCAAATCCCTTCTTGCCCCCCATCGGGCCCCTATCTACTCCAGTGCCTCCAGTCACGTTCATGGCTTTAGATTTCTGCTTTGCTTCGTCGAATGTCTCATCGTACGTTACCTGCGCGGATGTAGTACATTTGTTGGGGAGCTTCTCTTCGTGAATGATACGGAGAAGTCGCCAATCAAAATGCATAAGGAGATAAACCGCAGAGCCCCTCCTACGAGACCGCAGAGCCGCTTTATGCGCTGCAGAGGAACGCATGACAGATCGGGCGGTATTCATTCGACTTAAGATGGATCTCGATCCTAAATATTTGTGATTTCATTCGACTTAACGACTAGCATTCCACTTAGTCACACCTTGTACTTGGTCACACCGTGAATGCTAAGGAGAAGTCGGTAATCAATCAAGTCCAAAAAAAATAGACATACCTCATCTCCTTCCGTCAGAGGATTTCCAATAATGTCGTTCAAATGAACGAAGACATCTCCCTTCTCGGTTTCTATAAAGCCGAAACCCTTGCTCTGGTTGAAAAACTTTACGATACCACGTGCCGACATCTTGTTGGTTTCTTTTTGCCGTTACTTTTAACTTTCTACGCAAGAAAATGTTGACAGTGCTAGTTGAGTAGTGGAGGACCTTACTTTGTATTTGTACTAGTCCTCGTTGTTCTACACAGAAAGTTCGACAGCGACAGTTGTACGAGCGGCGTCAACTACAGTTGTAGAGGAGGGCTAAGTTAGCGTTAGGCTAGGTTAGGTTAGGTTAGGCGTGGGCCCACAACTAGGCAAACTACTGGCTACTTAAGAGGAAGTGGTTCTTCTCCACGACTGCAGTCAACGCCGCTAATCGTAACTGTTGATGCCTTACTAGTAGGTGTAAAGGTTAAGAATGTCAAGTTGATGTCGAAAACTTTGACGTGGTTGCTGATGCTCCTTATACTCCTCGTCCTGCTCCTTCGTTATACTCCTCCGACGAACTAGTTCGGCACTACTATCTAGAAAGATGTTCGTTTGGTAGCCACCTCCTGTTCGTAGTTATAGTACTATTTTTAGTATTTGTTTAGTACCACGAATTTCTGTTTCATTCTCCCGAACCAAAGTAGGTTAATCACTATTCTTTGTAAGCACAAGTACGCTTGATCAACATAGATCAACAGCACAGAAGACTGACAGACCGATTTCTTGGCCGCTGTGTTGATGTAGTTGGAGAAGATCCAGCAGATCAAGATTCAACAATTTCTACCGTAATATACACACTGGGCTAAAAAATTAGAAACTTTATGGAAGGAAAAATGCGTACTAGCAGATGCGGACAGCAGACGCTATAGGGAACCAAGGCGGGCGATAGAAGCAGTATCATGTTTGATGGACCAAGAAACGCGGCTGGAATCCATGGGGACTACTAGAATAGAAAATACTTCTTCACGCCAGTTGATTGATTGATAGATGAGAGCATAGACAAAAGTCACCACGACAGATTCGATTCTTATTTTACTCAGAAGATTCGAAGTGAAGTCTTTGCTGCATACAGAATGATCCACCTTGTCGTGATGTACAACGTGATGTACAACGTCCAAACCATGAAAACTTGGACAGCAAATTTCCATAGGACATATGCTCTTGTGAAGATATCCGTTCCACGGCTTCATTCATTCACACTGCCCCCAACACGGCCGGTAGCAACAGTACTTCCTACGAAGGCATGCGTATAGCTGGCAATTCGAACACGAACACAGATGATAGCGCATGGTGCATTTTTCTTAGCACTGGGGTGAGTCACATGCTCAATATTCTTTCGCGACTTTGAGTTATCCAACCAGGGTAAGAATTCGTGGTAGGAACGGGAATGCCGTCATTCAACGTGGTCCTTCTTCCTGCTTTTACATCCTATCATCCGAATAACAAGGTTCTTTGGGGTGCATGAGGCTGGTGCCAAGCGCATCAAGTCTACGTGATAGTAATGGGTGCGGGCGTAAGCAGCACGATCGATCTCGATTAGGCACTTCGGATTTCGACCTAGGGTTTGCGAAAAATCGAGCTTTCTACTTTGAGTAGGAGCAACGTCGTGGGAGGAGAGATCATCCGCTGCAGGACACAGCAGTGATACATACTGTTCGTGCGCTACGTACTGTTGTAACAAGGGAGAACGAGGATAGAAGATCTTGTTTGGATCTGGATGACTGATGTTTGGACTAATATTTTTAATATTGTTTTTCTCCATACAATTCGTCCTATCCTCATTCGCTAGAATTTTCTCCCCAGGCAGCTTATGCAAACCCATTTTTCCGTTACAACATGGACACAGAATGCAGTCAGCGTTTGCTGCAATACAGGTCTCCAACACTAAGTCGGAGAAATCGCCGCAACAATGTAATCCAAGACCTAGAGCAAAGAGGAATGGCGCTGGTCTTCGATCCCCTTTATGATCCCCTGTGGGATCCCCGTTTTCAACAGCAGCTCCACTTGCAGAAAAGGTTTCCCTAACGGCATCCAGAAAGCCCACTCTCGCCGACTCTAAACCGTCCCAGCTGTACCGCATGAACTCCACGTTCTTTAAGCCAGCTGCTTCTGCTCGCTTCCTGGCCAGGTCTAGACAGCTAGGATTTCGGTCGACCAATAAGAACCGTAGCTGTGGAAACAAGAAAGCTAGTGGTAGACACAAATTACCACTACCGCAACCGAAGTCGACGATGTCGAATATTGGCTTGTAAAGAGGGGTTCTTCGAGTATGAATATTGTCTTTCGTACTCGTACTGCTAGAGGCCTTCCAATCCCTCAGCAAAACGTAGAAATTCTCAATTTGCTGCCTTTTTCTCAAGTCTCGTTCTGCATTCAGAACTGAGAAATTTTGAGCTCGAGAGGTGGTCGCAGGAGATAGAGATGTCGTGCTTGCCAAGGCACTGGGAGTGAGTGGCGTCACATTTGCGTCAGAATCTTGTTCTCCAGTAGTAGATAAGCTCTTTTTTACCGGAGTACTCGTCGTGGACATGGTTGAAGAACTATTACTACTACTAGAATTAGTACTTCTACTGGCTTCCCCTCCTCCTCCAGAAGGTATACCAACCAAAAGACTCTTGGACGATACAACAACACGTACATCGTCTCCTGTCGACCTCGTCCCTTTCTGTTTCGCCAATCTCTTCACCGCAATGCCCGCTTCAGTTACCTCCCCATCAGCCAGCTTCCTCAACATCTTCTTCTCCCACTTTCTTGCCCTAGCCGCTTCACCTTGGATGTGCTCCGCACTCATGATCTCAGCTAGACTGCCATCACCACGTAGACACGCTGGGATCGAGGACCAATTTATCAATTCGCTTTCTTCGCCGACTACAGGACAGAAAAGGGACTCTAGCTCCAGTGTAGTAGATGGGGTGTTCCTAATTGATGTTGGTGCATCTGATGCTTGGAGGGTTTCCTGGCCGCTCTTCTGGAATATTAACGTTGCTGACGTACTCGATGAAGCATCCCCACTAGAGGATGATAACATAGAGGTCGTTGTAGCACCAGTGCTGCATCTAACGAGTTCCGGAATTGGAAGAGAAGCTAGCAAAGCTGTGACCTCCTCTCTTCTTGCCTCTGTTTTACGGACACCTTTGGTCCGCTTGCGCTTGCCTTCTTCCGACAATTTCGTGGAGGAAGTGGCCGCCTCGACTCTCGTCGAGGATGTTTCTGTGATGGCCGTCATTGTTTTTCTCAGAACTGCCAAATCAAATGAAGAAGTGAAACGCTAAACTTGGTTCATTCAATGGAGAAAAACGTTTTCCGTAACCCCTATTCCACCAGATGAACCTGCTTAAAAAACAGTCGGGAAAAGAAAATGGTCAATTACGAGCCGAACCCTTTGATCCTTCTCAGACCTCAGATGATCTTTGTTGATCCATACCACATTGAAGGAATAAGATCTTCCTTGCCCTACTGCTTGATGTTTCTAAGATCTACATTGATGAAGAACATGCACAAACGGATCAGCTTCAAGAAGATCCGCCTTGACAACTCCATTTCCGATGAAAACTTCCCGTCAACTGCGAAAAAACGGCGAAAAAATGGTGATACCTTAAGATGGCGACACAGAGCTTCAGCTCTTGTTACAGATGTCATTAGATGTATGTTTGTTGTCATTAGGTGTGTGACTCAAAAAAGAGTCGGCTTATCTGCGTAAAGACGCATCTTCGTGGCCCTAACACTATAGCTCATCCAGCTTGTTTACGCGACCTATTCTTGATTCCCCCACCAAAATTTGCACGTCCTCTAAGACCAGCTGCATGCCCGTCTACTCCTCTAAGAGGACCATGCAAAACTTGGTATCGCGCATACGCTTTCTTTGCTTCCCTATCATATTTCCTGGCAGATTTCACTGCATGCTTCGGATAGCGTCTTCTAGGCCTAAAGAAATTCGTAGCATTTCTTGCTGTCCAGGTGTTTCCCGCTATGTAATACACCCTTCCTTTCAGAACAAAGCTCCGACGACCATCGACAACGGCGTTATTGCGCTGATACGTGTGCCACCAAGCACGATTTCGTATGGCCAGAGAATGAGCGCGTTCTGGAATTCTCAATACCCTTCTCCCCGTTTTGACGGAAGAGGGATCGTGCTCACTTTCTCTGTCTGAAACCAAAGCCAGCGCGGTTGAGGAAGAAGCGGATGCATCCACTGGCGTGAACTGTAAAGGAAAGGCGGCGGCCGTGGTGGAGCCAAATAAGGCTGCACTCTTCGAGTCCTCGTGCAACTCTAATATGTTGTCGCCAGAACAAGTAGAATCAAATTCAGAATCAGCTGTGTCTTGTTCAGCAAATCCAGTTGTACTATGCGCAGCCATGGAGTTCTTTTTGCCATTCTCGCGATTCGTGTGTCGTTCCGCACAGCTAGCCTCGTCAATCTGCGCAACCTCTGTATGTGAAGTTTCCTCGTCCTCGTCAACCTCTGTATGATCATCTACTTCGCTTACTTCCTCTTTCTCGTCTGCCAAGTAACCATCATCTTCAACCTCTTCGATCTCCTCCTCCTCTTCCGCCAAACTACCATAAGCTTTCTCTTCTACATCTTCTCCACTCAGACTCGCTAAGACGGTTTCCATCGCTGGTGGCCTAGAGACAGGATCTGCTAGTCTCAGGGGTCTCCGCTGCTCCTGTGGCAGCATCCCTTCCGCCATTCGCGCTTCTAGTAAGGCTTTCTCCTCTTCTTCAGCAGGGTTCACTGAGACAAGCCCTTCAGTGCGCAGTTCCTCTAGAAGGTGCGTTTTGATTTGCGACTTGCCCATGCAATAGAGGAAGGAGGAGGAGGTTAGAAGGGGCAGCGTGTTTCTCAAACCTGTACCATTGGACTGAGAGGAAAACCCGTACTGTTGGAACAGCCATACGAGTCAGTGATGTCTCTTTAAGCTTATAAAACGGCCTTCTGAAGATTGGGCACGCCAACACGGAATCAGAAACGACGATTGAAATTGCTATAATCACACTAAAACTTTTACTTTTTTCAAAACCTCAATCCGTAACAGATGATACGGTCTCGCCACCAATGGATGCACCGGAGCAACGCCTCCGATGCTCTCATACCGCACGAAGTCAAACGTTCTAGGTTGCAACTGCTTGTCTATCAACTTCGCTAAGAATTGGCGGCTGAATTTGCCGTATTTCCGGATGTAGTCGACGAAAATCGGTACCGACAATGTGCTATGACACCTCGTAAAGAGAGCCAGCAGTTCTGCCGCATGCGCCCCATTGTTCTTGCTGAAGTAATCTTCGGTACAGTGTCTCAACAAATTCTCATAGCTGCTTTGAGACCATTTTTCCCTGAACAGAGCTACCCTATTTAGAGTTCAACCCATCTTTTAAAACATCTTTTAGCCTATTCGAAAAACTGAAATAACCGAGTAACTACTTGAAATAAGCACAGTCGAGCCTGAATAAGGAAGAGTAGCCCTGTCAAACCTACTTACCTCCCTTATTTCAGTCACTTACTCGGTTATTTTCAGTTTTCGAGTATTCCAAGAAGGAATTGGCTGAAAGATGGTGTAAAAGATGGGTTGACGGTACCCATAATCTATGCGCAATCTTCAGACACGCCTCAGCCGGTAAGAATCGTACACAGGAGTGCATGAACAGCGTGTGTAGATCGCTAGACGATAATTTGTCCACGTCTAGAACTCGCACTTTGATAGGCCCACGTGCGGGGTCGAACCAATGGCCACCACAGAGTCTTTGTTTCCAATCTGGAGGTCGCATTTCGGGATCTGCCATCGCAAATAGCCGTCTCCTTCTCTTCCGACGCGCGTTTTTGGTCAATTTCATCCCAGTACTGTAACTATGAGTCGATGGTGACCAGGTGTTTTCAGGCGCGGTCGCGCCATTGTTGGCTATTAGACATTTTTGGATGTACTAGTTCTTCATCTTCTGGTATATCTTTAAAAGATTATGAATGAATGAGTGTACCCACTCCAGGGGTATATGAATGTACCCACTCCATTACATTTACATCATATCTTCAGATGTCAGAAATAATACCATGCTCATACATTTACCTACTTACTTCAAATTCTTCAAAATATTTCTTCTGATCATGCCATACCACAGCTCTTTCTTTGATAATCTCTGCTAGTGCACTCCGATCTTTCTTGCTACCGTGATGCGTCGGCTTTGTGACTTCTTGGGCAGCTCTTGTCAGCATCCGCATTTTACTCCCAAAGTGGTCCTCGCGAGTACTGAAAACATTAGGATTGAAGTGCGGCAGCGAAGTGGTTATAGATGAGGTGCTGCTTGTTGAAGATACCGCAGTGGAGTCGTTCGTGTCGAAAACAGCAGATGAAGAAGAAGAACTTGGAGACGTCTGATGCCTCAACTTTCTATTCTCATGATAGTCTTCATTTTTTCGATAAGGCGAAGGCTCCTCCACATCTAGGGGAACGACTTGATTTCTTGCTTCTTTTGGTCGTGTTGAAGAAGCAGCGTTGTCACGACCACGACTAGAAGCACTACCTCCACCACCTTCTTCCAGAACAGTAATATCATCGCCACCTGCAGCCTTCGCCTCAACTCCGTCATCAAATATTGAAGGCAACACCTTCCCACGAGTAGGATTTTGTTCCGCCTTCTCACAAGGATCTTCAACCTCGATTCCTCCACTCGATCCTGAAGATCCAGACCCTGAAGATCCACCTCGAAATGCTAGAGGATGATATAGCCTAACTGTGGCAGCATCCAAAACGTCTATCTCGTAGTCGTCCGCGTAAATGTCCCATGGGTCCTCTGGTTCTTCGTCCTCCAGTTCATTGTCAATGCTAGTGGCACTACTTGATCTCTTGATAGTCTGAGGAGGTCCACGTGCTGAATGTTGCGAAAGAGTACTACTTGTTCCATGAGCTGAGTGTTGCGAAAGGGTACCTGCGCCAGCGCGTTCCCGGGAATGAGTGGGAGGAGCACGCGCCCTTTCTCCTGTGGAAGAAGATAACGAGCGAGTCGTTATCATTCTGCTCATCAGTCGCCGCCTCGCGCGATTGCACTGCTTCTGGCTCGAACAGCTACCAACAACAGAGTACGGTAAAACTGGTCTCGACGCACAATGCAGCCCCTGTCGCTGCACGAGCGATAAAGGCTGGGAAGACGGTCTTGCGGGCATCATTTTGTCACAGGACTTCAGTACTTGTTCTCAGTCACGCCATCGTCTAGACTAATCTCTCGAAGACTGCGATCGCTTTCCCGCTTCCTCATGAAGCACGCCTTTGAATGCCGACCTAAGGTGTTGACAAGATCAAAGCGTGGCCACCTCACTACCGTAGACCCGGCAACAAGAACAGCTGGACACTCATAAGTAGTGCAGTGTCTAATGTCCTTTCGACTGGCGATCAACTGCTTACTTCGCATAAGTACGCTTGAGAGAGCATTAGATTGGATTTGAGTTATTGAAGCTTCCCGAGGCGCAACAACAAGGTCATGGCGTGACCGTCTCCTGTAAGTGGTGAGAGAAATGCGTGTTGAGCATTTCTTCTACCAAGTTGAAGACTTTTGTATCTTCTACCAAGTCGAGCCATATGGTTTTTTCTTGACCATGATATGCGTATGCGTAGAGGACTGCTTGGATATTTATTCTCAACCACAAAGGAGTACAGTTTCGCTCTACGATCACGACACAGTATTGGCGCTTGTTGGTGGAAGCTCATTACTTAATTTGATGCAAAAGCGATTTTCATGCATCAACATGCATATCAGAGGACCTACGCGAAAAACTGAAATAACCGAGTTACTGACTGAAATAAGGGGCGTAGCTTAACGTCAAGGCTACTCTTCCTTCTCATCAGTCTCTCGGTTATTCTGATCAGTTACTTGCTTATTTCAGTTTCTCGAATAATGTAAATAGAGTTCTCGTGCAATTTATACCAGGAACATGAAAAAGTCTGAAGATGCGCATCAAGAAATCAGTATATTTTGTCACATTTTTGGTCTGGAGGTGCGCATACGAAGATTGATACCCTCTAGTGTCTTTAGAATTGTCCTCACTCCATGAGTACTATCTGTATCTTCATTAATATCTTCTATAATGCTATAATCGTTAGAACCTATGAGTAAAGATACTTAAACGGGGACACTTTCGCCCTCCCCCACAAGTTTCTGTCCTTGTCCTTTCCACTCGACTTCGCCCTCATCATCAAAAATTTTCTGTCCTTGACCGCCCCATTTTCCCCAATACCCCAAAGGATTTTCGACGATTTTGCTTTTCCGGAAGTATTCCTTTTCGGTTGCTAGGATTTCCAGAAGAGCCGATCCCAAAGGAAACAGATGGAACTTCACCATTCTCTGATATTCCAAGGCGCCTCTTTCGTCTTGCGAGAAATACTTGGCGCCACCGGTTTCCTCAATCTTTTTGAGGATGTCTCTGGTGTGTTAGAAATCTCAGAAAGGAAGCAAAAAGCGATTCATTGATCTTCGATTCTCAAATCTCAATGTGTGGCTAACATCAACTCAAATAAATGACCACTAGTACAATATTAGTATCGCTTCAATCACTAATATCGCTTCAATCACTACAATCTATTGCTAATAAGCGAGTAAACCTTAGATAGTCAAAAAAAAGATACTTGATTGATATCGCTTAATTTAAATTTAAATAATGAACAACAAAAACTCTTCGATGAACAACAAAAACTCTTCGATGAACAACAAAAACTCTTCCTTTCATAATTATGGTTGTCTTCGTCGTAGTCCCACAACCTGCTTAGTTCGATGCCCATTTGCATCACATTATCCACATCGAATTGTTCGGCGTCTTCCGTCTTCACAGTCGGGAAATTGCAAGACTTTTCCTTTAGAACGACGAGCAGTGCGTTCATCAGCTTCTTCTTTAATGCACGCAGAATGTGGAATTGCGGTAAAGCTCCAGCAACAGCATTTCCTCTTCCACGCTCTGTCCTGCTCTTCTCGACAGCTTCTAATGCCCTGACAAAAAAAAATCTTGGCTTCAACAAATGTTCCGAGTCCCATCTGTCCGCAAGTGTGCCGAAAATTTCCCCATGTTCAAGCTTGTTCATGCGAGGAAAACAACTCTGATGCAACACCTCGAAATAAAACGGTGAGCCATGACTTTCGCGGGGAGGATGTTCCTCCTGTTCGACGGTAGGTTGTTCGGTACTAGGATCTGCGGCAAAACTTGGTTGTTCTGTAGTTCCTTCCCAAGGTTCATGGTCGTCAATGTGAGAATGTATTGTTGCTCCTGCTTTCGGACGTACTGATGTACTTTGGAAGGAGAAGGCTCCCCCGGTCCACTTCGCTTTTGCCGGAGAGATATTTAGAGCTAAAAGATTGATAGCATGAAGATCTCCACAACCTGCTTCTCAACAAGTCCTCAAATAGTACTTGAACTCAAGGACGATATGAATTCTTAACTCGTTCTTCTCCGTCTGTTCCTGCGCTTCCCTTTCTTCTTAGTCCTCAAATAGTAAACTCATAAGTGAATGAATTCTTAACTCTTTCTTCTCCGTCTGTCCCTGTCCTTGTCCCAAAGTTGGCGTTGCTAAGTAGAGAAATCTTTGTCTCGAGAAACTCCACGGTCTGAGCAAAGCTCCCAGCTTTTCGTCCTGATCCGCCTGTAGCAGGGCAGGAATGTAAACCTGGTGCGGTCGACGGGTGCTTTCTTCTGCCACAGTAGTGACGTATGGAACATCAATAGCACTGCTACCAGCCGCAGTAGAGGGAAAGATTCCCTCGTGGTTGTTGACACCAGCGCTATTGTAATATGGAGTAGGCATACTGGCTGTTATGGCTGCAGATGACGAAGACAGTACAGGCTGATGGCGGCCTGTTGTTTCGATATTGCGATTATGTGCAAGAACGCCTTGTGCAGTTGATGACGAGGAAGAGGAGCCATGAGTGTCACGACCTTCGACATCCCTTTTAAAATCTGTTGCGAGAGCAGCACTTTTTACAACATTCATCTCGTCTTCTTTCTCATTTACAGTGCTCAACAATCTGGTACTCGGGCCCTCCATGTGATCGCCACTCGATCCCTTACGATTACGGCCCTTACGATTAGGCTCACGTGCGCCGGGAATGGTTCCACGCAGATCCTTGGATATTCTCGTTTTTTAGAATGGGCAAGAACCTCTAGTCTGACACGATAACCAATGCTGAAAATGCAAATACAACCATAATGTTCCCACTCATGCGTATTGCTCAAGAACCTGGCTGACACCTGCACGGCGTCAAAAAAGCGAGAGATTACAGAACTCAACCACTTCCCTCCACTCTTTTTCAAGGCTTGAGTGTAATCTCCTTTGCGGTAAAGTTGTGCCAATTCTTGTACCACTTCTTGCAACTCTTGTGCTTGAGACACTGCTTCGAAAAAATGAGCCACGGGTGGGCAGTACTTTGTACTGGTATCAAAGTTGAGACGGAAAGCCATGGGGCCTCGTGGATCCGTGCTTGCTCTTCGTCTAGCGGCCTGCTGGTTTGCCGGAGAGGACCCTTCGTTGTAAAAAGTCTGCGAATCGACAAGAAGATTAGAGAGTTCTCAAAGGCCCATCAAAGAGGTAAGTGACTCCTTACGAGTTTTCTATTCAACACTTCTCGTCAGTTTTCCTTTTTTAGTCGCTGAAAACAGACATACACTTCTCGTCAGTTTTCCTTTTTTAGTCGCTGAAAACAGACATGAGTCCTGACCTCATAAGAAGACTGCGAAGCGGACCGAGTCTGGCCGTAGGATTTTCACTTAGGCCATTGTTAGAGGTAGTTTCTCACTATCCCGAGTCGAGTGGAGTGCCCTCTTTTCCCCTCAGTTAGCTTCTTCTTTCCCCTTCAAGAAATCAAAGGAGGACTTGACGCCACAAACACTCAGCATAGTCCACACGGGATAGTGATTATAGTCTACACGGGATAGTGATTATAGCCCTTGACCCAGCATAGTCCACACGGGATAGTGATTATAGTCTACCCTTGACCCCACTCAGCATAGTGGAGGACCCACGGGATAGTGATTATAGTCTACCCTTAACATCGGCTTCCCCCCGATAGAGTCCTTCCTGTCTTTCAGAACGTTGGGGACTGTTGCTTCTATTCCTGAATAGTTGCGCCAGTTGACTAGCTGAAGGAGACGTACCTTGGAGTTCCTCTCTGTTGTTACTTCTTGTTTCCAATAACGGGGAAGTTGGAATATGATCATCGACAGGTGCTGGTCTTCGGACGACTCCTGATGCTCGTCCCGAAGTAGTTGTAGTTGTACTTCTTTGCAATAGATCTGGAGAACGAGACGGAGACGTGCCTTGAAGTTCCTCATTGCCACTTCCTGGAAGATTCAGACTTCCTGGAAGAGGCAGTCCACTTCCTTGCGCCGTCATTGCAGCCGCTGTCCTCAATGCGTAACCGGACAGCAGGACCACGAGTCGGACAGAGAGAGTACTCCTGCATACTTTTCTTGATGAAGATGCAAACATTTTCATTTTGTTGATTTAGACTGATTCTCACAGGATGAACAACCGGATGAACAATCGGAATGATGGTGGGAGAAAAATATGCGAAAGGATTTTCAAAGAATCTTCGTTGCCAAAAAGATTTTCAAAAATTTTTCTACGACTTTTCAACAACTTACACAAAGTGAAAATTCTTATTTTGCCAGTTAGTCATAAAAGACAAAAACTGTTGCTGGAAAAAGAAAGATGAAATTCAGAAACAAGCGGACCCACGCACATGTCAGAAGTTTTCATTGATTTGGTCGGGGTACGCAGAAACAGAATGAGCATGTCGTGCCTCGTAATGATTTTGGAACGATTTTTTCCATGGTCTTGGGCCATCGCAACTTAGAACGAGTGCCTCTAGACATCAACACAGTGACCGACACTTTTCTTGCGAATCCGAAGTTTGCTTTCTTCATTGGAGAATTCCTATCCGCGGGACACATCATCACCGGACAAGAGAGGGGTTACCCTCTACTGGTTGTCTGGAAAAGAATCAGCGCAGAGCACACTTGCACTGCGCGCAGAGACGTTGGTGCTCGACAGTCATTTGCCTCAGTAATAGCCTCATCACAGCTTCATCTTGTTGAGACATTCTTGCTCAAGACGCGAATGTATAATAATCATGATCACAAACAAAAGTTTGTCACGTTCGTATAATCTTTATCAAGGAAAAGAAGCAGAAGTTATCAATCAGTAGCCTGCTCAAGAGCATGAGCCAGGTCAACTTTGAGACAAGACGCAAGGACCCCAGCAAAGACATCCCCTCTTGTCATTTCGCCCTCAGCCTTCGTCTCTAGGGGATCCTTTGTACCGGTTGGGAAGAAACTGATTTGGAATGAGACACGGTTGATGCATTTGGAAGATCAGTTGTGATGCTATGAGAATTAATATACACACGACATCGTTTATATCATTAATGACGCAAGAACCTAGAAATAAAGTAGCTGTACCTGAAGTTCCACTTTTTCTTCGCTGGCTTGATGTCGTAGATATTCCTGTCTCCCTTGTAATCCCGCACCCATGCCCGGTCGAAAGCCCCGTCGTTGTGGAAAATCAATGGGGTGTTCCTTGTGTCTTCGTCTAAGCCCATGCTCGATCGCACTGTATCATCCCACATCTGCCATGACCATTTTTGACCGTACCTGATTTAGAAAATCGAAAATGAGAAGACGGATTATGACGAAAAAAAAGGAACTCAGCTCAATGAATTTCTCAGACGACGTCAAGAAGAGCAAGCCAAGGCAGTGAAAATAGAAGAGAAAACTCTTTGTCGTTATTTCGAAAACGAAACAAACACGAATCAACAATCCTGAAAGAACTCCCAACGAAACACTACCTCGTCTAGGTAACAAATCCGCCAAAGTAGAGGTAAGTACGTTCCCTGCCCGAACACACCGTTAAACGGGTTCATGTTAGTCTCCCAATAGATAGCGCCTGTTTGAAGGCCATGCTCCACTTTTGCTGCCATCATGGATCCTGGCGCGAGAGCAGCGTAGGCGGACATCGGCTCTGCTGCAGGAGGTCGCGCGCTGCTGACAGCAGGACTCTTTTTCTGTGAGGCGGCTAACATTTTTTTGTGGGTTTGCTTCACTACGAAAGACTTTGTGAGAAAATATAAATTTTCTGAGTGAATCAGCACTAGGTCTATCTTTTTAGGTTCAAATAATCTAGGCTATAAATGTTCTTTTTCCTGCAAGAACGTAGATTGAGCACCTCTGTCGACCACAGACAACTCTCACAGATAAAAAGAAGGCTAGCAGGAACAACGCACTCGCATTTCTATCTGTGAAAGATTGCAGTATAGCCGTCTCTCGCTCATCTTTCAGCTCAGGTCAGGACACACGTAGGTGTTCCGCTTTCGGAAGCCAAGCATGTTGACAGTGGTTCCTCTGTATTCCTGTACTAATCATTAGTTTTCTACTCTGACCACATAAAGTCGTTCGGACATCATAAAGTCGTTCATGTCTAGAAGGTGCGTGACAAGACACCTCCTCATGATCGTCATTTCACTATCGCCCAATATCCCCCCAACAAGGTGATAACCCTCTTCCCCTGTTGGCTCGCAAGTTTCTCAACTGCTGATACTACAACTTGATTACCTGAAGGTGCTCCAGCAAAGACGCCTCCAGGCGAGACTAGAGGCCACCAGTCCTCAATATCTTTCTCAATCCGCGCTGGGTTATTATCCACAAAAACCAGACTGGCCTGGGCATTCTGGGCTCGGAACATAGTGGCGAACGATTGAGCTAAGTCGCGGACCATGGAAAAGCGACCCTGAAGAGCGGGTGTGATGGGAATGGTTGAACGGCAAACTCTAAGTTTAATGATCAGCATGTTGATGCTTGCCCATTTTTCACGATCGGATCGTAAAAACCGAGAAAAATAGAGCTGTAAGCACTACACCTGCAATCACAATTTCTGAGCATTACCTGATAAGCCGCCAATTCTGCTTGCACTGCTTCAAACAACATCTGCGAATCTTTGTCGCTTAGGTTGTGCTCTGGATTATCATAGACTTCTGGAGAGAAGTGAATGAAGGGATCACAGAGGTACAGACCTGGAGACTGCGTCCATTCCTGTAAAAGCTCGAAAACAGTTCTAGATTTTCCCACTCCTAGAACGACGCCAATGCCTTGCTGTCTTTGCTCTTTCTCGAGCAAGGCGCCGAGGGAAATGCTAACTTGCTGTTGCTGCGGTGCTTGTGCTTGCGGTGCTTGCGGCGCTGGCTCGTGCGAAGATGCGCCTAGAAGGTATAGAAAGCACGATGACATTTAAGGAGGAAAACGAAGATCAAGATACTAGCAGCTGTAGCCTCTTTGAGACATGTGAATGTCTATTTCAGATCACCAATTTTTTCCTAATCTCGAAAAACCGAAAAAAACTTTACCCGCTCCCCCCTCCTCGTCCTCCTCAGCTAGCAAACTTGCACTTGACACTCCCGAACCTGATGGCCTAACCGATGCTCTATTCCCCGGTGGCGGTCTTGAGATCGTACTCGCACTTCGTCTGCGCAAGTCTCTACTATGTTGTCCACCACTATCGTTTGCACCTATAGAAGAAGGATCTGCAGACATACTCTCGGCTAAAGCATCATAGCTGCCTCCATGACTCGATATGCTCCTCGAAGAAGTAGATGTTGGTGTTCTGCTATTTTTAATGTCTTGTTCACCTCCATCGACGTCCTCTCTAAAAAATGATGAAGTTGAGGATCCTGCTACAACACCTGCTGTTGCAGCACTTCCAGCTGTACTTCCCTTGCTACCGCAACATCCTAGTTCGAGGTCTGACAACACCAAAGTCGTGTAAATCTGCGAAGAAAGGACCAGGCCCAGTAAGGCAAGCACTGACGAGTGCTTCCATTGCTCTTCAGGCTGCATTCTGGACGACGATGAAGAACCGGCGAACATTCTTTTGGTGTCTGTAACGCGAGAGAACAAAAAGAACAGTGAACCGCAGTAGTTGCTTACTCCCAAATTAATTTACCTCTGCGTCTCCAACATCGTCCTGAATGCCTCCTGTTGAGGGCAACTCGGTCTCTCTCCTATGACTCTTGGCGGAATTATTGCGAGGGTTCATTCCTATTACTCTTGGTGAATGTGTCAAACCGATCCGCAACTCCCTCTTCACCGACAGGGCAAACGAACACTGTAGACTAGTACGGAACACACCTATATGTTGCTGTGAATATGTAAGGTTTTCTTTCCCAAGAGAATGTGTGTTGAGCGAGTATGTTCCTCTTTTCAGCTCATATAATTTTCATTCATTGATTCACGCTGATCGCCAGAAGCAACAATTTTCCGACGAAGGGATGCGTATGTACAAAACTATAACCACTACATCCTCTTCTATGGCGCGAGCAAGCCCAATTGTTCGATGTCATAGAGACTTGCGGTTCTCTTGCAATGACTTAACGTTTGTACGGTATGCGATGACGTAATTGCCGTATTTAGGCATAGTGACTTTTGTGTTGAATGCGGTAATTGTCTTGAATGCGGCTATGACAAATCGCTTCTTTTGCGTTTCTACAGGTATGCGGATTTTAGAATAGCAGGTATTTAGGTATTTATCACGGTGCAACATGTTTCAAGATGAATCCATTTCTGAATTTATTACATGGAGCTATGACATTATGCAGCATAATTCGAGAAGATTTCTTAGATCGGGGGCTCCTCCAGCTGCACGCACAGCGAGTAATTAACCTTGCGCGATGCTGGATCCTTGTATGTATTTGGTTCGCGGATATAGAGAGTGTTCTTATGGAACACCCTCTGACTTCCTGCGCCGGGGGCTTGTTCGGCACTAAAGGTAAGAAATGCCGGAGCAGATGGGTTCTTTGATATACCTGGAATTTGGGAACAATAGAAAGCAATGAGAAGACTATAACACCATCAAAAGGTGTAGGAAGTAATGATCGTGATCAAGAGACTATAAACGTAAAAGCGTAATGCTCGATGCTTGTCCTAACAGCTGAACGAAAGAACTGTGACGCAGCAGACAAAGAACTGTAAGTCACAGCCAATCTTTCTAGAACAAAAAAATTCCAAACCACAGTACAAAAATCAAAGGTCGTATGTACTCGACAATGGCTTGTATCCTGCTTGAAACCATGGAGCGGACCTCTCCATATGTGCTACCCGCTTCTTGTTCCCCTCTCTTGTCGCGATATCGTACATATTCAAGTCCTGAAGCAGCCTACTCGTACTTCTTTTGAGTCCTCGTCTGTACTTCAATAGGGTGCTGTCCGGAACTTTTTCTGTTTTTTTGGTTGTGGTGGTTGGTATAGATTAGATAGTGGTTGATTAGACTTCTTGAGAAAATAATAACCTTATATATATATAACCTCAAGAAAGTAATGATGGTGGGAGTGTATTCATCGATCTCCTGCCTAAGATTTCCCTGACGACTTGAAATAAGTCTTACCAATCTCCCCTCTGCATTCTTCTATTTTCTTTGTTTCTTCTTCGTGACACTCCCGAACGAAACCCGACATCTGCTTGAATTCTGAACTGTGCACAATAGCATTGCTCAAGTCCCTTAACTTTTCCTCTTCGGGGTCTGTAAGTGGGTGGTGGTGGGAAAAGCTTGAGATCGGTTGGGAAAGACTTGAACGTTTTGTTGTTGTAGTGAAGTTAGAGTGATCCAACAACTCATTATATGCAAAAAACTAGCTGCTAGTGTTCATCGAAGTACTCGCTAGGGGACTGTACAAAAATTTTACCAACGCGCCTCGAGCCTGCTCCCTCCTGTGTCTGCTTCCTAGGAAGCTCCATAACAGGTTCTTTACCTCCCATTTGGACCTATGTGTGTCTATGACCTCTGTGTGTCTATGATCTCGAGAACTTGCACGTGTGATATGACTGCCAATTTGAATCTTTCTGCACAAGTGATGGAACAGTAAGAAAGTGAAGTGATGGAACAGTAAGAAAGTGAAGTGATGGAACAGTAAGAAAGTGAAGTGATGGAACAGTAAGAAAGATAATCTCGATATTAAAACCTTATTGCCGTGAGATATCCCAGAAATCTCTATAACTTCTTCTTTATAACTATATCAATCCGTAGTATTTCCTGAGGCAAGAAATAGTACACCAGAACTTCCTGTTGGCAATAAACAAGGATAATCAAATCGTTCAGAGGAAGCGGGGGCAGGGAAAGTCGTGTGAGTATCAAGTAGATCACGGGACAGTGATTGGCAACTCTATGTCTCAGACTTATCTTTCTTGGCATTGGCAACGCTCGGAAACAGATAGTAGGATATGACTTGCTCTTGATCGCAAACCACCTCTCGTTCATGATGGGCCTCATTGGCACAGATTCCAACACTTTCCTAAATAATACTCTCTCCTACAGACTCAGTACGGATGAGAACAACGCACCTAAAACGGATAATCAGGCCACAAGAGCAACAGCACTCACTACCGAGTTGGTACTTTGATGCTTCGCATCCCTCGTACCGACCGGATGAAGAGTTCCTAAATTGACACAAAAATGAACACACTTTTAATGCCGTACTTACGACTGACAACGACGGGCATGCACCAACAAGCCGGTCGCTGCTGTAGGGTTGGTCTAACTATCAACCTAAGTACTTTCGATTCGCCATTTTTAGGATATAGTGTGACCTTGACGTTCCAACATGATTTTTTCATTTCTACATCTCGAAACACGACCATACTTTTAGATGGATGCACATGTAGCGCTTAACAGATCAAGTTTAACATGCACAAAACATTATCAAATGAGTACTTTCACGCAGCGTCGTCCAAAAATTGAGACTAGCAACAAGCATAAAAATCTTCAGCATGATGATCCATTGTGAGTATGAAAGTAAGCATAATGAACAAACTCGGTTAGCGTCAAAGCATGCAGCAACTGCAAGTCTCTACCATCTAATATCACAGAACTGACATCAGAACAAGTAGAGCAGTTATCTGCGTCTGTACATCGCGACTCGCGGTACGCCGAGTCTCCTGCCACAACATACTAGTAGCAGCACCATGTGAGTTGTACAACATGATAGGATCATGGTAATCTAACAATTTTTTACCTACATCAGCTTCAGCATATCATGCACCGTTACATACAGTACCAACATCATGATCCTTAATAGAAGGACGTTGTCGCGATGTAGTGAATTAAAAAAATAAATCAACATGTTTGAATTTCGGTGTTGGGACCATGAGCGCAATAAAACTGGGATATAATAGATACTATTCATAATATGTCTGGGGAACATACAACAGGGGGTGCCCATGTTGATCTTAGTACAAGAATTACCCATGATCTTAGGACAATTACATCTAGTGTTGCGCTTGCTGCGGTCGCTTCACCGCGAGTGCGGTCTCTACTTTCTTTTCTTTACCGAGAGGTATTTCGCTTTCACCTAAGAATAATTTCGCTTTCACTTTCGCATATGATGATTTCGGTTTCGCGATTTCGGTTTCGCTATTTCGCTTAAGAATGATCGAGTTGTGATTTCGTGTATTTCGCTTCAAATCTAAAGGTCGTTATTCCATCAAGACAACGAACAGGACAAGAGTTCTTCTTTCAAATCGAAGAAGACTTCGTTAGGATCTTCTTATCGATCTTTTGGAGTGGAAGACCATAAAAAAATATCCCTACAGCGACCTTTTTACACTTTTTGTCTCTTGGCATCTGGAGCAGCACCGTTTTGCGCTGCTGGTCTCTTCGCCCCTCCATTGGCTGCCTTCACGAAGCTGATTGGGAGTTGGGAAAGAGTAAGAGAAGATGAATTGGTGAAGGGAATTTTTCTCCTACTGGACATTTTTTGCGGGATCTTACTCTCCTATAATAAGCGGGTAAATAAAGTAAGTATAAGTTAATAGTAAGTACCTGTAATTATCCACCACATCCATAGCCCACGGGAACTTCTGTTGGATCGTCTTCGAAAAGACTTTGCTGATGTCCAGCTTTGTCCTCTTGCAAAACGCAATCGTAATCCTTGGGTCCATGTAGTTGATCTTCGACGTTGTCAAGGAGACATTCTTGTTGCTCTCCTTAGTGTTCATCTCGGAGAGGAGCTTGGCGTTCCTGTCTATCTCCGACGCGATCGCCTTGGCGGTTGCTGTCTTATTCTTAGGCAGCTTGAAGGTGGCTGGGGCGTTCTCGTCGTATTGGACGCCGTCTTGGCCCTTTTCTTGGGGAAATTAGAGGATGAGGAAGGTGGGAGGATGGAAAAGGTGGGAGGTTGTAGAGGGATGATGATGAGAGGATTAGACCTTGCCAGTAGAATGATAGCCAAAAACTACTATGTAACTCCACTATGGAAGGTTGTAAAAGCATTGATCCCTGATTAAGCAACCCGAGCTAATTCTGCAGATCGAAGCTGATCTATTTGGTTGGGATTGCTTCTAAAGTCTTTTTTCCAGAAAGAATAGCAAATTCCTCAACTACTCGAAAAACTGAAATAAGCGAGTAACAGACGAGAGTAACCGAGATACTGATGAGAAGGAAGAGTAGTCTTGGTGTTAAGCTACGCCCCTTATTTGTTCAGTCAGTAACTCGGCTATTTCAGTTTTTCAACTACTTTGAAAAATAAAGAAAACCCAAATTCCATAAAGATGCAAGTGCTGCTTCAACGTATGTATTCTCTCCTTCGAAGCTTCAAATCGATCCTTGAGCTTCTCCACGCCCTCCTCGTGGCCCTTAGATACTGCTTTCTGATGGTTACACAGGATGGCGACTTTCTTGTTCGCTTCATTGTAGAATTCGGCTAGATCGACTTGGGACATGCTAGGAAGGTCTTCCATATTGAACTTGGCCAACTGCTGCTCCAACGTAAACGAAGCGTTGTAGGTACGGAACACCTGTGAAATTGAACAAGCGTTGAGGCGAACTCAGTAATATAAGTGGCTAGTTTTGCGTTGTTGAGTGGAGATCATGAGGAAAGAAAATAGGTGGAGTAGTGGGATGCAATAGCTACAACAACAGGAGAGTCTGATGGACAAGGACATAAGGAACGATGTAAGTATTCGATAAACTAAAATAAGCGAGTAACAACTTAGAATAACCGAGATACTTCGGAAGAACAAAGAGTAGCCTTTAAAAGCTACGTGCCTTGAATATTTCAATCACTAACTCGCTTAGCATCAAGGGGGAAAAGCTTCTTACCCAACTTCATTTTCAGGCCCCAATAACGATCTAAAATACCTTAGCCGTCAGATCCGGCATAAATTCCTGCAAGTAGGTGTTGACGTCCGAAGGCTGAATTCTGTCAAACAATTGGTCGTTCGGCTTCTTGTTTTTCATGAACAGCGCCAAGTTTTTGAAGACAGATGGCGGGACTGGGACTTCGTTCAGATACCTTTGTTAAGAGGAGGATTTGATGTTAAGAGGAGTTTCAGATTGGGAGAAGTTTGGGTTCAAGATGAGCTTGGTTCCCTTAGGGGAAAGCTTGGTTGGCTTAGGGGAAAGCTTGGTTGGCTTAGGGCTAGTTTGCTTGAGTTAGGGCTAGTTAGGGTTAGTGTTCAAATTGGTATTAGAAGTAGGTGGAAAAATATTACAGTAGAAGCAGCTAGTACTGTTAAAGAAAATAGTACCGAATGCTATCCTTCCCTAAGAAGTCCAGGGTGATTTTTGGCTTATTCTGCTTGAATGCGAGAAAATCCAATTTCACGTGCTCTACGCGCAATGACGTGCATCCGACAGTATCGGCTTCCTCTTCGGTGTTTTTCTCGCCACCCACACGCAAGGCTAATCGGTCGATAAAATAGGCTGCTGTCCCCAACTGCTTCTTCATTATCAAAGAGTCCACGCCACCACTGGTGCCGTCGTGCGTAATCTTGAACTGGTAATCCCTGCGGATCGGTCCAACGATGTCGCACAGTCTCCTGGCTCGTTCGTACTTCATGAGATCGGGTCTACACTTGATCTCCGAAGTTTTGTCCATCTGGATGTACTTGATGTTCTCCTTGTCGTCAGTCTCCTGCTTGTAATAACCCAGCCAGTTGACACTATCATCGTGCACAACCTGTGTCAATTTTTATAACGTTGTTATACAGTTGTAGCACTGCTCCTACGTCGTATGATGTAACAATGAGATTTACCTAGGACTTTTCAAAGTCAGTATTTCTATGGAGTAAATCCATTTTAATAAATCTTCACAGAAATAAATGTAAATCCATTTCTTCTGAAGAACTTTATTTATTTTGGCGGTGAAAATACTTATTCACAAGCAAAAGTACCTGTTCCCACGCTCTTCCTGGCACGGTGCATATCGGAGGGGCTAGACAGTTGTCACAGTTCATAGTGACGTTTTCGGGCATAATCCTGTCTTTGAGCTTGCCTTGTTTTGGGTGTTCGCCCCGACCCTTGAAAAGGCCTGGTGGCTCCACCCTAATATTGCCAACTTTTTCTCTGAATCCGTCGATGAGACAGTAGCGGAACCTCCGTTGTTGAGTAAGTGGGGAAGTTCCTGGGGTTGACTAGTATTAATGTTGGAGATTTCATCAATCTTGTTACTTAAACACGTGTATTTGGAGATTTCTTAAATCTAAGATAGTGATAGAGTCCGTTGATAAAAATCCCGTATCCGTCTACGAGAAGAAAGAAAGATCCGAAAAAATCTTATAAGTTTTTTTCGTACTTCTCTTCCTGTTTCAATCGCATTTCCTTTTCTCTTTCCTTGTATTCCTTTGACTGATGCTTCTTCGCCTCTCGCTCTGCTATGAGCTTCTCGTGTATCTTCGAAAAGTCGCATTCTCGAAACATCTTCACCTTCGAAATGAGCTTCTTATCGCCACTGGCCTTGATGGCGTCAGAGAACTCACCCCAGAAGTTGTTGATGAACAGGTCCTTCTTCTCGGCTTCTAACCCGATGTTGGCGCACCAGTAGGTGGCTAACTCTTCTACGACAGGTGGGAGGACGAGCGGCTCCTTGCTTTTGCCGTAAAGGAGAGGCACTTTGTGTGGCTGGTACGGCGCTGGGAAGAGAATACCTGTGGAGTCGTGGGTGGCTCGATTTCGATTGAGTCCTTCTTGGAATTAAGTAGATGTTCAAATAATCACCCACTATCAAAACTTGTTTACGAGACTAACCCTAGTATTTGTTCCACACTTACTCGTTTACTACCATCTTCTACTACTACCTATCAATCTTCACAATAATGAGTGGGAATAATATAAGCGTGGGTTCATTAATGCCAGTGGTTCACTAATGCCTATTGTTCTTCAGAAATACCATGATGTTCCAAGCTCTGCCATCTAATGGCGTCCTTTTGCAACAGGCTGTCGTCATCCACATGCTTCCACCACTCATTTACTGGCTCGATCTGCTCTTCCGTGACCACTAATTCTCTTGGTTTTTTTAGTCCGGCAGTAGAAGCATTCCGCTTGGTATCCGATTCGCCTGTGATATTGTCTTAGAAAAATGAAAATGTATTAGACGAGTCTACTTTAAGGTCCTCTCTACAATGAATTCTCGTGTTGATCTTTACCTAGAAGCCTCACCAGCTTGTACAACAAAATTACATTATCATCACCTACAGCACATACGACACATCTATGATCATTAGTACTTTTCCTCTTCTTCGCCGCAATCTCTTCTTGAGCAGCTGCTACTCTCTCTTCTACTTTTGCCTCTGTTTTCGCGTCTTTATCGTGCGTCTTTCTATCTCTGAGTTCCTTGAGCCGATTTTTCTCCTCTTTGCTCAAGGAGTCCTTGCTGGTTTTGTACCTGGCTTTAAGCTCCTTGAGGTCCGCGAGTTCGGCCTCGGTTAACACTGCGGAGCCACCCATTTTGACAATTCGGGTTGCTGCGTGAAGTGCGGAGATAATCTAAAAGCGACGAAAGTCTGAGAAAGATGACGCTGCGTAAGTATTAACTTGTACTCTCTTTTCGTTCCCGCTGGTCTCGAGACGTGCTATGAAGGCTACGCGAATAACAAGACCTGCTCCTGTTTCGTCCGGCCGACGCCGTTCATGTCCTTTTCCTATTTACAACTACACAGGGAACCAGAGAGAACTTATGCAATAGATACAAGAACCACTTCTTTTATTACTTAATAAATATGCTTGCTTCTTCTAAACTCTTCACTTCCCGTAGCTACAATTATGATGATAATACATCTCAAGACGCATATAAAACCTGTTGGCTCTTCAAAAAATCACAAGTTCAAGCGTCAAGATTAAGCGTTAGCAATCAGTCAACCTTTGGAAAAAAGTAGTACTTGTCGCCATAAAAATCAAATACGAGGAGCAAAGTTGTGGGGTCTAAAAAGACACGACAGGATTATTGCCCTGGCAAATACATCAACATCGAAACTTTGAGATCTATTCGAAAATTCGATTTTCACAATTCAGATTTTTTCACCGAGTAGATATTATTTTTTACCTCGTCTATGCTTCGCTCAATCTCGGTAGACAGATCAGGCAATCAACGAGACAGAAATTTCATTTTTCCCCGTCCACTCAATGAGAGTTTTTGATTTTGATAACTCACGACGATGAGAGCAGTCGTGCTGGTGAAACTTATCTTCAATGATTTAGATTCATCAACCGCGCTGCAGGATCACAATTTTGTTTCCAATCTGTAACACAATTTTGTCAACAGCAAGTTTCTGCGAAAGTAGAACAAGGTCTATTTACCACGAACCACCACGAGGTGTGGACCCTCTCGACAACATTGCTCAATGAGTCCATTGAGAGTGTTGAAAGTTGATTCAAATTGATTTTGCGCGAAGAGTCTAACTACAAGAACATGCATGCGAGAGTCAGCGGCGCACAGCAGCAACCGTAGATTCAATTCGGAACGAAGTGTAGAAATCAAGTCGACAAAAGGAATGGGATCATGGAAGTTTGAGGTAGCACAGTTGTTGAGCTAGTACAGTTGTTGAGCTAGCACAGTTGTTGAGCTAGCACAGTTGTTGAGGTAGTACACTTGTTGACAACATTCAATTATCACTGTTACGCAGTCATTTTTGCTTCACGTCATCACACCAGTGGGCACTCCACCCTTATTGATCAAACTCGATGAATTCGGACCTGCTGTCATTTACAAGTCGTCGTCTTTTGAATACTGCTAGGTGTAGTTCCTCCACCTTCCCCGAAAATTTTCATATCGCTCTCCAATGATGACAGCATTTTGCGACTCCTTTCTAATGCACCTAGAGCAGTGATATTCAAGTCTGTTGCGCCTAGGATACCACCTCTAGGCTGCTCCGCACGCAAGGAGTCGCCGAAATACGTCTGCAGGGCGGCGGCGTTTCTTCTTTGGAGTTCTAGGACGTCGTCTACCAACATACTAGATGATGTGCTTGTTACTCCTGTTGTGTCTAATGTTGCTGGTGCTGGTCTTGTCCTAAGATAGTCATGCTGCGCTCCAACAGAGGTTGTGCCAATACCTCTAGAAGCTGCTATGTTCGGCACATTTCCACTCCTCATAGTACCTATCGATGTTGTCAAAGGTGGCGTTCTAGCAGCAGACGAACTACTACTATTGAAACCTGTACTTGTTGTGCCACCGGAAGCAGACGGTGCAGGAGGGGGAAAACTTCCGCCGACAGCAGTTACTGCGTGCAGGCTATCTGCCATCTGTTTCGCTCGTATCCGAATCATCTCTCTTTCTGCTAATGCTCTTGCTTCTCTCGCTTGCGTCTCTTCTGCGCGTCTGCTTTTCTTCTGATACGGGCTTATACCAGTCAATAGCAGAGAACGATGCTGTTGTTGGGGATCTAGTATGTGGGAAGATGAAGAGGCATTTAGTAAGGATGATCTCTGCAATGGATCGGTCGGGTCGAAAGTGGAATTTCCACCTTGAAGATGCTGGTCATCTAGTTGCACCACCTCACCTGAGTTCCTCCTACTCCTTTCTTCTTTGTCAGCCATTTGCCTCTCGAACACTCTGCAGGCTTTGACATGCTCTTTCGCGTCGGTCGGTTCCGCAAAAGTTCTGACTTCTCCTCTATTAGAGCTGCTCAACCGTGATCACAGGTGGCTTCTTTTCCTCTTCACAGTTTCTTCTTCATCAAAGCCTCTTAGACGAAACCTCTTAGGAACCTGATAATTCCTTCTTGGGATTCAACAATCACAGGAGGTGGCTTCCTCGGAAGATTATGGATTATGGTAGGCGTCTAGCCGTAATTCTAGCTGCAGAGAAAACGACGAAAGAGTCGTTTCCTTGCGTATATTCGATTCTGGTGCCATCGACGAATTTCGCGCGAATCAGGGTAGAGCCATCAGCACAAAGGAAAGCGGCGAAACGCCCGGTTCCTTCAGCGGAAACCTCACTACGCAGACGCAGGCCCTCAGCTGCGGATACTGAGGCTTTTGCACTCGTTGGAGAAGGCGAACCTTGGCGTTGTGGTACAGATCGTTGATCCGAATAGGTTGTTGAGTTTGAGGGGTCCTATACGTGATGTTATCATAAGAAATGTATTGGAACATGTACTGGCTGTCCTTAGTATATGTGATATTTGTCCTTAGTATACGAGGTTGATGAAGAGCAGGAGGGATCAAAACCATAGACCTTCTCTCACGCTCAACGCTCGTCAGAAAGCAAGGACGAACGCGCAGAGGCTAACATATTTAAACTAACGAAACAAGAGCCAAATAATTAGATTGAGTTTGAGGGGTCCTATAAGTGATGTCATCATAAGGATCAAAGCAGTTCTAGGTTGAGTTTGAGGGGTCCTAAACGTGATGTTATCATAAGGATCAAAGCAGCTCTAGTATGGCATGGTTAGAAAATTATTTAGCTAAAAGTTAAAAACTTCCCTGCCTTCAGAATAACCAGATACATTAGCTTCCCAAAGCATTCAAACCGGGCGCAGGGGAAGCCTCTGGGACGTAGTGCGCGGCCCCTTCAGGGGTCCTTCGAGGAGACGAAGAAGCAGCACGCTAGCGCCCGGGGCTGAGGATAAAGATGCTGCCGCGTCTCGTGGCGAGCAAGGTCGCGGTCGTCGAAGGGTCCCAAGGGTCCCAAAACGGTACCTTTTGGACCCGTTTCGGTACATAGAAGTGCCGAAACTGTGGCCCAATTCCTAGTCGTGGCAACGAGCCATTTTCTTAAAAAGTTAATTTTTTTGGAGGGGGGTCATTTGGGGTCCCGAAATGGGACCCTTTTGGGAAAGGGCTGAAGGTGGCCGCCGGAGGACATCGCCACTGCGCTCGACCGCGAGTCCGCAGTTCCTTCCGACCTGCTTCTCGACCCAACTGCGGACCACCCTGCGAGGTCAGGCTCCACCTCGTGCACGCTAATCCTGCGGCTTTGGCTAGCTTCTTAGCCAGCTGCTTAACCTCTTAAAACCGAAGGCAAGGAAATTTTTAACTAAAAGCAAAATAATTTTCTAACTATGCCATATCTAGGTCCGCCATTGCTTCACATCACCGGACGAAAACACAAGGATCCCTAACAGGGTAAGACAAATACCTCCACCCGCCCGCGCCCCCCGCATCGCCCTTCTCGGTACACAGAGTAACTCGACGCCCCCAAACCATCGCAGTATGTTCTCGAGAAAGTCGGCATCTCCGTCACTCGTTGGCAACAAGTTCCTTAAAACCTCGCCCATCGAGCCGATGTGTCTCCAATACGTTCCCCTGGAGGTGCTCTCGAGAACTGTGCCGTCACTAGGCCACGACAGTAGTAAAGGATGTTGTTCACTAGATCTGGTTGGAGACAGTCTTCGAGCAGACGGACCAGAGGATGAAGATGAGCCGCCGTAAGCGTACGATCCAGCCGTCGAGTTTGTAAGACCATGTTGATGCTGCTGCAAGGAACTAAAACTAGACCATGTTGATGCCGCGGCCTCAACAGGCGGAATCGCCCACGTAGTAACAGTAGAACGACTAGAACAAGACCCACGATCATCGATCTTGTTACGATGATCGATCTTGTTCTCCCAGACTGCAATCACACGATTCTCGCCACTAGGAGCACCAATCAGCACTCCAGATGCCGGACTGCTACTGTCGTTGGTCCATGTAGCTTCCCCGTCGAGCTCAGCAGCAAGGGGTAACTTCGTTGCTACCTCTAGGAAGTTTGAGTTTTGAACTATCAATTGTCACGCTTTTCTCTACTCCCAGTCATCGTCAAGGTCAACAAGGTCTGCTCTCAAGAAGTGTAAGTACCTACAACAGCAGGACGAAGTAGAAAAACTTTTTTTACTAGACCGTTTGTACTAATATCATACGAATCACAACATCTCCGAGGAAGCAAATCATAACGATAGTACCTCATTCGCCGAAACACGACATGCGTACTCCGAAACTTCCGCATCGGTCCATGCTGTGGTAGCTACTCCTTCTCCTCTGTCCTGGGCGCACTTGGTGAGGCAAACGGCAACCGGATAACGCCACTGAGGTGGTACAGACCGTAGAGGAAACGTCTGTCGCATTACCACATGCTCATACACGATGGCGAGAGGATTGGAGAGAGAAGGAGGTCCCCAACTTAGCTTGTTTCATCCTAATGATTAGCTCTTCTAGGTCGTGCTGCTGATCGAGATGATCATTGGTAACCCTGTACTTGAAGTATGTGGAAGAAGTGAAAATCAATAGCTTGTTCCATGATCATACTTAATGTCTAGGTCTCGGTGCTGCTGTGATTACAAGAAAAATACTCAGAAACCGGCTGCGGAGCCATAATAGTAGTCCCCCTATTCGCGCCGGTTGTTGTCCGGACTGCTCGATGGTCTGGGATCAAACAAGGCCAACTGATGTGCACGAACCGAGCGTGCATTGGTAGTCGGATCGTGCAGTCGCCATCGATACAGGTGAGGGTTACGCACTTCTCGGTAGTGCTGGACGAGGACGGAGGTTCACTGGATGCATCTTCCAAACGACAATCTTCCACTCGCCATCTGGCGTGCTGACGCTTCGTGTAGTGCTGGCGAATCTCCTGCCTATTGATCTCCTCCGCAGTGGAGGGTTGCTTTTTCTGTGGAGATGTCATCATTGAGCTCGACGATGATGACGACCCGCCAGCGATGAAGCTACCTCCTACTCCTGTCATGTTATGACTAGTTGTGTTGTCAAGGGGAAAACAGCTGCTGTCATGGATCATGCTGGTCTGGTTCATTCCGAGGATGCTGCAACTTGAAGTGTTAAGGTTCGCTGATGTTGCAGACAGGTCTTGATGTTGAGCAGAAAAACCACAACCATCCTCTCCTCTACTAGCAGCCCTTTCATCCCATTTGCCTGTATGAACCGCCACTGCATCTCCTGCATTGAAGATCAGAGGTCGTGGCAGCAGCGTGTTTGCTCGTCTCACGAGTTGAGCTACTTTGGGCCTAATCTCGCTAGTGGCTCCTTGGAGCAAGAGGCGTCTTCTTTCGCCCGCTGGTCTAAAATAGCTCAATCCGCCACTACGACCTAAAATTAACGCGCTACCATCTGTACATGCAGCTTCTGTGCGGCCATCCTCATAGACGACGATGCGGCGCAACAGATCCGAGTGCTCCCTTGATGGTGTGGAGGTCATTTCCTATCAGCTTTTTTGGCTTCGAAAATAATGGGCGATTAAAAATAAAAGCGAAGAAACACTTTGTGCTGACAGAGCTCCTAGTATAAGCAGACATGCAGGTAAAAAGCTGACTACAAGGCAAACTTGATCCGACATCTGATTGTACATGCGGTCTGTTTTTGTGCAGCAGATGAAAGAATATCCCTCGCTGATTCTCTTTCCTCCAGCACCTTCAAAAAATATACTGATTTCTTCTTTGTGACTTTCGTTTTTCGCTCTGGTACACGACATCCAGTGTTCATTCATTTCCCTTTTCGTGCAAATAGAACACGTCGTCTTTTGCCGCAATACAACAAGGCTCGTGCCACCGCGCGTTTCGAGAAAATTATTCTGAGGTAATTGGAGGGAAAGAGGGAATAAGGGATAATTGCTACTTCACAAGCTCACAAAAAACACGTCATCATCATCACAACTCGAGAGTCCACTACGCTCAGCAGAGTCCATCGAAATCTTCAATTTGTAAAGCACAAGTGTCTTCTCCCTTTCTCAACTCTGCTTCACGAGCCGAGATATTTCTTGCCACCGCTACCATACCCGCTTCTTGCCTCAGTTGCTTCAGCTTGGTCGCAGAGTAGAGCTGTTTTGTGCTGGACTTCTGGAAGATGCTTTCATTTCGGAACCCACATGGATTGGAGATGCTTGCATACGCCAATACGCGCTCGAGTAGTTCCGCTTTGGTGGACGTCTTTGGTTCATCCGAAGCAGCAAGTCTTGGAACAACAACAACGTCATCCAAGATATGCTTCGTCGCCATCTCCTTCGCTTCCGATTCTGTGAGATGCCGAAATCGGATTGTCTGTTCTTCCGCTATCGGGCCAGTGCAAGTTTCACTCTCCGCCAAAGACGTCTCTGGTATCGTACTGCACACGATCAACAGCAAGTCTTCGTGTTTGTCCAGTTGGTGCTTCAACATCAATCGCAGTCGTCCTTCTGTCCCGTAGGCGCCACTGCTTTGAGATTGTGATGTCCTCGATTTGTCAGTGAATGCCCCAAAAGCCTCAGACTTGTTCTTTGATATACCATCCTGGCCTTCTTGGCGAAAATGCACTGAGTCCAGCGGTACCAAATTAGGTACATCTTCACTCCTGAGACCATCTAAAATGATCACACTAGGCATGGTTTTTCTAGCAGCGTCCAGAATCCTTCGTAATCGCTGCTCTGAAGCCCCAACTTCGGCACGCATCAACTCCCCCAAAGATATGGTAAAACAATTCCGCTTGAGCAAATACGCTAGTAAGAGAGCACAAGTGGTTTTCCCACTCCCAGAAGGACCGGTTAAGTGAAGCGGTTGAACAGAAAAGTGTCCCTGCTCATGCTTCAAGCTGTTGTCTCCATCAGCCTGTTGAAAGAACAACCGTGCCGTCAGCTGCCTCTTCACGTCGCTCAAACCAAACAAATGTCGGTCCAAGAACCGGACACAACTATTCGAGTCGGCAACGTCTCTTGAGTCTTCAAGGGGAGAAGTTTTTTCTTCTGCATCGTTTCTAGACTCTAGACTCTGCAACAAGCGATTACGTGGTAAAAAACAGTCATCTCCCACATTGCGTGCCGCAGAGGGCTCAAGCCAAAGACGGACTCGATCTACGTCCTTTCTGGAGAAAGTCATGATGCAGATGTCGTTGTCTTGTTGCGGAGGTTCAACTATCGGAGCGGCCAAAAGCCTTTCTGGTGGCTCGAAAGTGTTTTTTGAGGTAGAGGAGGTTCTCTGGATCTGCGCCGAAGTCCCACCAGTCGTATCCAACAAGTGGTCCGCTAGGCGTCGATCAGCGGCATCCCCAGGAGGTTGTTCTTTTCTGGCAGAGGTTGATGAATAAACCTCCTTCAATGGACATGGACGAGCTTTGTCAGGTTCTTGAAAAATCTCCTCCACTCTGTTCAGCATCATCTGCTGCAACAAGCCCTTCAAGTCGGCTGGTAAAAAGCCCGCGGTCTGTTGTGCTATGTAATGGGCAATAGAGATAGTAGACGATGTCGAGGAACTAGTCGACCCTACTTGTTTCAACAGCGTCGTCGCTACCTCCTTCCGACTGTCAAAGTCCAATGGAATCGGCAAAACGTGAACCGCAAAGTCGCTAGAGCCATCTGGGAATAGCCATCTCTGGATCTCCTCTAGAATTCCGATATTGTTGGTCATAGACCGTGAACTACAACGTGTGACAACTATATTCTCAGCTTCGATCGGGACAAAGATCCGTATAATTGCAGCACTACTAGGTGCTGACCCCCGTAGTCTAGTCCTTTTATGTCGCCTGCTGCACATTTTCAGTTCAGTCGCGAGATATTGCAACGTGTCCACGACGATTTCAACAGCTGTCATCGGGTCGTCAACATCGTCTTCCCCACTATATTTACCTGCTAGAGCATCATCGTCGTCATCGTCCTCTTGATCCAGTCCTCCAGTCCTCCTAGAGGATCTGATTCCCCGCTTTTTAGCATTATCGCGCATCACTTTTTCTCTCAATCTGTGGAAGTCCACCAACTCCTCGAGTGTCACGTCGATTCTACTGGACGCAAAAGATTTCATATTGCCTGTTGAAGTCAAGGCCCTTTCACAAAGCGCCAGCATCTCACTCCGGAATGCCATTGCTGTCTTGAAGTCGGCAGCTGCAGATCGCAGGTAATACGTTACTCGACGTCCTCTTCGGGATGTTGAAACCATTGGGTCCGACGGTTCCTTCTCATCTTCGTCCTCATCTTGCTCTGATCCCGACGTTGAGCCTGAAGAACAAGATCCATCGACGTCCGATCCATCGAAGTCCTCATCCTTCCCTGGAACGTCTGCCGAGGTCGCCTTTTCGATACAGTACGACTTCCCGCTCCCACTGGGTCCGACCACAAAGTTGAAAACTCTGCGAGTCTGCGCTATCACTCGTTGCGTGCGAGACAAAGAGGAAGACGACTGGCTTCCTCCGAGCTTGACTTGGCGAAGATGCTCGACTTGACCTGCCATTTTTTGCTACATCGTCCAGCAAGTTATTTCTAAGTACTTATTGTACGACAAACTCTTATATCTACTAATCCATACATGGACGAAGCATCCTCGTCACCAACAAGCAGAAACTACATGCGTATCTTCTAGTAATAATCAGCCATGACCAAACAGTATGTCGCGCCCGCTGGATTATTATTATTAGGAGAAGGATAGACGGTTATCCACAGACGAATTCGTACAAATTGGAAAATGTCAAAAACTGTTTTACAATAACCCTTTCTACCAGTACTTACTCAGCTTTTTCTCATTGAGATCCAAATCGGAGATCCCTTTCTCATTGAGATCCAATGTGGAGATCTTCATAGACTGATCATGGTCGAGGATCCTAGAGATCCTAGAGACTTCCGGAACTTGTTTGATCGATGTCTATTCTATTCTGTGCATCCTAAATAGGTTTGCTGCGATGTCTTGGATCGTTATTTAAGTACTCAAGAACATGTGTCGTCCCAAAGACGAGTACTTTTCTCCACCTTTTTTCCACAAATAACTCATAAACGGTGATAAGTCCTCAACATGCGTCAGAAGAACTAATCCTCATGCGTCGGATTTGCCTGTCTCACGTGTCTTATCATCCCTAACAAGGATCCTAATCCCGACCCTCCTAAGAAGTCTGTATTCTCCACTGCCCAACAGATTGTTGCTGTTGGTAAAATATCCGTTCCTGGTCCCAACTCTTCTAACAACCCTAGGAGCGTAACTCGCACAGACCCAAATAAGTGCCACAAGATGTACGCTTGCAGTGGCGCCCAGACAGTGTCGCCAAGTTCGCCAACGACTGGTACTATGTAGCTCGCTAATCCTATCAAATCCACGAGGAGGCAGAAGATTAGCTTGAGGTAAAAGGTTCTTTTGACATAGGCTAGAATAGAAGGCAGGTCAAGGCGGATCGGAGGTGGCGGAGGGGCTCCGCTATCTGAGGCTCGGTTCGAAGCAGGCATTGTGGGAGTCGTTTTTGCACGCTCGCCTGGCTGTGAACGTCGTCGCTATGCTCGTCGAACGAGGTGAAGGCATGTTCAGTTGGATGTGAATATTCTAGAACAATTTCCTGCTTACCAAAAAGCAGGAGGTACTATTGTAAAAACTGTCTAGTATAATATAGTACGTCGCCTATGCTAGAGGGCGCTAATTTAATCTACTGCACTTGCTACATCCGCGCATCATGACAGCCAAAAAACAGGGTCAGCAAGGAAATAAGAGTCTGCAAGATTCGAAAATTCTACCTGCCACAGGAGTCGCTGCGTTCTGAACACGCTGCTGAACATACTGCAATGTCATCATGTAGAGAAAGGAAAAGCCATACTTTCAAATGATTTGGATTGCGTTCAAGCGTTGATGCTCAACGATTTGGATTTTCTGTGTTTGTCTGCTCTCCGTGTCCGTTGTAAATGTCGAAAAGTACTATGTCGGTTACCAAGTTGAAATCACATGGATCTTCTTCGAGAGTAAATATGTCTTTCAGCGGCCTAATTTGTCAGCACCCCCGCCTAAGCCCTACTAGTCTCGTAGTACACTCATTTCCCCGAAGGCAAACTTTGTTTTGGCACTGCGTTCATGTAATCTACAGTGTCCATGTCCTCTCTCCCCGTAAACGGCTTACTCGTCACTGGCTCCGCTGGTGCCATCGGTCGACACTGAAAATTCCTTAGACAGCTCTGGACTGACCATCTTGGCACTACTGAGTGATCCCCCGTCTTCGTCGCGAAGAACCATCTTTCGCCGGCTAAAATTCTCTGAGATATCAAATCCCGCGGAGCCCAGGCGCCGGCGCGGGCACAGCCGAGCAAATCGGTGCTGCACTTGGCGTTGTTGAGAGACTGAATCAAGAAAGCGTAGGCTTTCGCGTCGCGGCCACCGTTCGAGACGGAAAGAAGGTTGGTCAAATCAGCGGAGGTTGAATTAGAAGAGATAGAGGAGAGGTGTCTACATAGTGGTGAGGATCATCAACATATACATATTGAGTCATATATCATAGAAGCCACGTGATAGTTCGGCATCGGCATGAAGAATCATTACAAGAGAAGTAAGAGAGGTTAAGGTTAAGGTTGAGGGTCCACCGCTTCGCGGCCAAGCCGCACCTGCTGGGACAACGTGGGTTCGAGTAGAGAGGTGTCTAGTGATAAAGATACAGTTGATTCGATCTTTAGTCATGCCGCCTTAATCAGATTGTACCGCAAGAAGTATCGAAAGCCGGCTTGCTGTGATCCTTTTACACCATGATGAAAAATATGATAGTCCGCACACTTCACACCACCAGCGTAGGCGCCATCAGCTGCGAAGCCGTGCCATCGTGGCAAAATTCTAACGCCTCCACGCAGAATCTTATGGCCATCTTTCGTCGTTAGGGGCGCAGTTTCTTCATTCGGAAAACGGGCGTAGGACGCCGCACTACTATCTGAGCTTAAGTGACGCAATGGCGAATCAAGTGACTCTGTCGGATCATCGTGTGACCCTAGTACTTCGTTTGGCTGTAGTTGAAGTATTTCATCTGGTAGTTGTGGTTCTGATTCTTTTGATGATGAGTGAGAAGATAAGGAGTTGTCTCCTTGAAGAGCTTCTTCTGAACCGGGTCCTTCGTCACTGGTCTCCATCAACAAACGACCACCATCTCTATCACTTGCAGGCCCTTCTCGTGCAAGAACTCGTGGCTGGTTCGAAGGACGCCGATGCCAATATTAGAGATACGGTTCTTTTGGTGTTCGCTTACAGTACCCCGTTCGCTATATGCCGTTATATGCCTTAATATGAGAAAGGCAAAACGAACGCTCTAACAGGGGGAACACCTTTAACCTAAGTACCCGTAACAATAGATTGGTTTTGGATCGGTCTGCTGAGATACAGTTGTCTGCTGTGCCGATGATGCCGCTCCTTCAGCACCATTCGCTACAGCACCAGAAGCAGGATTCTCATTCCTCGATGAAGCTGCGGATCCAGCTACTAGTTGTCTGCCTGAGCCTCCTGTTCTTCCAGCAGATAGAGAGCCAATACTCGCACCAGAGGCAGCTGCAGAGGATGCTGCATGGGCCTCTGCTGTCGGCGACGGTGGAACCGTTCCTATAATCCTCGTATTGCGAAACGGTTGCCTCGGCTGTTTAGCTGCAGAGGATGCTGCAGACTCTAATACCCTGTCCTGGCCGTGGTCTCCTCCTCCATTCTCCAGCAAGAGGAATTCGCCACGCCAATCCCTAGGAGGGCCTAACGTGCGCTTTGTGCAAGCGACGAAACGGTAGTAAGGCTTGGTGTCCATGACACTGGCCCTAAGATTCTTGTACATCTCGTCACACCTCTCCATGCCAGAGTCCGCGCCGTTGCCCCTCAAGTGCATAGTCTCGAGAAGAAGCTGGTGAATGGCGCCTGGGGGTTAGAAATTTATTGATGATCTTTTCTCATACATTGGAGATAAATGAAGATGACTTGAATGATCTACTTATTCGAAAACAGCTACATAGATCTAAGTAGATCGTTAAGATATTGTAACAACACCCTGCATGTCATGATCTTGTTAGACACCGACTGTCTGTGCAATGAATGCTCTAACGTCATCTTAGAGAAAACGTAAATATGACTCTATCAGACCTTGTCACCTGTTCAATTTAAACTTCTCCATCATAATGATCCGCACTGCTAAACCCCGGTGGACGTCGATGATAAAACTCAGCCCATCTGGTCAAAAATTCCGCTGTAAACGCGGTGTTCCGCACAATGTAGTTGCCTGCCATCACCTCAAAATTCCAACTGCGTTCGTAGAAGGTCAAGTCGTTCGGATTATTCTCGATCCACTCGTCCAGACTTTTGTCCAAAGTCGCTAAAGCCATATCAGAATCGAGGACAACGTAGACATCGTTCCACCCTTCGCCGTTCAGTGTGTCAAAATCGTCGCGAGCAGCGGAAAAACGGTCGTGGCGGAGGGGATGAAAGGTGCGGGTGGGATGTGGGTGAAGGGAGAGGAGAGTGATGTGGGTGAAGAGTGATGTTGTGGGTTCGGGGTGGGGGACGAATCATAAAAGTTGTACTCCACCTGATAGCATTCTATGCACTGACTGGGAGATTCTACTTCTCCATACATTTAGATCATGAACAAATCAATCATAAGATTGTCCATTTTCACCTGCTTTTGATATCGTAGCAGGATAAAATTTCTTCGGATCGCGCAGAGCATTGACAGAAGCGGACCACTCTCTTTCTAGGATCGCGTTCTCCACCTCTGGGGCGTCACTGGCAGCAGGCCCTCCCTGACGCGTCTTATACGTGTCTTTCGCCGCTCTCTTGCCTTGTCTTGCGCGCAACATCTGCGCGATGGCGCAGTGTTTGCGGAAAAAAAAGTCGTGAGGGTAGAGGGCGTAACGGGAATTAGATTTTTAAAGGGATGAGGATGAGAGAAAGAGAAAGAGGATGAGAAAGATAGCATCTATTCTTGTTAGATTTGAATACGATTTGCTAGGGTAATCCAAAGCTACGCGAGATGTTGCTAGAATGATGATATCATGCGAGTCAACATGTGACCATAAAGCCCACAAACTGCTGTCCGCTGAGGTTCAGCAATTCGTAGTAGTATCCATGACGTCGCGCGTAGCACTGCATTGTGTAGAGCTGGAGAAAATTCTTGCCGGCGAAGTTTGCATCTACTACAGGCATTAAGGTGACACGAGCTTTGCGACGAGGAACTTGAGCTGAGCCAGCATTTGTAGGTGCCACAGCAGGTGAAACCTGCTCAGCAGTCGCAGCGGTGACGGTCGTTGTGGGAAGAACAGACACAGCGGGTGTGGCCTCAAGCTGTGGTGTTGATGCTCCACCTATATTACCTCCACCCAGAGCTGCAGAACTTGAACCAATCGTAGAAGAAGGACCCACTCGATTTGCCTTACTTTCATAACCACCATCTGAACCAGCTAATTCTTTCCGCCCCCTTGCCCCCATTCGTAGCACATCTATATTCTTACGTCCTGGTACAACGCCACCACCATTCGCCTGCTGCGAATATACTTTGTTTTGCGGATCTGCAATAGCATATCGCTTGTGTTGTACGCCTGCATGGAAGTAGACGTAAAACGCGATGACCCAGGCAATCCGACACATCTTGTTTTTTCGTAGTAGAGTATCTTCGTGTTCACGCGTTGAATCAGACCGCATAATGTTGTTTCATGTGAACACGAGGTCGGTCACATCCTAGTCGTAAGGTAGTTTGGGCAAGTGTACCTATGCAGAAACGAAGATACAACTATTCTCCAAACAAAAGGGAGTGATGGAGGCTAGCAGCTATGCCTACGACGGACTTTCAAAATTCAGTAAATGAGCCGCAATTGCCAATTTTTCACGTAGATAAGAAAAAGTAGATCACGCGATGGTGATCTCACATGAGAAGGATTTGGATTTGGATTTGGAGATTTCAGAATTTGTTTCTTTTTTGTATCCTGGGGCTACTGAAAGAGCGGCCTCAGCTTTATCCAGTTCGCAAACCGGCGGCATGTGCGGGCATGGCCATGGAGGTTTCTGGCAGGAAGAAAGAAAGCTAATGTTTCAAACAGACACCCCGAAGGGCGGAAGCTCAGGAAGTAAAAAGAGTAAGCACACTAAGAAGACAACTAAAAGGAAGTAATAACACACTGTCAGTTTAATTCAACCTTAAGGGAGAAGAGGCAGGAATCACTACTAGGAACAATAAGGACCAATCATCAGCAGAAACCGAATGAGATGCAATTATCGCTGGACCTCGTCTGGCGGCACAAAACAGCAATATGCGAACTGCACCTCCTCTCGTTGTCACAACTTCTTACGATCGAAGTGGTGTCCGCATCCGCACTATGACAGGGTCTTAGTAGTAGTAGTAGTAGTAGTAGTAGTGTACCCATTTTTCGAGGGGTATTGAAGAATATTCAATTGTGAGAAGTCAAAATGAATATATGCGATGTAGTTTGCATCAGCAGCGCGTTCAATCATGATGTGTGTTGACCTGTGAGATAAGAAATAACCAAAAGTCTAAGTACTAGAAGGAGAGGTTCATTATATTTTCAAAACTTCCTTTACACACTTAGAAACCACTTGTCGATGGTTTGGGTTTCCTGACTTTACACTATGATTAACCAGTTGTGTATCACATTCACAACGATGTGTGACTGAAGAGTGGGAATCATATTAGATGTGCGGGCATGGCCATGGAGGTTTCTCCAATAAAAACCAAGAAGCACCATGCTCACGGCTGAAGTGCTGACCCTGACTCGTATTGACCAGTAGAAGGGGTCGCAGAGGGTCAGAAAATCAGCATTAGAAATTGTGACCACAATCAACAACAGTATGCGAGGAGTGATTAGATAGTCCAATTAAGAGATTTGTTCCCCAGATGTAAAAAGAGTAGTAGTATTGTCTCCTGCGCCTTCCCCGCCACCGAGTTGTCATTAGATGTGCAAAAAAATTGTCTTGTACAGGAGCAAGATGTTGTACTAACAACAAACCATACTGTTCTTCCACCACGAGTAGTTTTGTGGTGCCATCCTCAAGATGCCTTCCTCTGCCGTTTACACAATGTCAAGCAGTTTTTGAGCAGCATTGCTATAGTCATTGGCCCGACCCCCCCTGGGACTGGGGTTATCCAGCTAGCCTTGTCCTTAGCTTCTGAGAATTTGACGTCTCCTACTAGCTTTCGGCCGCTCTTGGTCTCCGCGGACTCGATAGAGTTCATGCCGATGTCCACAACTATCGCACCCTCCTTGATCCATGAACCGGGAACCATTTCGGCCTGGCAAGGAAAGATGAATGTGAGTGGTTAGCGAGAGAGAATAAATGGGAGGTCTGTTTCTCCTATCGAAGGAAGTGACTGATGTGGTGAATAAGTTATTGTTGGTTAGTGTGCTACTAGGTATATCTATTTCGAAGAGACTCCATATCAGAGCAACATAGAAGTTCATCTGCGCATCAACAGCATTGATTCATTCATCACCTCTATCTCCACTAGAAACTCTAGAGTAATCATACAATACCCTTCCCATAGCCACGCACAAAATGTCTGCTTGCACACATTCTGCTTCCAAATTTTTGGTCTTGCTATGGCATATGCACACTGTGGCGTCTGCGTGCACCATCAGCAAGGCCAGGGGCATTCCTACTATATTCGAGCGCCCAAGGATAACACATTTTTTCCCGGTAATCTGTATTGTGGGAGTTGTCTATCAAATTGAGAGTTGATGAGATCTCTTGATGGGAGTTCTTCCTGAGTGCTTGAGAGAGGGGAACGTAGTCCCGCAGGCTTGGAGGCTAGAAGTTTCGATTTAACCAAATAAAACAAGTTCTATTTTTGACCAAATAAAAAAGTACGACAGATGAACATCAAAAAGACTAAGAGCAGCTAGAACCATCTTCATACCTCCACCCCATTCCTCTTCAACAATTCCATCACGCCTTGTGGAGTGCAGCTTGTTGCCAAGGGCTCTCTGCCCTTCGCAGCTAGAGATCCCAGATTGTACGGTAAGAAGCCATCGACGTCCTTCTCAACGGAGATGCGGTCTAGAACCTTTTCTTGGTCCATGTGCTCTGGTAAAGGGAGCTGCACCAAAATACCTCTTTGTTCTTTGTTATGAATGAGATGAAGATGATTTCTTGATGGAAAATTTTTATCTGTGAATTCTTTGTGTATATTACATTACATGGAGTCTAACATTGGCTAGCATACCAACACCTAGACTATACGATGATTTGATGGAAATGTATCTATTAGGGGCATAAGCATGTCTGTAACTGGGTTAAAGCTCAGCATTCAATGGTCACTGATTCTGAAAGAAATGGGCCCCATGCCTCTCCCTTTGCTTTTCCTTCATTTTCCCCTGTTCTCTCAAGAGGGATCTCAGTGACCAACCCCAATGACCATTGAAAGCTGAGCCTTAATGTAAGGAAAAGCACGACTACATAGAGAACAACTTCTACGTTTGTTAGTGCAAGTACCGTGGAAGCCCGTATCAGCATTGAAGCGATCTATTGCCTCCAACAACGTTGCTTCTGACACGTCCACCGGTAGTTTTACGTCCTCTACTCGGATGCCACACTTGGATTTAGAGAATCTAAATTGATTCTGATTGATTGATTGATTGATGTACCCACTCACGGAGTATAGCGTCTCTAATTATAAGGTGCATAGCCAAAGAACTGTCTTTTAATATTTCTTCTTTCCCTTGGCATAATCTATTTCGTGACAACTACTCTGGGGCCGTAGTATGAACTACTCTGGAACCTAGTTTTTGCGGAACAGTGAAACAAGCGACCTCTTTCGATATTCAGTAAAATGTGAGAACAGTGAAAAAACATGACTGTCGTACCTCTTTCGATATTCAGTAAAATGCATTGTCTGAAGGGATAAACCTAGGGTAAAAATGTAAAAAAGCTATGAGCAACACAGACACGTCTTCAAATGAACTACCCGTCTTCAAATGAGCCACCACCTCCATAACCACACAAGCTTTTGTCTTCATCCTCACGTAAGTGGAGCTGTCCGGACGGTCTCCCACTTGAATAACGACCAATCCTGGGCGTTGCTCTGCGTCCATTTCGGAAACTTCGTCCCTGATCTCCTGCCGGACTGTACCCGCGCAAGCCTTACCATCGAGCAGTTGGACCGCGGCCATTTTTCACTGATATTCAGGAGTTCTACTTGATTGCAGCTCCTGGCATGTTCTACTTGGTGCTTCTAAATGTATAGAGTTTGATGCAATAGAGTCTAAACTTCTTATGATGATGATGATATACCCAGTCTTACTTATTTTTGATGCAATTTTAATAGTGCTTCGCTACATCATGGAGTAAAATAATCTCCTTGACTAATTCAAATTTAGAAGGGTTCGGAGACTCAAAAGTTGTTGTCACTTCACTCGGAGACTCAAAAGCATCATTTTACTCTCTCGTGAAATAAAGCCATTGCTCTATTCTCACTACCAGGAGTGAGTGAATGAATGTACCCACTCCAGGGGTAAAAAAGACCACTACACACTCCTTCCTTTTGCATCTAGATTGATCACTACTTCCTTTGCATCTACCAGGAATTAATCACTCGTTGTCCCTGTCTTCCGCGTTCCGAGAGGTCCTCTTCCTTCAGGCCTCATGAATGAGGCTCCACCAATCATTCCCGTGGTAGACGATACGTTTGCTGTTTAGATTTAGATTGAGAGGACTGTTTAGATTTAGATTTAGAACTGTTGTGGACACACTAGTCAATGCTGCTGTGAACACTAGTGGCTAAGCCAACTGTTGTCAAGGCGTTTCGACTGTTGTGAACAGAGAATGCCTCCTGATGAGTATCATCATGCGGGATTTTCGAAAATCCCTTTTTCGAATCTAAGCAAAGTCAAGAGTCCAAAGCAACATCACCAGAGCACACTGAAATCTGTGCGATATTCAGGTAGGTATTTGCATTTGGCAGCTGGCATGGTTAGGTAGCATTATCTTGGTGATCGAGGGACTTATAAATGATTCTGATTGTCGACGAGCATCGAGAAGGTTTGACATCAGTTTTGGTGCCTGAAGATGAACTCTTAGTAGAGCATTTCTCATGTCGTGCGTGCATCTCTGATGATGCTGCTACTTTTTTGTTAACCTACCGCCTACACGCCCGCACCTGCTGGATAACAGAGGAACTAAAACAGACCCAGGGCCACCTCTGGACCGTGCCAGTACGACTGCGCCCCCGCTGACCTAGCCCACAAAAGTCCAGCCATAGCAAAAGACCAGAGGCTAGTCAGCTAACGTAGTCTGTTACCAGGAACCTCAAGCGCAAATTAGCTAGTTACCAGGTCACTCGGTCAATCTATCAGGTTCCCTCCGCAGGGCACCGACCTCCTCGCAGCTGCGACTGCCGCACCTCTACTACGCTCGGGAGCGATATGAGGGAGATCTTTATCATCTTACGTGTTGTTAGGTTCACGGAACCCCAGGAATATTCTCAGAGATATCCAAGAAGTTTGACCCATCGATGATATTGATAGACGTCGACTACATATCTAGTCATTCACTGCACAACTGTATTTCTCTTGACGACTGAATATGATGAAGTAGGAGTACTAGTGTACCCATTCATGGGGTATAGAAGAATGAAGTAAATTAGCAAGTTGATGAAGACACTCGAAAATTCTTCACGCTACGATCTGAATCCCGAGATCCGTCAATAACGGAACTAAATATCGCGCAATCATAAACTGATGGTATTTGCGGGGCTCTCGCGTAATCCTAAACAACAAAAGACAACGTCGATATAAGGAGGCCTCCGAAAGCATGAAAGCGCGGTCAATGTACTTCAGCAAAATAGTGAGCATACACCTTGATACCACTTTTAGTCTACTTTGATCCTCCTAGTAGTAGTAGTAGTTTACCCAGTCGAGGGGTAATTAAAACTGTGATGCACGGGGGAAGATGGGCTATGGGTATCTGGCAGCATGTGCATCTTCCCTATCATGTGACCCAACTTAGTCACCCCCTGATCACTCGGAACTCATTCGGCAGCGTGCCCAAGATTTCCCTGACAATTTATATCAAGCTTAAGAACCGACATATTACACAGAAGTCTTGAAAGAAGCTTGTTGAGTCGGCAGCAATGTGAAGTGCACCGCGTCACTTCTGTCTAGACACGTCGAAGAGTAGTAGACGAAGAATCTTAAGCTATATTTATAACACCAAGGATGAAACGGCTGCGAACCCATTCCATGAAGTCTAAAAACACTGGCTAGCATACCAGCTCCGAGACTCTGCGAAGCTCTGCGCCCCCAGAAAAGAAGACACAAGACGCAACGTTGAAAAATCTAACAGGCTAGTACAAAACGCTTTTAAAGACGAAGACCAGCGATGTATTGTTCCAACTTCAACTTCTAGACGAAGAACAGCGAATGCATATGGATAGTTGGAGGAGTTGTACTAGAAGCACTTGTTTCACGACCTCCTTCTTCTAGCTTCTTAAATTTTACAAGCTGATGACGATAATGATGGTGATGATGATGATGATGATGATGATGTGCCTGAATTTCATTTAGCCAAGTGACTTGGTAGAAGGACCACCCTATTTAGCCAAGTGACTTGGCAGAACGAGCACTATAACCAATTCAATTGTAACCACTCACAACAATGCCTTTCAAAAAAAGGCGAGAAGCGTCTCTTGGGCCTGCTGACAACATGATCCCCCGAGCAATTCACGCATTCGATTCACCCACTCACCTGCCGTACTAGAAGAAACGCCTGTTCTTGTAGCTGTCTGTTTTGTACGTATTTTCTGCAGTAGTTCTTGTAAGACACGACCAGTACTACTACTTGGGCTTGTAGTTGTTCTTGTGCTTGTACTGTGTACTAATAGCATCTGTGCTTCTAGTAGTAGTTATTGTACTCACGAGTTCAGTTCATTCATTCAGTTCTGAGTACTTCTACAGCGCGAAGACTGTTTTTGAGGAACCCGAATGACAAGACTGGCGCTTACGTTCGCGGACTTCCACGACTCAGAGATTTCCATAAATGAGGGCGATGCTACGCCATCTCATTAAAAGGAAGACAAGACGAACACGGCTGACACGAGCACGACTTTCGATCAATTGCGTTCATCACGCTGCCACCAATACGATTGATAGCAACATTATTTCCTACATCCTCAACTTTCGATCAATTGCTTTCGATAAATGCTTCGACCACAGTGGATCGAGCTAGTTGGATCATGCTAGGTTTTTTAAGACCACAGTGGATCATGCTAGATTTAGATTTAGAGGGTTCCCGCCTTAACCCTGCTTTTTTTTGTATCCCTGCTCAGAAGTTATAGTAGAGCCCCACCGAGGGCTCGCTGGCCGGTGGCTCCCTTTACATGCACTCCTATTTGTTCTTGTAGGAATGATTTAGACCACCTAGTGAATAACTTTTTTACCGGTACATTCTTCTACAATGGTGCGGGCAATTCAATTCAGCTTGGGTCTCCTTTTCTTTTTTCAATCTTAAGGACTAGATTTCAATAATTGTGGTGGTGCCGACCTAACTAGAAAAAAGACTAGATTTCAATAATGATTTTTTGCATGAAGGGATACACCTAAAGTAACAAAGAGGGACTAGGCTTTAATAATGTGATGAAAGGTGGTATCTGCTCTTCAATAAATGCACATCTCTTAATGTTCAAGCAAGAAATGACCACGGTAGAAAAATCAAATACTTTTCATATGAACGATTCTGAATGAATGAATGAATGTGCCTAGCGTGAGGTGGTGCAGTGAGTTTTTTCTATACATAGGTAAATTTTTGCAACACCAACAACACCACCAGCCAAGATAACACGAAAAAAGGTTGTCCGATATTCAGGTTGAATAGACAATTCAGATTTTTAAGTCTTAGCGAAAAAGAAAACAAGTACTTGCTGGGCCTGCCTAAGCCCTAAGCCAACCCCACAGGTAAACCTTAGGGGGGTTTGGGTTGGTTAAGGCCGCAAAGCGTCACTCGTTGGGATCCTCTTTGCGTCTTAATACTCAAAGCATTCGCCCTGAGTCGAGGTATATTCCACAAAAGTGAAATTAGAAAAAAAGCTACTCATGAATCTTCCTCACGACACGATGAAGACGTACTTAGTGGTTCAGCTTTAACAATTTCCTATCATAATTCAGAGAAGAAAGATCTGGAACGACTCTAATACGGCTTTTGCTATACCACTGGGGGGAGCAGTAAAGGCAACAACATACGTAGATGACCCAAAAAACCAGGAGCTCACCTGCGGCCGACCGCTTTTATCATGTCATGGTACCTCGTTTGTAGCTATTGCTGTCTACTTATGAGGCCTTCCAGTACCATAGTACCACCTTAGGAGAGCTAGGACACCGGTATATTCACTCTTACAAGCAACCACAGTTCTTGTCTGCTGTCGCAATTTATCAGTGACTGCACGATGGTACAAATTCTCCTTATTCTTGTCCTAAAACGAGTGCTTCTGTGCAGGTTCATAGATAATGTAGTTGAATCTTGCGATGAATATGAGTAATTTAAAATATTTTAGTGCCTATATTGCGAATAGAGATTACGAACGATCCCCGAACCACGTTTAGTTCTGTCGAGTCGTGGTTTTTTACGCTGTTGTAGATTCTTAGGTCCTCTTTCTTCTGAATCGTTTTCCTAGATACTTCTGAGTTGTTTAGAACCGGGTCGTTGGACTTCATTATAATCATCGACTCCTGATTGGACTTGTCCTGTACGTAGTTCTGGCATGCATGTACGGGTAAGGACGGACCTCCAAGGATCACCAAAACTGTAGGGAAACTTACAACCGGTTCTTGGATCCTCAAAGTCTGTAGTTGTAGCCTTTCTTTGATTAATCTCCTGTGTGCAGAGGACTGGAAATGTCTTTGTAGCTTGAGGGGTCGTGGCCTTTGAAGCTTGAGGTCCGACCGGTCCTCTGCTCGTTTTCCTAGTGAGGACACTAGCCCTCCAAGCTTCAGCATCTTGAGCATAGTCTCCTTTGTCGTCACACCCCTCTGGCCTTTCTCCTTCTTCTCTTCGTCTTGCTGGTGCAAGAAGCTTTTCATCGACTGCGGCGTCCATTTGGCGCCTTTTATTACCGTTAAACATATCACGAACTGAATCGTTGATGTTGTGCGATGGTTGCTTCCCAGGTTGAAGCATATCATGTGCGGTGGTTGCTTCCCGGGAATTCACCACTGGTTGAAGCCCATCATGTGCTAGTCTCTGCTTCACCCGTATGATCTGCTGCCTCTCGTCTTCTTGCGCCTTGGTCAACTTGGCCATGCCCTCTGGTCGCGTATTAGTTGTCGACTCTGAAGATGAATCGGAGTCGCTAGAAAGAGAACCGCTATTATCTTCAGAGCCGCTGCAGCTACCGCCCCAATTCATTCTGACATCTGAAGAAAAGCAAGGTGTTGTTTTATTACCGTGCTGCACTTGGTCCTCTGGGACAACACTAGCATGCACGATGGAGGCTTCTGCAGCAGCAGCACGATGAAGAAGTATATCTGAAGATGTCCCGCTATCCTCAGGAAAAGCGTCTTCACTACTATCCCCAGGAGGAGGAGAGGCAGGATGGTCCCTAGAACGTTGACCTTTCGACGCCTGGGCCGCACCGGGGTAGTCAGGAGAGCAACTCGAAGAGATAGCTCTTCCTTGAGCAGGTTTCTGGCCTTCTTCTTCGAGCTCTTGGGCAACCTCTACCATTTTTTTCTGCAGTGCGCCTTGCGCAAAGTAGCGATACCACGAAGGATGGGTCTTGGCATCATAGCGACCATCTACCTTGGAATCGCAATCTTGTGTACCGGTGGCTTCTCCATTTTTACGATCATCGCCCTCAAAAGTATAATCCTCTACAAATAGGGCATCTTGTAAGTCGATGGATTTATTTCTAAGTCGTGGATCAGCTGCTCGTAGAAAGCCTAAGCTTTTAGGTCGTGAGACGGAACTTTGCGAACGGTGTGTCTGTTGTTCTGGCTCTTGTGGTGCAATGGCAAAGCCAGCGGGCCTCTGTTCTTCATGGCCCCCCCCTCTAGAATAAAAATACTCTTGCCAGTCAGGAGGAGAGCCACTCCAGTCTCTGCTGCCCTCGCGAACCTGATCTTCAGCAGACGAATAGTACCCCGTCTCGCCTCTGCCCTCACGAACCTGTTCTTGTTTACGTTCTTGTTTAGGGGAAGATGGATAGTACCCACCTCCAGTCTCCAAGGCACCTCCAGTCTCCAAGGCTACAGCTGCAGAAAACACAGGATTTTTGTTTCTAGTCTTCTCATCTACAACACTTAAAGCAGGAAAGGCGACACGACTGCTTCTCCTCGTTGCGGCTCGCTCTGCGAGACGCTTCTCAACGGAGCTAAAATCTGGCATTTCGTCAAAAACTTGAAAATACATTTCGTTCCCCACCGATTCGGAAAGGCCTTTTCGCCGGTCATGAAGATTCCAGTGTGTTCGTACTCCACCGGGGAAGAAACTCGAAGGAAATCTCGGAGCCGGAGCATCGTTCGCTTGTTCTCCTCGTTGTTTGTAGTTACTTGGTTCAGATGAACGACCAGCAGCTTCGTATGCACCTTCGTATGCATCATCTAGGGACATCCTTGTTCCCTGGTTGGCCCAACAAGGAGCTTCTGCTCGTTGGTGAAAAGCTTGTTGATGTGAGACACAAGAAGGTACTTGATGTTGTCCTGTAGCAGAAAGAGGGACTTGTTGTCCTGCAGCTGAATCTTCAGCATAATAGCCATCAGCACCAGGACTGGGAGGCGACGATACTTCACTCATCAACGGTGAAGGAGAAGAGGATGGCACTGCTTCGATTCCACTGTCCTGTTCCCAAGGCACATCGGTTATAGTGGACCTAGTAGAAGGAAGGTCGTCGAGTGAGACGATGATGCGTTCTTTTCCAGGTCTTGCTGCCATCAAGGGTTTCAAAGCGAATAAGAACAAGCAAAACGAATTCCCCAGGGTTTTCTTCAATAAAAAACTTCCCCATGCTCCTCTTCGCAATGGACCACCCGTTCCACTTGAAGGTCCAGGTCCTCCAAGTGCAGCAAAAAAACTCATCTTTTGTTTGTTCGAGTAAAATGATGATGATGAAAATATGATGATGAAAATATGTGAGTGTGAGTAAAAGTGAAAGATAAAGAACTTTGACTTTCGAATAGACCGATAAGACAAGAATCAATCTACATCTAGTTGTAAGTACCACAGCAAATATTTTATTATTGTACTACAAACAACTAGTACACTACGCACCCAACCCTCGATAGCTGGAGGTGGGTAGCTGCGCGAGTTGTGTCAGCCTATGTGGGTTTTGATGGTGCTGATGGTGAAATTCGTATAATGGAAGTATTGAAGTATTAGTTTCTACTTTTTCTACTTTCTGAGTAATGAATAACAATAATTCTGAGTAGTGAACAACAGTCTAACTTCTGGAGCGTTACATTCATTCACATAACTTTTGAAATTTGTTCTATCTCTTCAATGGTGACGAGTAGACGGAAAAACCATAAAAGGATTCTACCAGAAGAAAACTAGTACTGCTTCAAGAGCAGCAATGACAATAAAATATGGGGTCGGGATCCTATACCTGCTTACGAGCAGGATCGATAACAATAGTGTAGAACAAGGGTACTAGAACAAATGGAGTAAAACCTTCGAGTAGATCTAAAAAAAGACGAATCAAACACAAAGACGGGCGAGAAACAAGATAACTATGCGAGCAGCAATTAATGCGAATAGAAAAAAAGAAACACACTATAAACCAGTCGAGTTTCAATCAATGACAATCCGCAAGAAGATCTATCGTTCCACAAGAAGTCTAAGTAAGACACAAACACAGAAAAACAGCGTTCTTTCCATACAATTGATTCTAGAAACGTTTGAATGCCAAGAAAAGTTATGATCGAGGCATTTAACTTGAAAAAGAATCATGCAAAGAAAGCTTTTGCTTAGAAAGTATCTCACTGTTGTGTAGGTTTTAGACGGAGAAGATGCATTTCATTGGTGGAGAGGATTCGACAATTGTTCTTCTTTTTATGACAAAGATTTATACGTTTCCGCGTGCTTTGAACGTTCTTGCGGGAGTGGAGTGTCAAGTAGATTGATTTGCGCAAGAATCAGTTTGAGATTTATGGAACTTTGTCTCCTCGCACATCACATTCCACATTTTTTTCTCAGCGATTTGGAACAACCGTTTCGATCTCATGGGCGAGTATGCTCTTTATATCTGATTTCAGGTTGATCTGTTGACTTAGTCGAGATTTTCTTGACGCTTACACTTTGTTCATGTGCAGATTCATCGGATAAAAGTGTAGTGAACTTGGTTTTGTTGTATGTGTTGTTCTTCAAAAATCCTGAAGCATGCACCAGAGAGAAAGAGATTGACCCTTTTTGTATTCTTTTAAACCAATAACGGTGCATCAATGACAGCATTCCCCATGAAGACGCCTCCTTGCTTTGTATCCACCCCTTTTGAGCGCAGTAAGTGGCCGTAGCATCTGTTTGCGCGTACGACGCCACCAGGACCGCCAACGAAGCACGAATAGAACCCGATTTCGCAGAGTATGAAAGTGTGATGTAGAATTGGATGGGCGGGCTTTCCTGTTACACTGTTTTTTCTGGATTAATAGGCATCGCTGTTGTAGCAGCACTTAGGGAAGCAGCAGCTTTTAAGCGGTTCAGGTGAGGCACCCAAGGGGGCATGGCGAAGTAGTTGCGCACCCCAAGCGCAGCCGCTATGCGCCTCAGGCGCAACCGTTAAGCGCCGCAGGCGCAGCCGATATTAAGTGCCTCAGGCGAAGCCGTTAAGCGCCTCAGGCGAAGCCGTTAGGCACCTCAGGCGCAACCGTTAAGCGCCTCGGGCGAAACCGTTAGGCATCTCACGCGCAACCGTTAAGCGCCTCAGGCGCAGCTATCGAGCGGATCAGGCGACACCGCTAAGCGCCTCACGCGCAACCGTTAAGCGCCTCAGGCGAAACCGCGAAGCGCCTCAGGCGAAACCGCTAAGGGCCTCTGGCGAAGCCGTTAATTACCTCAAGCGCGGCCGCTAAGTGCCTCAGGCGAAACCGTTGAGCGCCTCTGGCGCAACTGTTAAGTGCCCCAGGCGGAGCTGTTAAGTGCCTCTAAATCCAGATGTCAATACAACCTCTAAAGCCAAACGCCGCCATGCTAACTGCATACACTCTTCTGATTTTCAAACAACTACATTTGTCATAACAACTGCCGCATCCCTGTACTGCAAAACCGCTTCACCCGCTGCATCGCGCACGACTACTGCTGATGGAAAGCTAGGCGCATCAATTTTCCGCATGATTATGTACTGTGCTAAATTTCGTGCTGCTTGAAGTATTTCTTCCTTCTTCTTTTCTTGATCTCCTACCGCTTCTGTTTCGCCAGTACGACTCGTCAGCCGGCCGTTTTTTGATGTTGACGTTGATGGCGACGCCTGTTCCTGTTCGATCAAGTAGTGTTGCCGCAATGCTTCGATCAAGATGTCCTGCATTTCGATGTCAAATATCACTGCTCCCGACCCTTCTATCTGGCTTTTCATCACGTAAGCCTGGGGATACAAGAGTGGTTTGCTGAGAAGCGGGAAAAAACTTACTAGTGTCGCATATGCGTCGGGAAAGGTTTTTTCAAACGAGTTATGATCTTCTCGTTGTAGTCCTTCTTTTTTTCCAGGTTGTGAAGATGGTTCATGCCTACTTCTGGCGGGACTAGCAGGTGGACTACGACGACTAGTAGTACTCGAATCCTTCTGCAACAAATCTGCTTTCCTCCTCTCATACCAACTACAGAACGCCGTGATCATCTGCCTCAGCAAGTCTATTTCTCGTCGATCCCGTTTTCTTGTTGTCAGCATCTCCTCAAACGGATCGAATTGTTCTGCAAAATACGGCTCGAGTTCTTTTCTTGCTAGTTCCATGTCCTTGGCGCGTTCTGGCTCGATCCCCGCTTTCTCAAACACATTCGCAGAAGTACTGGAAGATGAAGGAATCATTAGAGGACGGAAGGGGTGAGACTCGCCGAGCGAGCAAACATGTCAATAGCAATAGAGTAAAATAATTCATAGTGCTGAGCATGATGAGATAACAAAATTCTGTGAAAATGTCTGTGATTGTCCTGTGAGAAAGACAAAACTTTCCCTGAGAAAGTTAAGTCATCTACGAAAAGGAAGTAACATCTCCTCTTCATAATGTGTTCTCACTCAGCAGCTGCTGTATCTTCTTCATGCCCACCAGTTGCCCCAAGGCGGATGGTACTTTTGCAGCTCGGGACTTTTCTAAAAAATAGCGGACTGGCCAATAACCGGACATAGGGGCTGCACCAGCATTTTCTTCTTCGGGCTTATGTAAATGTCCTGGCCAATAGCCCGATCGAAAATATATCCCAACAATCTCGGTGCCTTGAGGCTGTGGTGTTGGTGAGGGTGGTTTTTCACTTAGGATGCAGGAAGATTCGTACACTCAAGACCAAAGTATAATTGCTATACTTGCTAATTATCAAAGCTCGGGAAACATGCGCATCAAGTGTGCGGGAAGCATATGCAAGAGTACGTCCCTCCCATTCCAGTCCAGTCCTGCATTTTTCATCGCTCCTCCACCAGTCTCCTCCTCTGTTGACCCAAGTCCGTCATCAAAGTAGTGATACAGCGCATTGCTGCCATTCTCCAAAACTAAAGTGCCGGACTGTAAGTCAGATTCTAAAGCTTGGAAGCTACGGCGGATGCACAACATGCCGGACTCACGCAAGATTCCGCGCTCCATTTTTCTATGGTCCATTTCATTTCTTTCGTCTTCATCTGCGACGAAAAGCACACCCAGTTGGAACCTTTTTTCGTCTGGGCAGTACGTCTCTGCGTAGAGACTTCTCAAATCCGCAAAGGCGCGGCCGAAGCCGGTTGGAAAATTAGAAAGTTTTGAAATTTGACAGTAGAACGGCTGCTGTAACGGAAAGAATGCTAGCAAGAAGTAATCGATTTCCCGAGAGCCATAATAATAAGATGAACCTAGGACTTTTCAAGACCAGTACTTCGAACGAGTTAGAATGTAGAGAGGACTTCGGTCAAGTCTCCGAGAGCCATAATAATAGAAGAATGTCCTGCTCTACCGCCCGACGATGCACTACTCCCCTTTCTTGTAGTTTTCACTTTCTGCGCTACCTCTGCTTTGTGGAAGGCAGCTGAGATTTCTTCGACTACTGTTGTTGACTCTGAGTTGTCTACTGCGGCTTCGTCTCGTGCGTTTTGGTCTCCTTCAGTCAAAACCGAGAGAAAAGAAGAGCGAGCACTTGCGGATCTCGGAAGTATGAAGGAAAGCAAAAGTGTGATCAGTTTTTGAAGATTGTATTCATTTTCAAGCATCGTCCCCTGGAGAACTAAGTAGTCTGTCCTGCGAACGCGTTTTCAAGAACAAACCTCCTTACTCTTTTTACCACGTTCAAAAAACCCACTACAGCCTCGACACCATAACTTGCAATCTCGTTACAAATGTCCCCTGCAGTTCCTCCACCGCCTCAGACATCCCTCCAAACGAGGCAGCCATTGTGTTGAGTTCGACTTGCTTGGCTGTGAAGTCGCTATCCAGCATGAAATCGTTGCGGCATATAAACATTCGAAGCGGGAGATGAAGGCTTGCGCTTTTACAGATATTGGTGTTTAAGCATATACTATACTAGTGATAACAAGGCGCTAGAAGATGGAAATCAAAAAGGGAACTTGGACTCATGGGCGGGACTGTAATGCGGATACAAAGAGGACCATTCGGTTAAGGTTAAGGTTGAGGGTCCACCGCTTCACGGCCAAGCCGCACCTGCTCGGATTCTGTAATTATATCTCCAAATTATGATATTAATCTCGAGTGGTCCAAAAAAAGCGACCTACATCCGGGGTATTGCCATATTCATTCCTATACTTCCTCGCCGCCCCATACACCCTTCGCGCTATATGGATCAAATTCCCGGTGATTTCGTCGTTTGCTGCAACGCCGCTCTTCTCCAACACAGGAAATAAAAACTTTTCCGGATCGAAGCACAGCATATCCAGCAGCTGCTGGTTCAGAGGCGTCCCTCTAGTGTACAAGTAGTCGTAAATTCCCTTCGGAAACGGGTGTGGTGTCAAGGCGTAGTTGGAGATTAGAGGTCAGCATCCTCGGATTAGAGGATCCTGCTGTTGACCTCTATCAATTGTATTCTAGAGTGTGATCCTCCTCCTTAACACTCTAAATATTGATAGAGGATGCTGACCTCCTCTATCAATTGTATTCTAGAGTAGTGTTAAGTTGTATTTAGATGAGATAGAGATCACTAGTCGATGAGGAAGTACCTCCCAGCTTGCGCGATTTCTTTCAGGCTTCCGAAGTTCGATCGATTTCTTTCTCAGGCTTGCAGGACGAGGAGTGTAGAAAACTGAAAGAAAATCCATCATCACAACGACCACTTAACAAGAAATCGCCTCGCTCGCCTTAACAAGAAATCGCCGCGCTCACGATTACCTGAGGCCGTTGATTTCTTCAAGTCGGGCTTCGAGGCAGGAGGCGAAGATCCAGCTACGGCAGCAAAGCCTCCAACCTCTGTCGGCGAAGAGTACATCGCGACGCCAGCAGAGAATCCAAGTGCCAGAGCATCCTGAAGAACCCGATTGTCACCACAAAGGTCGGCAAGAGCAGGCGCACGAGGAGGTATCATTTTTGTTGTAAGTTTCTAGTATTCTAGCTTTGCTGAGGCAGCCTTTGAAAACACAAGTACCACCCTTTCGTGATCATTTTAGCAGAGCAAGAAGTTGGCAAGCCAAACTTGAAGGGCCTGCTGTAAATTTTTCTGAGTCCTCACTCCTCCATATCGTGCTCTTACGGAACAGGAACAGAAAATGGATATGGAAGAGTTAGTAAGGGTTTAGAGTCCTCAAGCTTCCATATACATATTCTTGCGGAACAGAAACATTTACTCTCGTGCTCCTAAAGCTTCCATATACAAATTTTTCTAAGTCCTCAAGCTTCCATATACATCTTCTCTCGTGCTCTTGCGGAACAGAAACAAAAATTCAAAAACGGAATTGACTCACCTGTTGTTACACATCACGAAGAGTACTTGCAATCTTATGAATACGTGTCGCAAACTTTTCTAGTACGTCTTACTTTCTACTTCGAAACTTCGAAGAACAAACATTTATTCAAACATCAAAACGTACTCCTGGACGCATATTACTATGCCATTTACTTTACTGGTTGGCTACTATGCATAAATGCTGTGGCATTTTTGAGATCAACAACTAGCTCCTTTTCGCAACTAGCTCCTTTTCATCGCAATTTCCGTTCTCACGTCGCACACCCCGCATCCTTCGCTCTCTCTGCAAAAAAGTGACTATCCACCGGAAAAAGTTCTGCCAAAGAATCTCTCTGCGCCAGCAGTCGGTTCAAAGGGTCTTCCTTGGTGATGTGGATCAATTTGCGAGTGCAAACCGGACAAAGCCGCAACCCAAAACCCTCCAACTCTCGCAGATGATCCGCAAGAGCTGGTGCGGGTTGATCTAGGATTTCCTGCAACCGGAGACGTCCGGTTTGATACCCTTGGGGGATGAACAGGGGAACGACGCACTTGGTACCCTTGGGGGATTTAAAGAATTCATTCATTTACCTCATTCATTCACTCATTTAAAGATATTCATTCATTCATATATGGGGAGAAGCGTTGGAGAATAGGATAGGATAGGATAGGATGCCGCCACCGGAGGAGAGTTGGAGAAAAATGGAGAGCAAGTAACTCAAGAGGAAAAGGTATCATCAAGATAATATGCAGGAAGCAGAGAGAAGTAGCTATTTTTCTAGGTATCAACAGTCGTTAAAAGCCTTGGAGGTTGATGACAGGAAGGAACTACTACTCTCAGCAGTGCTCAGGAAATGAATCTATTTCGCTCCATATAAATCTATTTCGCTCCACATTGGGAAATGAATCTATTTCGCTTAGGAAATGAATCCAAATATTTCATTCTGAGAATGCAGGAGGATGCCGTGCACCTGGAGAACTGCCTGCCTCATTCACCAGTTCTCCGGATGACAACTGCCTCCGGAGAACTGGTGAATGAGGCACTTGTTCGAGACGCTTGAGGATGCTTCAACTCATCGAATAGATACATGATAGATTCCACCAACCTACGACCAAATAGACAGGAACAACGACCATTAGTATTTTTATTGTTGATCTCGACAAGTAACATTAAATAGAAATAGATGACGAAAAATGCATTAGATAGTTACCTCCCCACCTTCTTCTTCATATTCCACAGTTTGTTACAGCGAGATCCTCGCATAGCATTGCCTATGTCAAATTCAAATGTACAACCAGTGGTATAGATGATTCTACTTTGTTCTTCGGCCATACCATTCACCACTGCCCCACAGTGCAACGCCTCCCCAACACCAGTGTTTAAATTCGACAGCGTCAACTTGTCCAGTGTCTTCGCATTCCGGTTCACACAGCGTTGGGCATAGAGCCGCTCGACGTAGTAGTCGTCCACACTGGTTCCGTTCAAAGTGCACTTGTTCAGGAAACACAGGGTTAATCCGAGTTGGAAAAGAATCTCCCTGGATAGAAGTATACTGAGCAGGCCAGGTTTCAAACTCATCTCCGCGGCGGTTAGAGTAGTTGGAGGTTTGGGTGGTGGTTGTGGTTGTGGTGGTGGAAGAAACAACAGCCTTTGTTGGTTAGAAATGTGGTGGTGGTGGTGGTGGTAGTGGTGGTGGTGGTTGTAGTTGTCGTGGTGGTTGTCATTGTCGTTGTGGTGCTAGGAACACGAATTCGGTCACAATAACATCAAAGATTCTACTTGGAAATGCATTTTTCATCATCCATGATTTAGATTTCATAACCTATCCATTCTTTTCCCAGAACTAGCTGCAGCCGATAAAATTGCGGTTCGATGTCGACGGTCAAAAAGATTCTGCGCACCAAGTCCTCTACAAGAGCGCCGCACGGTGGCATCGAAAGTGCCAATCAATTTTTTGTTTTTGTTGTTCCTTTCGTCGATACTTAGCTGGTGTACTTCTAGAAGAATGCGAATGCTTTTTGGTGGCAAGAATCTGGTTCTTCAAAATCATTGTTCAATTTTGTTGGGTGTCGTGAATAATTCTCGTACAGTAACCATTGCCCTAACTAAGTCACTAATTATCACTAAGTACTTAGTACAAAACGCATGAAATTGCTCTCATTGCAACGACCATAAATTTTCCAATTCCTGCGTGATTCCTGGTCTCGCTCCAAGAATCTCGTAGCTTGAAAGCACGATCGTGCACGAGCGCGGCGCCAAAGGAGCTGCCGCAGCAGCAGCGTTTGCCGCACGCAAAAGCGCAGCTCCGTCAACACATTTCGATCGAAAACCCTTTAAGTCCACACCTCTAAGCTTCCCGGGTTCTTGAAGAACAACTGGGATGGGGAGTTAGAATAAACGTCGTACTATTTTCATTTGGTGGCAGTGATTTTGGGGTTAAGAGATCTTTTAGTCAATGGTGCAACAATCATCCAAACAACACTTCCAAAGACACGGCACTCAAAAAAAAAGACTTGTTGCAAAAAATATTAAGCCCCAAACGATATTAACCACAGCAAACCCAAAGATCGCCCATCACCTATAAATAAACGATAGCCACAAAAAACTACAACAACACCAGTCCGCCACTGACCATAATTCAAGAACGCCTCCACTTGTGCTCTTGCTGTTTCGATGTCGCGCATTTCCCCGAAGAGGAAAATTTCCACTTTCTCTCCTCCCACTTTGTCCACCAAACCTTGAAACGCCTCAAAAGATTGCGACTGCGCTACCGCAACATCCAAATCGGTGACAGGTTGTAGAGTTAGAGGCCGGGAAGTGTTTACTATTTTGCTTGCTTTCACCAAAAGGAAAGATCAGGCACTAGTGCCTTAACATTTTCGAGTAAGAAGACCCAGGAGGTTTGCTGTGAGAATGCAGTTTGAAACCGTAACAGAGGGTAGGCACGAAGATCTGCAAAAGCTTGCCGCATCCGCCAGTCCTCACCTGCTAGCGAGCCCAACTGCACACGGGCTAGGTCGGCTTGCGACAGCTGTTCTACTAGTTCGGGCTTGCTTCGACTAGTTCGAACAAAATGTCGACAAGTTCGAACTAGTACATCTTGTTCCGCTAGTTCGGGCTCCATCTTATTCGGGGAAGCCGTCGTATCCTGGTGCGGTGGCGAGTCTTTGTCCCCGTGGCGGTGGTTGTGTGCTGAAGATTCTTTTGCACGTCTAGACCAGTTTTCTTGATGCTGCGGTAGCAGAGTCATAGGCCTTTTACTTTAGCGCCAAACGACTCCAGTGGGAATGCCGACCGGGGCTTCCAGCGTTCGGGCGCGGACGGGTGGCGAAGTCACATGCCTCTTTCAATTACAAAGCCGTACCACCCTAGAAAACGGGCGCGGAGGTGCTAAGAGATATGCTCGGCCGGGACGGGCGACGAACGTCTTGAACGGTGGCGCGGCTCCAGCTTCGAAAGCCGTACAAAGCGCACGGCGCGTGGGGACGGCAGTCATGCAAAACCCCGCCCGCGCGCCCTTTCGCTGCACGGGGCCTCATACGGGGGCACCCCGCAGGCTTTAAACTGCCCTCGGCAGCGACGCTGCCCGAAAGGAGCACCCCGGTAAAAGGCGGCACAAAAAAGAAGCCGCGCGACGAGGCCGACGCACCGGGGCGCCCCCGCTGGGGCCAAGCGCGGGCCGTATACTTGAGGAAGGCGGCCCACCGCGGCAAGGCGCCCGAGGAGGGCGTGGAGGAGCGCAGGCGCGGGGGGCAGGCCGGCGAAGCCGGGAAAGGGGCGCGGAGACAGGCGAGGGCGCTGCCAGTGGGGGAGCCTCGCCCGCTCTTGCGCCGGTCTGCTTGCGCGCTCAGGGGCGGGAGGACCAAAAAGAAAAAGCAAGGGCGTCCGCCGCGCTGAAGCTTGCGGGAGGGGGGGTGCGGCGTTTAAGGGCAATACTTCCCCCAGTAGGGGACCACGGGGAAACTTCGGAGGGCCTGTTTTATGAGCAAAAGCTCCCACTAGATTCCCGCGCTTCCGCCCCTGCAAAAAAGTCCGCGGAATCTGATGGGCCTCCTGTAGGGTCCTCCCCGCTTCCCCGTTTCCTTCGTAGGGGCGAAAGGGTCGGGAATTTAGTGGGGTTGCTTGGTGTATAAAACGGCAGCCCCATTGGCTTTCCCGCTGGTCCCTGTAGGGGGCGGCGCTGCCTTTAAGCGGGTGCAGTAGCTTTTCGGGGCGGGGGGTGCGATAGCATGAGGGGAGGGGGGGCTGGTGGTGGGTTGTGTTCCACCCCCATAGGGTTTCCCGACCCTCCCGTCCCTGCGGTCCCCACTGGTCTCCCTGCAGCCAGTGGCCCCCCGGTTCTTTTGCAGGGAGACCAGTAGGGACCCCACCGGAGGCCAAGGAGGCAGTGGCGGCAGAGCCTATGTGGGTGGAACAAGAACCCGCATGACATTCCCGGAGGCCTCTATGGAGGGCAACGCCGACCGTACCGCGGAGACCCCGCTGGAGGCTAATGAGATGCCACTGCCTCCTTTGCAGAGGCGGGAGGGTCGGGCAAATCTATGGGGGCTGAGCACAACCCCAGTAGGCTTTCCCGCACGCCGCTAGAGGGGGCGACGCTGCCTCTAAGGGGAGGGGGGTAGGTTGCAACCAACCTCCCTAGCGGTCTACGGGACCAAAGGTCGCGGGCTCTCGATCAGGAGTAGAGAAAGTCACGACCAGGCTCCGCGCTGTCCCTATCTTTCTCGACTCTCGGCGTGTGAAGTCGCAAAAAGTCCTGGCTTTGATGGTCGTTACGCCATACCTAAGGGGCGGAAGCGAGCCACGCGCGCCTCTCTGAGGCATAGGGAGCCACCGCGAGCCGCAGCCGCGCGCGCTGGCCTCCCCTCCAGCGCCGCCCCTTTTTGCACGTTTGCAGCGCAGAAGCCCGCAAAGGCCGCAGGCTTTTGGGGGGAGAGCCAGCTGAAGGCGGTCCGCGTGCGTCGCTGGCTTATCGCGGACCGGCTGCCAGGTCTGGAGCACGAAACCCGCAACCGAACTAGACGGTCGGAGCGCGTGAACCTTCCCTCCACAGGCGCGCCCTTGTGCACGCTTGCGGCGCAGAAGTCCGCAAAAGTCCCGGACCCCTGGGGAGAAAACAAGCGGGAGGCGGCCCGCGCGTGTCGTCGACTTATCGCGGACCGGCTGCCAGGTTTGGAGCACGAGGCCCGCAGCCGGGCCAGACGGTCCGGGCGCGTGGCTCTTCCCTCCAAGGCCGCCCCCTTTTGCACGTTTACAGCGCAGAACCAACCCCGCAAAAGCCCCGGACTTTTGGGCAGAAAGCCAGCGGAAGGCGGTCCGCGTGCGCCGTCGACCTATCGCAGACCGGCTGCCATTTTTGGAGCACGGGGCCCGCAACCGGGCCAGACGGTCCGGGCGCGTGGGCCTCCCCTCAAGAGCCGCGGCTCCCCAGGCGTTCGGCCTGGAAACCCTTCGGGACTCGGGGCTTTTCGGTCGCGGTAAGCAAGGGGGCGGAGCTCAGTGGGGTCCCACTAAGTTGCCGGCGGGTGTTCTTGGGCCTGGTTCAGGTCGCCCTCTAGTCTACAGGGGCCGACGTGAAACCAGTGGAAGAAAGTGGCAGGCCTATTTCCCCACTAGTTTCCCACGAAGTTGCGGCTTTCTCGCTTCCATTCGGCTTAAGTAGCGAGAAAGCCGCGACTTTGGCCGTGGTTGTCGACCCTGCTAGGCGGCTCAGCGCTGCGCGCCTGTCGTCGACTTATCGCGGGCCGGGTGCTAGGCAGCTCGGCGCAGCGCGTCTGCTATCGACTCATCGAGGGCCGGCTGCTAGGCAGGTCGGCGCTGCGCGTCCGCTGCCGGCCTATCGCGGGCCGGCGCTGCGCGTCCGTTGTTGGCTTATCGCGGGCCGGCTGCTAGGCCTCTCCGCGCTGCGCGTCTATTATCGGCTTACCGCGGGCCGGCTGCTAGGCAGCCCCGCGCCGCGCGTCTCTTATCGACTTATCGCGGGCCGGCTGCTAGGCAGCTCTGTGCTGCGCGTCTCTTATCGACTTAGAGCCATCAAAGGGAGACGAAAAACCACGGAGCCGCCGCTGCGTCTAAGTTCGGCAAAAATGGGCCGAAAAATGCAAAAACGCAAATTTTTGCAGCCCCTCGCCCTGTTCCAGTTTTTCGGTTTTTGAGGTCCCTGCCGCGAAAAACCGCCGAAAACGAAGGAGGCCGGATGCCGAAAACGAAAGCGGCCGCGTTAGCGCGGACCAATTCGGCACTTGGCTGTCGCGGCAGCCCGTTTAAGCACGAGCTTCGCGAGCCGCTCGCGTTTACTCACACCAGATAGGCCATCGGCTGCAGGTGCCGGCCGTCTAAGCACGGGCCTGGCTGCACGTGTTAATCTGAACCAAGTAGACGCCTGCCTGTCGTTGCAGGTCGTCTAAACACGGCCCCAGAGTTGCGCCATCTTTTGCCCTGGCGTTAGGCTCATAACTTCAAACAGCTACACAACATCACTCGCCGCCTTTTACTGGCCCAGGGGCCTAATATGGTTAACGCCAAGCATGGACGACGAAGATCCTGCGTAGAAGCTCACCAAGGTCAATGAGACCACGGGGGGCGCGTTCTGGTTTTGGCCTTCTTTCTTGCTCTCGTTCTAGGCCTGCCCAAGGCCTATCCCACACCGGGCCAGCTCTCACGCCTCGCCGGTTCTTCCTGCTGGAACCGCTGAAAGGCGGGCCAGTTATGACTATTCTCCTAGTCGATGAGCGTTGTTATTTTCTAATCTCTGTGGGCCAACTGCTCCACGCTCGAAAATTCAACGGGGCCGAAAGCCTTCCCCGAGTATGCATTTCCCAGCTGGGCACCCACCTACTTTCAAAAAAATTAAAGAGGCGCCACCCGTAGCCGATTAATTATTTTGCACCTGCTAGATTCTGCGAGGAATAAGATCGGGCAGCAATGTTAAGCCGCTGCCTCATTTTGATCAACTTTGCACTTTGTTCATTGCTTCTCTCGGGGCCGAAGCTCTTGGCTCGTTGTTTTTAGTCAGCTCCTCAGGCGGCTTCGCTGCCCGTTTAATGACACTCGCGCCCCTATATGTTGATGCAATTGCCCAAGCGATTCGATTTCTTTGCAAATTGTTACGAAGGTTACCCTTTTGCGTCAGCCGTCGAGCTGTCTGCAGAACTTCGACGCGGCTGATCCATTGGCCGCCGATTAAGAACTGTCCGAAACCCTTTCCAGTGCGAGGCTGCCAAAGCATCCACCACCCAGGCCAGCCCTGCCCAAGGCCTTCGCGATGTAGTGAGCCACACGCAGGACCGGGGCGGCAAGAGGTGCCCGCCCTGTGTCCCGGGATCGCTGCCCAGCCGTAGCGAAACCGATACGGGGAGAGTCAAAGAAAATTCGGGAGGTTTTGGGGGGATGGTTTTGCGTAAAATTATTACACGAGCATAATTCTTAATGCCCGCGGGCACGATGTAAGGGCTTGGGGCTGACTCTGGGAGACAGAGCCAAAAGAAAACTTGGGAGGTTTTGGGGGGATTGTTTTGCGTAAAATTATTACACGAGTATAGTCCTTAATGCCCGCGGGCACTGTGTGAGGGTTTGGGGCTGGCTCTGGGAGAGAAGCAGATGCCAGAAAAGCACAGAAAAGAAGAGAAGGCAGCACGCGAAACCGATAACAAGGCGGACGGCTTAAGAGCAAAACGCGGCCACGCCTTGAGCAAGACCGGGGGAGGCAAGCGGGGGAAAAAGGGGGCAGAGAAATCGACAAGGGAACCGGCGCAACGCTGTCCCGTAACGGTTTCGCCTGAGAGTTTCGCGGGGACCCACTCGAAACCGATACCCGCACGGAGTTCGAAACTGTTAAGGGACAGAACTTAGGAAAGCCGAAACCGCTAAGGGACTTGCAAAAAGGCCGGCAGCTTTTTGCGTTTTGTCTTCGCTTTTTTGGCCTTCTTCCCGCGTTTGTGTTTTGCGTTGTGGCCATTCCCCATCTGTGAGGCCTCGCTGTGTGTCTCGCTTTTTGGCGGGTTTGCTCCCTAAGTGTTCAAAAGCCGAAGCCGATGGATAAGCGACCCAGGCGAAACCGATAACGGCACCCGGAAAACCTTCGCCGCCTTGGAGGTTTTGGACGCGTTTCGCCACCCACCACAGTGAGAGCACAGGCCACAAGCGCGCAAGCCTCCGGGGATACTATGCACCCCGCCACCGCGTCGCTCTGTCGCGGTGCGCAGGTGCGTCGCTGCTTTGCTCCGCTTGCACATCGGCGCGGCGACTGAACAGAGGAGACAGCCGAACAAGCAGAACGACGCAGCAGACAGAACGACCAACGGAGCGAACCGCGCGACAAATAAACAGACAAGGCGACCAAGCAAAGAGGACGACAGAAGAGACAGAAACAAGACCGAACAGCCAGAACGACGGAACAGACAGAACGACGGGACAGACAAGACGACGGAACAGACACGACGACGGGACAGACAGGACGACGGGACAGACAGAACGACGGCCAAACAG